CGTGCTACGGAACACTGATCACCTTATAAGGTAATAGTTCTTTAGGAACCCCGTACACTAATAGCTTATTCTAAGACTATACTACCGTGATGCAGCGCTTAATGGTGGTGTCTGTTGCTTGCGGCGGGGAGGGGACAAGGGCGAGGGAAGGGACAAGGGCGGGGAGGGAACAAGGGCGGGGAGGGGACAAGGGCGGGAAAGGGCAGGACAGTGGGAAAAGGGGACAGGGGGCAGGGCCGGAATTCACCGGAGGGGCTTAGCCGGGGCGGAGTCTGGGCGGGAGGGCGGGAGGGCGGGGGTTAATAGCCCCGGGGCGGGGTGGGACACTACTCAGGGGAGCTCAGGGGGTTCCGGCGATGTCGGGCGTAGATAGAGTCTTTATCTCGTCTAATCTAGGAACAATCGTTAATTTGATCTAATCTAAGGCGTTGGGATTACACGGAGAGTGGTATTCGGACTATGTATATAAATGGAATGGTTTCCGCCGACAAAGGCCGCTGCACCTGGGTGCATCAGCAGGTGCTCGGCAAAGGCCAAGAAGAGGCTTCGGAAGCCTCCCGCGCTTAATGTGCGCGACAGGCTTTAGAAGCCTCTTCCTTGGTGACGGTCAGGTGCCGTTATGACATAAGTATCACTGTCTCACGGTTTCACAAAATTTTCCGTCTACGCACCAGACTTCCAGCCATCTTTCTTTCCTTGTATCCCTATAGCGCGCTTCCTCACCGTTTTCTCCACAGAGTCTTCAGAGCAGCTTCCTTGCAGCTTGCAGTACCGTACGGTAAGCACTGTGATGGCCCATGCATCATGACAATGAGCTTACTATCCTCTACCAGCGCTGTACCCATCCCAGCATAACATGCATCGCTGTCTACGTGTTCCCGAATTGCTCTCAGCCATATGTTGGCATGCCGCGCGATCAGATTCACCCACCCGTTCAACTACTCTGGTTGCACTTGCAAGGACGTGCCAAGACTTCAAAGAAACCGCTCTCGATGAGCTTTACTTCGAACTCCCGTGTCTGGCGTATGTGTTCATGTGCTTGCCGCGGGACTTATGGGTCATCAATGAGAAACAGAATGAGGTAAGCCTTTATTAGTACCGATATACCTTGAACAGTCCTTTACCGATTCTTACCCTTTACCCCACTCGTCGGACAAAGCTGAGCTCGCACCCCCCCGATCGGATGCTTAGCTTTGCTCGCGCAATGATGCGGTCCGATCTGCGTACCTTGGAGAGTTACGCATCTCGAGTGCGGATCCTCCATCTTCGAGAACCTTCCGATGACATACTTGTGGACTCCGGCGTTCTCGGTGCAGTGCACTGTCAGAGCAAGCCTCCTCTCCTAGCCAATCTGCGTCATGTGTGCCTCGACAACTATGATTCCCCTCACCCATGCGAGTTTTTGCTTTTTCCGCAGCTGTTATTTGGTAGACAGCTCGAAACACTTAATCTGGGCAGAATCACTTCTGAGACGTTGCCGACCTTGAGCGCCGTAAGTCAGCTGAGCCCTATGCTCAAAGAACTGCGTTTCTGCGCAAGCCAAGAAGCCAGCTCGTTTGACAGGATTCTCGAGGAGAAGTTCTTGGAAGTTTTAGAAGAAAGTGCGAAGTTCCTCAAGAGGCTCCGTGTTCTCGACCTCAACTTAGGAGACGACGTCCTTACTCCAATTTACCCATATATAGCGGCACTTGCTTCCCTTTCTCAGCTTAGAACCCTACGCTTGTGTACCAGCAATGACAGTCACGAAGTTCCATCTACATTCCCAAGCTCCGAGGTAGCGACAGCCGTTCTACCAAAACTTGAAACCCTCACCTTGGATGGAAATCCTCATCAAATTGCACGAGTCATGCACTGCTTGCGTGGCCTTTGCAGCCTTTCGCGCCTCGAGCTACATTTGAATGGATTCATAGCCGATAAAGATACCCACTACGTTCTGTTCATATCTGCCGCAGTGCTATCCTTGTCGGCTTCTCCGATAAAGGATATTGAGCTCCACTTCCCCGGGTACTATTATCAGGATGCACTTTCGTTTGATAACCTTCGTCCATTGTTTGCCTTCTGCAACTTGCGACACCTCAGCTTGATGTATTGTCCCTACCCTCCCTTTGACGATGCCATGCTAGCCGAGCTTGCGCATTCATTCAAAAACCTTGTTACGCTAGACCTTCTCTGGGATCTCAGCGGCGACCCCGGGCCAGTGGATGGGGACTACGGCTGGAGAGACACGAACTTCACGTTCTGTGGAGTTGCACCTTTGCTCCGACACTGCCCGAAGCTCGTGTCGGTCCAGATGGCAGTTGACGTAACTCCATCCGCCAACAAGGGGATACAATCCGACGCAGATTCAATAATCGGGGGCATATCCCACTCCGAGTTGACTAGTTGGGCGGTGGGAAACTCTGCTATCGACGACGACATTCGGTTTGTCGCCCGCACGTTGGCATGCATGGCACCCTACTTTGATGACATCGAACTCCCCAGCCTTGAATCGTCTAGTCCGAGCCGTACTAAAGCCAATCGAAGGAGATGGAGAAAGGTTGCTGCGCTTTTGAAGGATTACAGGGATGTGCGCGATCATTATCTTCTTCATGCGTCTTCATGACGATGTTCCTGAAGTTTGGTGGGATCGTTATTCCGGACGTCCCTTTGATACATTGACACCATCACTTGACATTCTTTCCGCTTCATGATCGATAGAGCTACATTACTACAACATCTATTAACTCCAGGTTTGCGTTTGAAATAGCTAGCTGTGCATGAAGGGATTGTTGTATATGGAAGCATTATGATAGAGTTCTGCACTACTCTAAACGTGGGCATGCATATTGCCACGGAAGCTTGGAGTCGAAGGCGAGCAAAGCAGTAAGTGGCGGTGGCAGTGGTATCCTTTCGGTAAGTTCCGAAGGGCATCACGTCCGCATGCAATTTGTGCTTTTGGACGACCACCATGGATGCCTGCCACCCAATGTTATGCTCTCTCAGGACCAATACTTCTGGCTTTGAAGCTGATCAAGACGCGTCAATATCAAGAAGTATGGACTTCTGCAGGCTGGGGAGATAACACGGTGGACGGCACTGGGGATGACGTCGGCGGGCCCAGTCAAGACGCTAGCACCCATCCAGCAACGCCTGGAAACCACGCGACTGTCAACGTTGCATACACCTTGTCAAGTGGAACCTAGTGGAACCTTTTGGCCATCGATGAGATCAGATATCGACGCCCTCGTGCGGATCAGCTGCTCCGCTGTCAGGGAACTTGTTTTTATCGTGCAGCGTTCGTGAGCTCAATCCGCGTCATTTCAAAGGTGGGTTGCCTTTCGGCTGTCGCATCGGAAACATGGTTAACCATCCAAACTTAGAGGTGCTGGCATTGGACAATAATGTTGCGTTCAGGGTTCGGGAGGCTAATTTACCTTTGCTCATACATGGATCGAAGGCCACGACGTGATCAGATATCGGGCCGACTGAGGTTGAGTGGATGTGCGATTGACCATGTAAGACAACAAAGGAGGGATGATGAGGAATTGCCTCCGGCCATGGCCTAATCCTATGGGTGTTTGTGGATTCTGAATCCGACGGTGCGCAAGTATAGCACGCCCCCTGAACCTTCTCTCGCTTTTGCATAGCAGTAGTTTGAGCGCCCGCACAGCAGCGCGACATTTAACCATCGTGTCCCTCCGCGTCTCGCCTTTCTTCCTGTCCGCCTTCTCCCACTAGAACAAGACACGACACATGAGTTATCGAGGCGATCGAGGACGAGGAGGTGACAGAGGTAGAGGCAGAGGCGAGTTCCGTGGTGGTGCTCCCCGCGGACGAGGTGATGGGGGTGGTGGTGGTGGTGGTGGACGGGGTTACGACCGGGGCGGTGGCCCCCCGCGAGGACGAGGCGAGTTTAGAGGGGAGTACCGAGGCCGTGGTGGCGATCGTGGCAGAGGCAGAGGTGGTCCTCCTCGTGAGCCGGCTGGGTGAGTGACACCGGTTGATTGCTATCCTCGTTCCTCTCCCTGCTCACCTTCTCTGCCTTTGTTTCAACCCCCTATTGTCAGCGTCTTCTCTCCGGGCACCACCGCGAACATAGATCAGCGCATCGCAGACGACTCGGACAAGGCACTCATCGCTGCGTTCAAATCGCTCGCCATCCGGGAGAGCGACGACGTCCCCTTGCGGCCGGGCTTCGGAACTGCCGGCACCCAGATCAAGCTTCGCACCAACTTCTTCCCCGTGCGTGTGCCCAAAGGTCCTCTCTATGAGTATGATGTCCAGATCAGCCCCACCGCGGGGACTGCGATCAAGCGAGTCAAGCGACGCATCTTCGAGCTCGCTGAGCAGACACCCACGTGGCAGCAGGCGCAAATGCGTGGAAGGGTGGCCCACGACAGTAGCGCCAAGCTCATCTCTTCGTTCAAGCTCCCCGAACCACTCCAGGTCGCCGTGCCTTTCTACGACGAAGACGAAGAGGGCCCGCCCGCTGAAGGCGGGAAAACCTACACCCTGACGATCAAGTATATTCAGGATATCGACACCACAAATTTGACGAGGTGAGGCCCACATCCGCTACCAGTGACGATTGACTGATTGTTCCTTTCAGCTACTTAAACGGAGAGCCCAACTACAAAAACTATGATATACTGCCCGTTGTCACCGCTCTAAACATCATCTTGGCCGCTCACCCTCTACGGAACGGCGTCGTCGTGGGTCGCAACAAGTACTTCTTCCGCTCAGCAGCCCAGCCATTCAGTCTCGGCGGGGGCTTGGAGGCATGGAAAGGCTTTTATTCATCTGTTCGCCCATCGCATAAGCAGCTCATGGTCAACGTCAACGTTTGCACAACGGCGTTCTACACTCCTGGTAATCTCGCCGAAGCCATGCTTAACTTCCAAAACTCCAGCTTCGGTGCTCGAATGAGCGCGTTTGCCAAGGGCGTCCGAGTCAAGACACAACATCTCGGATATCGCAAGACGGTCAAGGGGGTTGCTCATCAGAATGCCCGCCAGTATCGCTTCAATTGCGATGAGATGGGAGGACGTCAGGTTACGGTAGAGGAGTACTTCGCATCACGTAAGTGCTATCAGCTCTTGCTTTAACATGAACTTATGCACTCTCCTTCTTCAAGGATACCAAATCAAACTACAGTATCCCGAGCTCCCCCTCGTTGATGTTGGCGGAGGCAAGAAAAAGAACCTCCTCCCAGCCGAGGTTTGCGACATCCTCCCCAACCAGGCGTTCCGTGGGAAGCTCACCGAGGAGCACACAGCAAACATGATCACCTTCGCGTGCCAGCCTCCCAATGTCAACGCCACCGCCATCACCACCAGGGGTCTGCCGGAGCTCGGCTTCTCAGGGCAGCAGACCGCACCCCTCCTGAACGCCTTCGGTGTCTCCATCAGCGACCAAATGGCCGTCGTGCCAGGCCGCATCCTCCCCTCTCCGGCGCTACGCTACGCGGGGAACAACGCTCCGCAAGTCGACAACCGCGCCTCGTGGAACCTGCGCGGGGTCAAATTTGCCGTCGGGGCGCGGCTCAACCAGCTCGCGGTGCTCGAGATCAAGGACGGCAACAACCGGGACGAGTTCGCGGACCCGGACTCGCTCCACGATGTCATCTCGGGCTTCCAGCGCATGTGCATCACATCCGGCGTTCAGATCCAGAACCAGAAGTACACTCTCGCGCAGGCGCGCCTGCCGCGCAAGAACGCGGCGGATCTGCTCAGGCGGGACGCGATCAGCGTGATCCGGACGACGGTGATGGAGTCGTTCAAGCCCAAGCCGACGCTCATCCTGGTCTTGCTCTCGAGCAGCGACCACGCGATCTACGATGGCATCAAGCATCTGTGCGACGTGTATCTGGGCGTGGCGACCGTCTGCGTACACGCGGCGAAGATCAAGAAGGGCCAGCCGCAGTACTATGCGAACGTCGCCCTCAAGGTGAACATGAAGCTCGGGGGCGTGAACCACAAGCTGGACGATAGTGGTCCGACGAGCCGCTGGTTGATGCAGCAGCCTACGATGATCGTTGGTATGGATGTCACGCATCCTGGGCCCGGGAGCATCAAGGGGACCCGTGAGTATTACTTGATGCTCGAGTAGTCAGGGTTTCGATGTTAATTCTCTTGCTTTTTCAGCTTCGATCGCAGCTGTGGTAGCGAGCTGCGATTCCAACTTTTCGCAGTACCCTGCCAGTCTCGAGATCCAAGAATCGCGAAAGGAGGCATGTTAATTTTGACCCTACGATCTCCTTTAAATACTCTTCTAATAATCGTATTCATAGATGATAACTAACCTCAAGAACATGATGATCGAGAGACTTGACCTGTTCAGGAAACGCAATGGCAACAAACTCCCGCAGCGAATCATTGTCTACCGCGACGGTGTTGCCGAGGTTAGCTACTCCTGCATTCAGTCTCGTTTTCAGCTTATCCATTTCTATCTATCATAGGGTCAATTCAACATCGTCCGCCTGGAGGAGCTACCCGAGATCAAGGCGGCCTTCCGCAAATACGACCAGGCCAAGGCACCGTACATGCCCAAGGTCTCCATCATCATCTGCGGCAAACGCCATCACACGCGGTTCTTCCCCACGCAGCCCAACGACGCCGCCCAGGACGGAAATCCCAAGCCCGGCACAGTAGTCGATCGCGGTGTTACTGCCATCTACGAATTCGACTTCTTCCTCCAGGGTAAGCCCCTATCTCACTGGCTCACATCCTCCCTTCCTTGACTAACGAGATATCGCGTTCCCCAGCCCACGGAGGCCTCCAAGGCACGACCCGCCCAACGCACTACTACGTCGTGCACGACGAGAACAAGTTCGAGGCGGACAACCTGCAGGGCATCACCAACGCGCTCTCGTACATGTTCTCGCGCGCCACCAAGGCCGTCTCGCTCGTCTCGCCCGCGTACTACGCCGACATCGCGTGCGAGCGCGGCAGGTGCTACCTCCGCAAGCTGCTCACCGGCTCCGCGGACGGCACGGCCACGGGCACCGGATCGGGGTCCGCCGCGGCGGAGGCGAACGTTGCGCACGAGGCGGAGCAGCTCTGGCATGGCGGAGTGAGGAACGATGCGCTCAAGGACTCGATGTTTTATCTCTGAGGCTGCGTGGGTTAGTGGTTCACGTATGTAAAGTAAATTTAGTGTTAGGATGGCTGGGAACCATCGACTTTTGGATCGGTTTTCAAGTTTTCGGGCCTTGAGGAGTAAAACTGACTCGAGGCCGTGCTTTGTAGTTTGCTTTCGATTGTCGTTTATACGAGCGGCGCTTGTGTATATCGCACCATCATGTATATGTACACGAGGAGGAACAATCAGAACATGTAATTATACACATCACCTCGGGCGCTTGATCTTGATCGTACACATACACCTTCGAGAGCTTCTAGAGGGAAACAACCTCCCTACACACCGATACACACGCCATTGACCAGCATCAATGCCAATCAGCAAGCCTCGCCATCGCAGCCTCATATTCCATCTTCACACATTCTTCTACCTTCCTTCCCCGCGGAACCACCCTACACCCAAAGCTCACAGGCCGTGAGTTAAACCCGTTGGTGTAGTCCCACGGATCGGGCAGCATCGGCTCCCCCGTGCGCTCGTCCGCGAGCGGAGAGATCGTGAACCCCCACAGGACGCGCGCGACGTTGATGAAGAGCGAGTTGAGGGAGAGGTGCATGCCCGGGCAGATGCGCCGGCCCCAGCCGAAGGGGAGATCGAACGCGCCGGGCTCTGTGCGCGGGTGCGCGGTCGGGGCGAGGAAGCGCTCCGGGGAGAAGGTGTCGGGGGAGGGGAACATGGCGGGGTCGTGCATGATTCCCCTAAGGCGTCGGGTGGGACGCGTGGAGATGAGGGGTGCGCGTTAACGAGCTGACGGGTATGAAGATACGCGGGGACGGTGCTCACGCCAGGTTGGCGAAAACAGTCGACCCTTTTGGGATGTGCCTGGGAGCATGGTCGGGAAGGTAAGTAAATAAGACGGAGGGTGCGGAGGCGGAGGCCACAATACGTGAGACACTCACATCCCCTCGTAATAGTCATCCGCAGTGACCGCGTGAGGTGTCCCACCGAGGACGGCCACAGGACGCCATCGTAACGCCTCATTGACGATGGCATTAATGTATGGTAGGTTCTGCTTGTCGCTAAAGTCAGGCATGCGGTCAGGGCCAACCACGGCGTCAAGCTCGGCTTGCGCCTTCTTCATCACTTCAGGGAAGTGAAGCATCGCGACTATTTGCGTGGAGATGGCGTATCAAGATCACGACACCCGTAGTGTTAATCGTAAAAAAACTCACGAAAGAACGTGCTCAATGTCCCGGCGGTCTAAACGGAATTACTATGAGCACAACAGAGCCGCAAGTAGAATCACTGATACGCGTTCATGCTCACCGTCTCGATACCAGCACCAAACGGCGACGACACCGCATACGCGATCTCCAGCTCAGACATCCCGTTCTTAGGCATCTCGTTGATCGTCTGAGACGCGAGGCAGTCACGGATGCTGCCGTCGGCAATGCGGACCTTGACGTCGTCCAGAAGATACATGTAGAGCTTGATGTCGCGCTGCCGCTGCACTTCGGGCTCTGCGCGGAACCATTGTAGGCATTTCTGTGCAGCGAAGGTTTGTTATGTCAGTTGACGGGACGGTGAGAGAATGAGATAATGAAGGATCACCGGAAGGTGGAGTAGCCATGGCCATGACTCGACGATGTATTTTCCCGGGATGCTGAAGTATAGGCAGTTGTCAGCGGTAAAATTAAGCGGCTTTGATTGCGGGACTCACTTGACGCTAGTTAAAGTGAGATCAAGAAATGAGACTCCAGTTAACAGAGAGCATGAGCCAAACGCGGGCCTACCTTGTCAAATCTATAATGAAGTGGATTGCGAGTTAGACGGATATATGCGTGCAATATGCGATACGTACAGTCCATGGCCTCGTTGTTCTCCTTGACAATCCACTCGTCGATGCTGTTCACTCGCCGTCCGTATGACATGGACACAACGACGCTTGCGGCGTATCTATGTGTAGGACTGTCGGCGCAAATACGCAAACAGCACATCGGTCATTGGCGACGCACCTTTGCAAGTGTCTCTCCCAATGCTCAGGGTCCGTCAGGAGCTGATACATAGCCACCTTCGACTCAAGACTCTGGACCTCCTGGTACGTATCGGCCTTGCGCGCATGAAGACCCGAGTGAAGCACCTGATTCAGTTAATCGCATCGTAAACATGAATGTACGTAAAATGTATGCGCTGTGTCGCGCTTACTTTTCGCCACCTCCGCCAGGCGTCATTGTTGGGCAGCATCAGGCCGCGTCGATTATCCGAGAGGATTTCGCCCCTGACGAGCTGGCATCAGCGAAGCTTCATGAAGCTGAGAAGTTGATGAGCCCTCTCACGCGACGACAAAACGCGGCCTGCTCGAGTAAATATCCGAGCGCTTCTCTAGTAGGTCCCATGCTGCCTGCGCCGTGCCCAGGACTGGCCGAAACGAAGTCAAGTAAGGTACGAACTGGCCTGTACGGTGAAGACTGACCTATGACTGGGGTACGACCAAGGAAGAGAGATACGACCGGACCTGGAGGGTCGACATCAGCGCATCAGGGAGGGGTGGCCTCAACGCATAAAGTTAGATCAGACGCACCGTACTCTCCGTTCCATTCAGCGAACTTCCTCCAGGGTTTGACAGCAGGTAGCTGATGTCTGTTGCCGATCCAAGGGAGACCGACAGGGCCTGGAGGCATGGAGCGTCTACGGATGAACCATGTCACGGCCGATCGTGTCAGGATGATGAGAAATGACACCGAGAAAGCCGCAAGCGACTGGCCTAGAAACGTCATAGACTTGAAGTCGAGCGAGAAAGCTGGCATCCGGGGGGTCGAGGGGAGGAACGACATGTGGGACTGGAGCAGAGGGAACAGATCGCCATATATCGCGAGAGTCTTTGCGGTCTGCTGGTCAGGCGAGTCGCTTGAGAACTTGAAGTTCCCATACACAAGGTCAGGCTCTGAGGAAGGTGGCGGGTGAAATGTTCTCCCTGGCTAGTGTGAGCGAGGTCACCCGCCGAGGTTATAGAACGAGTGAATGGAATACAACAACGACGCCGTTGAGATATTTCTCGACAAGAAGTTTGTCATGGCAGAGAATGACGCGTCGTCGCTATCGGTCACGGCGCCGACTGCCGGGGTCGTTGTGCTTGGCTGTCACTTTATCTCCACACCTGGCCATGAAGCAGCCTATCACGTCCTTCCCTTGTCCGGCAACAGTGCGGGCTCGAGGAGACAAACGATGACAGGAAAAGAATTCCATGTCAGCGAGTGATCGGGAATTGACTCCGCCGTCATGCTATAAATTCCTGCCGTCACTTGTCATCTGCCCTTCATCGACTCCTCTCTCGTCGTTTCTTGCCTCGCTCACCGCAACTCAGCTCAACGCTCCCTGCTCTCCAGCACCCCCACATTCTTTTCCAAAATGCGCTCCTTCATTTCCCTCGCCCTCTTCGTCGCCGCCTCCGGCTTCGTTAACGCTCTCCCTCTCCCCGGCAAGGTACGTTTTTCGCGCGCTTTCTGTTCTTACGCGTTTTTCTTACCGAGCTCTATTTATAGGCCTCCGTTAGCATCCTCGACAAGGCTACTGCCGAGGTCAAGAACGTCGCCAACGACGTCACTGCCAAGGTTGGCAACGTCAACAAGCGCGGTGACGAGGTCCCCGGTCTCTCCGCCCTCAACAACGCCAATGTCGAGATCACGGATATCCTCAACAAGCTCACTGCTGAGGTCGGCGACGTGAACAAGCGTGGCGACGACGTCTCCTCGCTCTCCGCCCTCGACAACGCCTCCGCTGAAGTCAAGGACCTTCTCAACGACGCCAACCTTAAGGCCTTCAACGTTAGCAAGCGTGGCGATGTCCCTTCCGGTCTCACCGACCTCCTTGCTCAGGTCAAGAAGCTCCTTGACAGCCTCAAGTCGGAGCTCAGCCCCAAGGACATCTCCGTCCTCGACAACGCCTGGGTCCAGATTACGAACATCCTCAACAACCTTACTGTCAAGGCTGGCAACGTCAGCCGTGGCGAGCCCGACCTTTCCATCCTGAACGATGCCACCGTTGAGATCAAGAACCTTCTTGACGGTGTCACGGCCAAGGTCGGCAACGTCAGCCGTGGCGAGCCCGACCTCTCCGTTCTGAACGACCTCATTGTTGAGATCAAGAACGTTCTCAACGGTGTCACGGCCAAGGTTGGCAATGTCAGCAAGCGTAGTGACACCGACATCCTCGACAACCTCACCGTCGAGATCAAGAACCTTCTCGACGGTCTCACCGCTGAGGTCGGCGACGTGAACAAGCGCGGTGACGAGGTCCCCGGCCTCTCCATCCTCGACAACCTCTCCGCCGAGGTCAAGGACATCCTCAACAAGTGCAAGGTCGAGATCGCCAACGTCAGCAAGCGCAGCGACGAGCCCGTCTCGGCCGGCAACGACGTTAACGCCGTCATCCAGGACATCCTCAGCCACTGCACCATCAAGGCGTTCAACGTCAGCAAGCGCGGTGACGCTCCCTCGACCGACGTCCTCAACAACCTTGAGGTCGAGATCAGCAACCTCCTTAACAACCTCGATGTCGAGGCCTTCAACGTCTCCAACTAAATGTTGAGCCCCTCAACTTTCGCTTCGGTTTCGTTTGGGTCTTTCGTCACGTCACGTCTTGTTGTTGCCGCCCCTTGACGGAGGAGGTCCTTCACTCACGCTCTTCGCTCTCGTCCTCGTTGTCGTCGTCTCCCGCACTCCCTTGTTTTAATCTAGCAATAGCTATCGCTCATGTATACCCCCGCCTTATGTGTTTACATTCCACCGCATACTGTAAAGTACACGGTGTGGCTCCATACATTGTTTCCACGATAGTTAACGTTGCTTTTACATCACACGCTCACTCTGTATATTTGCACGCAGCTACACATACATTCCGACTTGCAATTTCCATAATTAAATCGCATATTTGTGCTTCTGCGAGCAAGCCCTCATGTTTCGTTTGAGCGTTTGGTAAACTAGAGGTGCTGGTGAACGTTTGAACTATGAGGTGCTCTGAGCGCATTTCAAATACTAGCTGTACAAACATGACGGAGGATAAGGCATGCGGACTGTCGAAAGGACTGAGCTCGATATCCGGGTCTACGACACTTCCCCCGATTCAATCCAGTCCATTGCAGAACGAGGCTGGCGTCAGAGTGATATGGGTAAGAAAAGCATGAGCTATGTTGACTGAATCGTAGGAGACGTCGGCGGAGTCAAAGTACTTGAATGACAAGTGTTTGAGCTTGCATTGACGTTGGGGTCGTTTAGTCAGGCGGCATCGGCCGAGATCGTGCGAGGTTATGGTTTGGTTTCCTCTCGCGCCTTTTCAAAGGACTCAGTTGCCGGCTCGTGCGCTGTTCGCTATCGGGCTGCGCCCAAGCCCACTTAATACTTTCCTTTGTCTGGAGTTGAAAGGTACCAGACTCAGCAGACGATGCACAGCATCACAACTCCAAACCCTGCGTAGAATCCCTCAGACCTCATGACGCTGCCTAAGTACATACAATCCATCCTCCGTGTATACTATACTTATCTTCATCGAGTTTCGACAGAGCAGTCTCGTTTTTGTCTCTTCCACTCTGCCCTTTCTTCATCTGGTGATCTATGTGACATGGCGTTGCGACATTGGTGGCTGCACAGTGTGCGAGAACGACCTTTATGTCAAACCTAGAACCTTGAGCTTCTCAGGCCGTCCAGTGATTGATCCCGCTTACATCAAGGACTAAGATAGGCTAATGTCCGCTTCTCGGATCATGTAGGTTGCTGAAGCTGGATGGTGACGATGATCCCTATCAACATACCGCACCGTGCCGGTGGTTTGCTCTTGGCCTTTGACCAGGAGGGGTAAGACATTCATACGACCCATAAGCGCTTTAAATAAGACGTGATGAGAGATTCAACTTGCCTCCAAGCGTGTGCCTCTCCGACAGCGTCCCTTTTATCATCTTGATCCTCTGTTCTTTGCGTCTCCACCTTGGTTGGTTATCAGGAGATTTTACTCTGGTGTCCTTCACGTGGCAGCTGCAGCAAAACGGCTTCTAGCATGGACACATTCTCTCCAACGACTGATATCGGTCCCACTGTTGTCGGGACATTCGTGACCTTCCTGCTCTTTGGATGCCTACTCGTTCAGACGTATGCCTACACCATCCAGTTTGGGAGCAAGGATCCGTGGTTCTTAAAAGGCCTAGTCATACTTATCGTGTAAGTCTGCATTTGCTTTCACCGTCGTCCGACTGTTGTAAGTCCTACCCCTCATTCTAACCACCGGTTGTTTCGGCAAGTGGGCTTGAGCTAGGGCACTTGGTATCAGGGGCGATAGGAGTGTGGGACATGACTATTGGCACTCTTGTTGCAATGGGCCAGGCCCTGAACGAGGCAATGAAGGACCCCGCCCAGATTGCAAATGGAGGTGGACTGAGTGAGACTTTCTCTGTCGGAGCAAGCGTAGCGTCAATCTGGGGTCCAATCATCGCGTTCTTCGTCCGAGTAAGTTTCCAGCTCCCATGTTATCCTCAACGAGTCCTCACCCATACCTTGGTCCTCTTCCCAACCAACTCCTCGCTTTTCCTCGGTGTTCAACAACGTATCACCCCTCCCCCGTCCTTGTCGTCTCAACTCACTGCCAACACGTTACGAAACATCGCAGCTCTTCTTTCTATACCGTTTCCGCAGATTCTCGGGAGCCTGGATACTCCCAGGTCTTTGCGCCGCTCTCAGTATTGCGCATCTCGGCCTTGGACTTGCCGTATGGCCGCTTACGCTTTCTGCCACCAACGCTGAAGCGTTCCGGGATGACAACCATGGAAAGATCATTGCGCTTCTCATAGTCGAGCTCCTCGCCGACACGAGCATCACTATGGGGCTGTCGTACTACCTCTGGCGGACCGGGAGCGATATGGGCAAGAATCACGCGTGAGTACTCACTTGAAAAAATGTGCACATTGCATCCACATATTGCGATTTTCAATTACTGCACGAGCCCCATAAGAGTGAAAACTGAATGCTATCGTACGCAGTACATCAGTGATGATCAAGAGGTTGATCCTGTGGACTATCGGTGAGTATTAATAGCTCTTGCAGTGAAAATCAAAGTAAAATACCGTTTCTGACTTGGTCCATTGACAGAGGTGGGTATGATCACGACGTGAGCGATTTGACTTCGCACCATATTGTGCCTCAACTAAATCGACTGGGGTGCTTCGTAAAGCCTGACGGACCTTTCCATTATCGCGACGGTGCGTAACTACTGACTTATCAATCGAGAAGCAGCTACTGATGCAACGCTGTCGTTCAACTAGTTCGTGGCTATGCCTTCTAATTGTGGGTCTTCTCTTCACCCCGAGACGTCTCACACGGTCACTCACCGGGTTATATATCCTCTCAAAGTCGTGTGGACGGGTCTCTACTCATACCAGCCGGCTATCTATGCCAACTCTCTCCTCACCGCGTGCGTGCCCTCCACGTATGTTTCTGAGACCCCGGGTTGCTGACGTCGTCGTGGCGTTGCTCAGCCTGAACAGCCGCACAGACATCCACAGGCTCAACCCCGATGTCTACGTCGAAGATAAGAGCTGGCATCCTTCAAGGGTAAGAATTCGCATTTTCACGATTGAGGTTAGGTAACGTTATTTTATTCTGTGTAGTCGAAAGGACTGAGCTCGACTTCCGGGTCCACGACGCTTCCCCCGATTCAATTCAGTCCACCGCAGAACGAGACCCGGCGCCAGAGCGAAATCGGCATGAAAAGCATGAGCTATGATCTCATCTGAGTTATGTCGACTGCATCGTAGGAGATGTCGGTGACAAGGTACTTGAACCGACGGCAGCACCTTTGATCGCTGCCCTTGTTGTGCGCCTTCGTGCGCTTGTGCACCAACACTTACCGAACTCACTTATTAAGGTCCCTATTTTATGAATTCTGTAGTTACCTCGAATAGCGTTTCAAAGCTATGTCTAAAACTGCCTGTAAAGCCGCCTTTTCCGTTTGGCCTATAAGCTCGGCGAATACCGCGAGAATTTTGGTCTGATTTAGGCGTGGGAAGTATGACGAGGCGGTGTAGATTTTGGTGCGCCGTTTGCTGAAGACCTAAGTTACTAATACTACGACGCTCTTCCACTGACAGCAAGCACACTCTTTCCTGTCTGTAAGAGATTCAGAACTAGTGTTTCAGAGATGGTGCACTGCGGCATAGAGAATTTCGCTTACTGTTGACTGACCATCTATAGCCAGGCGATGCTCTAGAGGCATCTTGACGTGGTGCCCTGACCTGATGGTGGCAACCCAAGATGATGCCATCGTAACAGGCTAAACTGAACGCTCTCCGCGATCTCTTCCATAGGCATCCTTACCGTCTGATTCTTTCCTTGCGCCAGCCTTTAATCGGCTGCTCTCTAGTAGCCGAGGTGACTAGACCCCTCAGGGTTTACTTGTCCTGCCATCTTAAGGGACCAAATGTGCCCCACCCCAGCCTAGTCCTAGGCAAAGCCCCGCACCGTGATCTTTAACTTGTCAACCAGCCCATCAGCCTCAACTGTCAAGTAGCTGACAATCCATCATGGGTCCTATATAACCCCAGGTCCAACTCGCACAATCTTTGGTCCAGGTTGATCCTCCCCTCCCCTCCCTCCCCGCGCACTCGACGCTATCGAACATTGGCCATCCCGATCGCCTCAACGCTTACGAATCAAAGTTCTCATTGGAAAATGAATGCTGCAGCCGCTTTCGACCCCGTGATCGATGTTGGGCCCTCGCTGATCGGGGCATTCATCACTTTCTTCTTTTTCGGGTGTATGTTTGTTCAGACGTACATGTATTCTTATTACTGGAGGAGCGATCACTGGATGATTAAGGTGCTGGTACGTTGTTTCTATCCCGTTCGATTGTCGCCAGAGCAGCTCATGGATAACTTCTGTGCAATAGGTCACTTTGGTCATGTGAGTGCAACCGCTGCATGTTGCAGATGTCGAAGTACAATGTACTCATTGCATTACTATTGGTGCCTAGTGCAATGGAGCTTGGACACCTTGTCGGTACGACGCAGGGCGTGTGGGCGATGACGATAGGTACACTTGAAGCCCTGATACATCCGACGGCGACTTCTTCCAGCGCGTTCTCCGTCGGCTCAAACGTCGCTGCCATCTTGGGTGTGCCTATTGCCTTCTTCACTCGGGTATGCACATCTTCTTCCCAACGTCAGCATCTATTGACCCCTATTTCGTCGCCACATCCTTGTAGTTGTTCTTCCTCTACCGCTTCAGACGTTTCTCTCGCGCTTGGACATTCCCCTCCCTCTGCGGACTCCTCTCGCTCGCACATCTCGTACTCGGTCTTCTTGTCTGGTCGCGTACCGTCGGCGCGACAAATCCGCAGGGGTTCCGGGAGCAGAACGCCATGCTCATCGAGGCAGTGCTCGCCATTGAGCTGGTCGCAGACACGTTCGTCACCGGAGGGATCGCGTACTACCTGTGGGACAGCGGACGTAGCGTGTTAAAGACTTCGAAGTGAGTATCTCTCTTTCTGTGACGAAACGCTCAACATGCATCTTACGTTCGGTGATAAAGGGCGTCAAAAACGGTCAGGCAGCTGACGCTATGGACAGTTGGTGAGTGGTCGCTGAATCTTACAGCTCACAGCTCGAATACATGCTCAACCGTGTTTAACCTCCACCATTTCACAGAGGCTGGTCTTGCAACGACGTATGTCTCAATGACGTTCCTAGTTGATAGGTATACGGACGCTAATCGTCGCCCATAGCATCACAGACCTGATCATTGTAATCGCCTTCGTAACCATGCCAGCCAACTGTGAGAGGCCCTTTACTCTCTCTCAAACATACATACGTCATGATAGCTGATGATTATCTGGGCCGTAGTCCTCTGGACAGGCATTTATACCTTCCAGCCTAGCAGTGAGCCAATTTGCTTTCACCTCGATGAGAAGATCTACATCCTTATCCCTCCACCGCAGTCTATGCCAACACCCTACTTGCAGCGTATGCCTTTACTCATCCAGGCCTAACAGATACTGACGTGCATTCTTTTTTGATAGACTCAACAGCCGGAAACGGCTTTCACGCGACCGCACGCCCGCGCACATCAACACGGACAGCCTTCGGAACCTGACGACCTTTACCCCGGTACGCTCTTGGCCCCCTTTCTCCCTGACTGTTGGTCGCTAAATCGTACGTCCTCCTCGTCTTTGGTGTTTGCTACAACAGAACATGGGAGACGAAAGCTATGGGGCTGGATCGGATACGTTTATGACGGACTCTGATGGTCGTGTGCTGTCGCACACTGTTTCTGCTAAGGAGGTGGCGGCTAGTAGCATGGTCTAGTACGACACATATGTTGTTCCCGGTAAACATGCGATTTGTAATACAAGGATGTACGATAAAAGTCTTCATGTTCAGTATACAATGGTCATATCTTGGTCGTTTCGGGAATTCTAAGGACGGTATTGGAACCCATGTGAAACATTCGGTTTTAAGTTTGTATACGCGAGCAAGTTTTCCAAAGTACAGCTTGTCCTATGTAATTCTCCTTTGAAGTCATGGTAAGAAGTAAAGTAGATGTTGAAAATCATTTGACACTGTCGCGTAATGTACAGCTATCATAAAGTGGCCGAACTTAAAACGTAATAGAAGCCAAGTTTCATCCCCACGCTTCATGCGACTGAAACTTTTACCGTGCTCTGATCAGTCGCTCTCAGGATTCCCTCTCTCTTCCAGCCTTCAATACTTCAGCCCGTCCGCTCCTCAACCGCGCGGAAGTACTCGCTCACACCGACTTGGCTCACACACTTGCTCGCACAACGGTTTGTGCGCAATCCAGTATTTGTCGTGATACAGTAGTACTCACAGAACTACGGCAACCCAGACAATGCACCCATGTTTGGAGATCTCTGAAATATTGCGAATGATATGTTTTTTTTTACGAGCCGGCGATTTGGGAAGAAGATTCATCGGCTCTCGTAGCTTTGGCAATGACCTGTCGCTCATTCCAAGACCCTGCTCTTGATGCACTATACAACGAAGTCTGCTGTATTGGCCACCTTCTCATGTGCATGCCGCGGGACCTGTGGGTTCTCAAAGAATCACAGAAGGTGAGGATTCGAGAATGCCGACCAGGTGACCTGGTGTTGATACTATCTTGAAATGCATCGTGGCTTACAACTATTGGCCAATATAGGAAAAGCGGACGTTCTCGTTCCGCCGCATGATGTCTCGCGCCGATTGGCGTATTCTCGAGAAATACGCATATCGTGTGCATACTCTGAGCGTGGAAGCCTCGTCGCATGCCCAACCTATTGCCAGCGTGGACCCTGACGTCTTAAGCGTGGTCCAAGTGCACAGTGGCGGAGCTCTGCTCCCCAACCTGCGAAAGCTCTCGGTGTCTGACAACGATGGCCCAGACGGCGACGAAGTCCCTCACACCGCTGCATTCCTGCGCAACATGGTCCACTTTCCTTATCTGTTCTTCACCTCGTCCATTAGATCACTCGAACTCGACGATGTCCTGGAAAATTCACTGCATATTCTAGGCGCAGTGAGTCGGGCAATTCCATTACTCGAGCATCTCAGCTTTTCCGTGTGGGACCAGGCTGGAGATGAATTCCTGGAGCTCTTGGAAGATGCGACATGCAGGATACCGAAGCTTGTTTCGTTTCATCTTTAAATTTCTCGATTGGGAGACCGCACTGCCGATTGCACGGATAGTCAAAGCGCTCGCACCCCTTTCATCCCTAGAAGTCCTCCAGTTGCAGTGGCACAACGGATATCTGGATGAGGATCTTGCTCCCGTTTTATTGAACCCCGGCACAGGTTCTGATATAACACCATTTCCTCTCCGATCCCTGATGAAGCTCTCCATACTTTCCAGTGCATCTCAAGTCTACTGTACCATGCGCTCTATCTCCGACCTTTGCAACCTGACGTCCTTGGAGATCAATTTCGTCGTATTGGGAAGAGACGCTGCCGTGCCACAAGCCATGGCCGCTGTTGCAGATGCACTCTCGAACTCTCCGATCCGAAATATTGGTGTCTTCTGGTCTGAGAGCTACTGCCCAGGCTTACTTCCATTTGACGCGCTTCGGCCCTGGTTCAGATTTCGGGCTCTGGAGGTACTTTCCTTAGAACAGTGCCCTCACCCTTCCTTCGACGATGCCATGATCGCCGAGCTCGCGAGAGCTTTTCCAGGCCTCCATGTTCTATGCATGTACTGGGAGCGACCACTGTGGATATCTATTGGAGCCGAATGGGATACCAACGTTACGTTTCAAGGGCTCTCCGCCTTGCTCCGACACTGTCCTAAGCTTAAGAAGCTGACTTTGGCTGTTGATGTAACGGAAGGGATGAACCCGAACATTGAATCGAGTCTTGGGGGCATCTTTCAGACCGAGCTTACTACATGGGAGGTGCGCGACTCGTTGATCAGCAGGATCGACATCAAGTACGTTGCGCGGACGCTATCGTGCGTGGCACCTCATCTCGGCAAGGTCGTGCCTCCCCAGGGTTATGATTCTGCATTCGACATGAAGACCCACGAAGAAGCAGTAGAGAATTGGAAGGAAGTGGAAGGGCGGCTGGGGATTATATGTATGCACGGGAGTATTACCATGAGCATGGACCGTCGACTTGATATATGCACATACAGGTTTTTGTTTTCGGGTCCAATGGTAGAAAACATCATTCATGTGATAACAGCAACGTCCGTCCAATAGTACTAGATGCAAACGCGTAACAAAAAAGCATAAGCACAGCTACACCACCTCATTTATCAACGACCTCAACGTCCATCTCCCGATCCGACAGCGCCGGCTCGACATCGCTCGAGCCGATCGTGTACTCGGACGGCGTAGGCGCCATCGAGCGCGCCGGCGTCGACAGCATCGACACGTCCTGCGCGCCCTTGACCCCTTTCGCAGTAAGCCCCGCCGACGAGCACCCCGACACCTGCTTCTCCTCTGCCGCCTTGCGCATGCGTTCGTTGTTCCGCAGTACAATTCCCTATCCGATCATTCAATCACTGCAAAGCAAAAACAAAACGATGAATAACGCACCTTGACATCCTCGGGCCACGGCAGCTCCTCCTTGACCTCCGCAGCCTTTTGCTTCCCTTCAGGCAAAGCCCGGCTATACAGCAGCATATACGGCCCGGCTCCAAGGTGCAGCCCCGCGGGATCATCAAGCACCGTCGACTCGGGCACGCGATACACCTGCGAGTCCTCGTTCCGCCACCACTGGTCCGTCGCGTGGTCGTGCACGTACGAGTAGAGGTGGCGCCGACCGTAGAGGCCCTCGTGCACAAACACGGCGCGGAGGTCGTACTGTGTGCACGTCATTGTGAGTTATTCAGTTCATGTGCGGGAAGGGGGAGAAAGGAAAGGCAAATGGAATGGAGGAAGGAGGGGAGGAAAGGGAAAGAACAAGACAAACGGAAATATGGAAGTAACAAGCCAGAAGGGACAAGGGAAGGAGCACGTTGACCGGGGAAAAGTGAAACGACAAAAGAAAGGAAAGGAGAGAAAATAAGAGAGCAAAGAAAAGAAGAAAAAAACGCACCCTCGCACGCTGCAACTCCGGAATATCAAACACCTCCCCAGCCTCCTTCCTAAACTGCGCAACACGCTCCGCAATCCCCGCCACCTCGCGCTCGATCGCCGCCAGCGCAGCCCTCAGCTTCCCCGCCGTGCTCCGCAGCACATCCGCGCGCGCAGGATCACCATACGCGTCCGCAACATGCTCGTAGTACTCGATCGTCGCGCGCAGATCTTTCAGCGTGTCCTTGTCCTGCGCCCGCGTCATTCGCATCAGCACACCTCATACTCGAAATAAAACAGGAGAAAGAAAAAAAAGGCGATACCTTGAACCCGACCAACGACCGCCGCCTTGCCTCGAGCCTCGCAATCTCCTCGCGCATCACCCGCTGCAACTTGCGCTTCTCATTCGCCAGCTCCACATTCTGGCTCAAAAACGGGTCCAGATACACGTGCTTCGGATAGCGAAACGGCGTGCGCTCTCTCCTCGCACCGGCACCCGCACGCCACTCACCCGCCCCTCCTGCGACATCGCCAGCGCCACCACCACCACCACCACCACCGGCGCCGGCTTTCGAAGTCGACGCGGAAGCGGAGGCGGCGGAAGCGGAGGAAGAAGAAGAAGAGGCAGGATCAGCGCGCGCAAGCTGAAACGCGACAACGTCCGACGGCTCGTATATCACCTCCTGCCTTGCCTCCGCGTCGCCCTTGCTCGCCAGCTGCGCGGACAGGCACGAGAGCAGGTCGTTGTTCCGCTCCTCCTCTGAACCGTAACCGTAGCCGTAGCCGTAGCCGTAGCCGTAGCTGTCGTGCGGGCCAACACCGGCACTGCCAGCGGGCCCGCCGTGGCTGTCGATATCGACGCGGACGATCGCCGCGGACTGTGTGATCTCCGCCGGGCTGCTGGAGTGCGTGCCGAATTCGAAGCGGAGGAGGTTAGGTCTGTGTATGTGGGCGGTGCTTCAGCGTCGCGTAGTAGATGGGGGCGGAGAGCGATGTAGACGGAGAGCGGGGAAGACGTACGAAAGCACATTTTTACACTCCCTCCGATCCTGCTCGCTGAACAGCCGTTCCATCAGCGCAGTGAGCCGATCGTAGAACCCTGAAATAAAATAAACGGGAAAAAATACGGTCCCAGACCCCGTCAGCCAACCCCAGATCAAGACGATAAAGCAAGCACGAGGTGCGCACTGTACGACAACATCCCAACATCCTCCGCGAGACTCGCCCACGGCCTGATATCAAACGCCGCCGCCGCCTCATTGATGTTCACCTCCGAGAGACAAATATGCTCCATGTGCACGAAGATCTCGACGAGCGACCACAGCGCGTGTTCTGCGTCCACTCCACGGCGGATCCCCCATCAGAATCAATAATGGCTATTTCGAGGCGTCGCAGAAGCGCAACGGAGCGACATACCGGGACCGCTCGTCGGCGGAGGGGCCTCGACGGCGCCAGGCGGCGCATCGGGACGCCAGCGCGCGACGCGCGCGCGTAGTTGCGGGACGTAGTAGAGGCCTTGAAGGATCAGCGCGGCGTACACGAGCGGGCTGTTTGACGGGCGGAGCGCTACCGGGCTGGATCATTAAAATTTCGAGAAAAACGCGGGGCGGGTCAGCGAACAGATGAATGGGAGCGCAAGAGAACTAAGACGCACGCGCCGTCCTCACGCATCATCCGCTCCTCCGGCCACGGCTCATAAACGTCCTTGACGTCCGCGTGCTCGAGACTCGCCTCGATCGCGCGCGAAAGCTCGTCCTGCGCTGGGTCCGTAACCTGTTGCCAACAAACATAAGCCATGCCGAAGGCTACACTATTGCCAGAAGAAGAACACGCACGGCATTGTTGCTGTTGGATGGGACAACAGCCCATGCAGGGTCCGCTGGACGGTTGCTCGGCCCGAAATGCGGCGGCGGCGGATCCATGCTCTCGAGCGAGGCCTTGAGCGCCCTGTTCAGCTCCGCGTCGTCGTCCGCCGTGAGATCGATATTGATCGGCGTGTTCGGGCGCGTCGGCACGTCCCGACGCTGCTGCTGCGTCCCCGCGCCTCCGGAATTATACAACAAATTCGAATTCGAGGTCGAGCGGGGTACCTGCCCAGAAGCCGACGAAGAGGACGCGAGCGGCGGGACAGCGGGCGACGATGATGATGAGGATAGTGGCATGGCGACGTCGAGCCCGGTGTCGCCGTCCAGGATGGCCATGATCGCTTTAGAGACGTCGCCGTCGTGCTTGCGCAGGACGCGGCGCGCGACGGAGGCGTCGAACGCGTCGGCCATCATCTCGCGCACCTGCGCGATCTTGGCCTCGTCGTCTGCGGGACTGGTCTGCATCGCGGGCGGGTGCCTAGTAGATGCGTGCTTGGTCGTGGGCGAGTGGGGATTGGGGAGGCGGGCGGTCGATGCGGATGCGGTGGACGACGAGTAGCGCTGCGGTGGTGGGGGGAGAGCGCGTACGGATGTGGGACCGATCTGTGCGCTGCTCGAGGAGGAGGAAGAGGAAGCGGGTGGAGTGGGGAGGGGGCTGTGCGCACGGGGATGGGAATGCTGGCGTTGGTGGTGATGGGTGGGATTGTCCTCGGGCCAGTTGGGGGACAGATAGTTGCTGCTTGCCGTGCGGACGCTGACAGAGCCGCTGTCCCTGCGAGAAGGACGGAGATCGCGGTCAGAGTGAGATCGGGGGACGTGGACGTCAGCGAGGGGCGTGAACTTTGCGGTGGGGGTCGTCTCTGTGACTGGGGTGCCCGATGCTGAGCTGTTTAGGGAAAAGCGGGAGTCGGCGGAGTGCTGGGAGATGGAGTCGGTGTCGGGATCGGAGCGGCGTACGTGGACAAAGGCGTCGAAGTCAGGCTGGGATGTGGCGGTGGATGGGGCAGGGGACTTGGACTTGTTTCTGCGGTGGATGTGGGGACGGGCTTCTCGGACGCGGTGCCAGGCAGCTTTCATGTCTTTCATTGGATGTCCTCTACCCAGGTCCTTGTCTTCCCAGCGAGGTCCGAGTAAGGTGTAACACGTGTGCCGACGCTCGCGTCATAACGGCATTAACCCTCTCATATAGGCTACACTGCCTCCTATCATCACATCGGATATGGTGTAACGGCTAACATTGCCGCCTCTCACGCGGCAGCTCGGGGTTCGACTCCCCGTATCCGAATATCTTTTGCCAACGACATCTCTACCGTTTTTATCTGCCGTGTCATGGACCTTGATAACACAATTGAACCTATCACAAAGTACAGAGTGGAGATTGTTATTTAACAATACAAGATACAGCAAAGTCAGGTGTAAGTAGCTCTAATAGTGCATACCCCAGCATACCGAGGTGAACGTCGCTCCAAGAAAAACCATACATATAATCAAGTCCTCCTATCCTTTTCCACGCACTCCTTCCTTCGTGTCCTCGGCACGATATGCACCAAGGTCCTTGAAGAGCCATCTTGCATATACACACGATACACACGTTTATATCGCTGCTCCGTCTTAGAGCAGCAAAGATGTCCGTCGAAAGTACGTCCATCGTCCATCATCCGGGGGAGGCCTTCACGCCTGTGACCGCGCAAGCACAGCCCCCGACACCCTCCCCGCCCTCTCCAGACTCCCATCTTCAAGCTCATACGCAGGTCTAAACTGTGCCTTCCTCCCGCTCCCGTTCCCGTCAACACCGTTCGTCGACCCCTTAAGAACCCCTTCTTCCCTGGGGACGGAGGCCTTGGAAGCCTTGGGGTGCGGCTCGGCAATGCACATCTGGTCCGTGTTGCTCGCGACCATCGTGAACGCGGGGAGCTTCGCGCGGGGATGCGGCTCCGCGATGCACATCTGCTCTGTGTTGCTTGCGTATATCGTTAGCTCTGGGATCTTGAGGTTGTCTGGTATTCCCCCTGCTGGCGCTGGCGCTGGGTCATTCGAGCTGCTGGCGGGTGGAAGTGGCGAGTGCGCGGCGGAGCCGCATGCACTGTTGCTGCTGCCGCCGTTGAGGAGGGGAGACTCGTAGATGTTGCACATCATATCTGGGTTGTCTGCGTACATCGTAAGTGCGTCAGGTAGCCGGTGGTCTATTGGGGGCGACGACATGGGTGCAGAAGAGGAAGAAGCTGCGGCAGGGGCAGAGGAGGACAAGGCGGGCGACGGAGAAATCTGGAGCGCGGGATTCGGGAACGTATTATATGTCGAGCCGAGGGAGGTGTACCTGCGTCATCGGTGATGAGTCAATAAGCCCTCCGGGAAGAACGCGAGTCAAAGCGGCTTGAGGATGACGTACCCCTCATCGTACAGACTGCAGTACGGCACCTTGAGATCGAGCAGAAACTTCCATATGTCCGCGTACGACCAGTTCAGGATCGGGTTCACCCGGTCGAACTCGGGCCACCCGGAATCGGTCTTGGAGACGAACTCGAGTGTTGCTGCAAAGACCATGTTCAACAACCGCGTACTCAAACCACCGCGGCAAAAGAGAGAGCTCACCTCCGTGAGGATCCGTCTTACGCGTCCCGATGAGAATCGCCGTGATATGCCCGTGATGCTCCTTGTACCTCTCCAGCGCCCTCTTCATCCCCGCCCCGCCGCGCGCCTTGCCCACAGGCCTTGGCGCCTCGCTCGACTCGGACGGCGACGATAGCGAGAACACCGAGGGTGTCATCACGCCAGGCGTCACAGCGGGAGTGACGCTCTCCACCTGCGCGTCGAGCGCCGTGGGCCAGCCGGCAGATGCCGCGCCGTTGTCATTGCCATTGCCGTTACCGTTGGGGGAGGCGACATCATCGGGCTCGGGCTCGACGCGCTCGAGTCTGAGGTTGTATACTTGTGCAGAGTCGTTGATGAACTCCTCCAGCACGGGGAACGGGGACGGGACGGGGATGTAGAGCGCTTGGGTCTCGGGGAGGGTGAGCGCCTGTGATGAGGGGTCGGGGTGTTTCTTGATGGCGCGGTGCGCGAGGACGGCGATGTAGAGGTGGAGGAGGACGGTGCCTATATAGTTGAGCAGGATGTGAGCGGTGTGCACGTCGATGCGATGAAGAGCAGAAGAGAAAATGAGAGGGGAGGTATGTGCAGCGGAGGGTGATATGTGGGTGAACGGATGTGCCGGCCGAGGCGAGGGGAGTCAAGGGGGATGACGTACAGTCTTTGCCGCCGTTGAAGCTCAGCGAGACGTTCTTCTCGCTGTGCATATTGAGCACTGCACCGCACGGCTAGCACCGATTGACCACTCACCCATTCTTCTCGAGAGCGTCGTTGATAATTCCCAACGCGGTCTTGACATGCTGTCCTAGCGTCCCGTTATTCACGAGGCTGTACACCTCTTTGTGGATCTTGCGAATCGTTTCGGAGTCCATCGCCTGCATTGTGCGCTGAGATAAGTTACGCAGAGGGCCGTTCAGGGTGCGATAAGGGGGATAATGGCGCGGGTAGACTGGTAGAGAAGGTTGTGGTCGTGGTCGTGGGCAGAGCAGCGCAGGCCCATGGAAAGCGAAGGACCGAAATCTCATACGCAGTGCGGTAGATTGTGGGAATCAATCCGATTGGCTCACGACGACTCAGAGCACCTCAGGCTTCTTATCCCCTTTACACTTGCCCAGCTTGCCACGGCGCAGCTCAGCTCTTCTCTTTCTGGAGACGACGATATAGGTATGCATGATTAGGCTCCGCTACAGCTTTGGCGCGCAGCACCTGACACGATTCTGCATCTGCATCAGGCCGCGATATCGAATCATATCACGACCGCTCTAACCCGGACTTTACCAACCTTACATCCACACTACCACTACCACTTCCAGCAATGCCCAACGTCGTCCTCGTCACGGGCGGCAGCGGCCTCGTCGGCCAGGCCATCAAGCATGTGATCGAAACCGAGCCCGCGGGCTCCCCGTTCGCGAAGCAGCAGGGCGAGACGTGGGTCTTCGCCACGTCTAAGGACGCAGATCTCAAGTGAGTACTTGCTAGTGCAGTGCGTCGTGATCTATCTCTGCCCCGCTGCGCTCTCCGCGTACCGCCCCGATTCCCCCGTCGTTTACTTTGAGGTCTAGAAGCTGCTGATCCTGATCCTGATCGCGCGGCACAGGGACCCGGCGAGCACGCAGAAGCTGTTCGAAAAGTACAAGCCGACGCATGTTATCCATCTCGCTGCGCATGGTCAGCATCGATCTCTTTCTCCTGCCCCCTTGCTGTGAAGCCCCTGATTAGCTAACATGGCTCTCGCACAGTCGGCGGTCTCTTCGCCAACCAAGCCGCTAACGTGCGTCCCCATCAACACCTTCTCCGTACCCAACTAACACCACCCTCCCTTCTCGATGATCGCGATGCGGACAACACGCACAGCTCACTTTCATGCGCGACAACATCCTCATGAACGACAACGTCCTGCACACCTCGTACGCGCAGGGCGTGACCAAGGTCATCTCGTGCCTCTCGACGTGCGTCTTCCCCGACAAGGTCGCCTACCCGCTCGACGAGTCCAAGATCCACCTCGGCCCGCCGCACAACTCCAACTTTGGGTATTCGCATGCGAAGCGCCTCGTCGATGTGCAGAATCAGTGCGTGTGATGTCTTTGTTCTTCCTGTGTCTACTCGCTTGCTCGAGCTGTGTGAGAGATGTGTGAGGGAGAGTGCTGACGGTGGTGCGTAGCGCGTACGTTGACGCGTTCCAGCGCAATGGCGAGAAGGGCAGGCTGTTCACGGCCGCGATCCCGACGAACGTGTTCGGCCCACACGATAACTTGTACGTCCCCCCACCCGTCCCCCCACCCGTCCCCATCCCCGCCTCCCTCTAACACCAACGCCACGTCTCTCACAGCGATCTCCAACAAGCACACGTCATCCCCGCGCTCATCCACAAGTGCTACCTCGCGCAAAAGGACGGCGCGCAGTTCGTGCTCCGCGGGACGGGCACGCCGCTGCGGCAGTTCATCTACTCGCGCGACCTCGCGAAGCTGTTCGTCTGGATGCTGCGCGCGTACGACTCCGTTGAGCCGCTCATCCTGAGCGTCGGCGAGGAGGACGAGGTGCCGATTGCGCAGGTCGCGGGCGGGATCGTGAAGACGATGGGGTTCGGGGGGGAGTATCGCGTGCGTCCGCCTTTTTCTTATCGCCTTTGGTTGCGTGTCGTTTTGTGTCTCATGTGTCGGACTCGGTGTTGGTATAGTTCGACATGGACGAGAACGCCAATGGCCAGTTCCGCAAGCCGGCGAGCAACGCGAAGCTCACGGGCCAGCTCAAGGCGGCCGGTGTCGACTTCAAGTTCACGCCCTTTGACGATGGTGCGTCGACGTTCTTTCGTCTATATATCCCTGACTTGCTGCTGACCATGGGTTCGTTCGCCATCCCACCTTGCAGCTCTGAGCGAAACTGTTACGTGGTTCCTTCAGAACTATGACAGCGCTCGTACGGGTAAAGGAAAGCAGTGAGGATAGATAGCTTGTATGATAACGCCATTCGTAGCTTGTTGTTGACACTGTGCTTGTGCAACGATTCACCGTTGTGATAGACTTCGCCCTACGTTGTTTGCGCGGTTAGCTTATTGCAGGTTATATTCGAGCGACAATTGATAGGATATGTCACTGAGCACAGAATGGTTTTATCTGGGCTGTATCGGGGTAAAGGCAGAGAGCGAGATGGTCCAGCAAATGTACTCCCCGACGAGATAGAGGTAAGATTTCGCGTTGGCATTTCCCATCATATAAGCTATATGAACCACAAGTTTACCTCATCCCTCTTCTGCCGTGTTCTACGCACTCTCGTTGACAAAAGATGTGAATTCCCCGAGGTGATAGTCTATGCAGATGGAGAGCCGAGCCCCAATGGCGAAGTGAGGACACGAGACTGGCCATCAGTAAAACCGCCACTCTCTTGCTAGTCTTGTCACCTTGTGGCAAGGTGACAAGGCGTCATGAAACATGAAACCCACCATTGAATCATAAAAACAATTTGATACTTACTATTCCGATATTCAAGCTTGATTTGATTCGCCATTTTAATGTCCAGGAGGGCGATACACCCTAAGACCGTCGGACAGTACTACTGTAGAAACTCGTAACGTAAAGTGTAACCAAGAACGAGGATGTCATGCTAACAAGTACCCGCCAGCCGAAGCTGTGAGCTGATATTCAAGCTTCAGATGGTGTTTGAGGTCCGGAATATGGTCTAGGAATAATCCTGGACAACCGAACGAAGTAAATTTCCTGGCCTTGTATAAGGCACTTGTCCGTGTAAACTCCACTCCTCCGAAGCGACCTTGCCCCGCCAATAGACTTGCCTTGCGAATTTCGGCGTCCTGGTCGAATTGTTCCCTTGTGCAAGGTCGCACAACCTGTACAAGCCGCGACAAGCCTTTTTCAACTTTACTGATGGCCACTCACTGACTGGTTCAGGGCTACGACCCAGAGCTGCCCCACGTTACAAAGTCCCGATACGGGGCATAGCTTCAAGAACATTCTATCTTCCTTGAGGCCTGAGGTCGGGATAATCCACTGTTGGTGCTACGCTGTCTGGGAAAATCGCCTGCACCTCCCTGATAGGGGCGGTTGGCTCGAGGATACGATGCTCCCGGAGTTCTCGCTTGAAGCTGCGGTCCAAATCCACCCAGTATAGACGCGGAGACGCTTGACGTGGAGCTCATCTATTACGTTTACTTAATCTATGTTATGATTGAGAGTAATGAGGCCTGCGGATGGAGAACTTTCTCTCACTTCACGACACTAGAGCCTTCTTGAAGCCCTCTTATGTATGATAGATTCTTAGACGCTTAATTGTATTGATTAGAAGAAAGGGTCTATAACAGCGTTGCTATGCTCTGGCGACGACCGAACCTCAATTGAATTATCAACACGGGGAATTGACAAGCTACAAGTTACGTTCAGGGAGCGAATGTGTATGTGGAAGTCAGAGAGAGAGAAAGAATCTATAATTATATCCCGCGGAAAACGCATTTAGGGTACATTAAGAGGCGGCTAAGTGCTACTTGGTGGTAATCTAGTCGGTATGTGGAAGTCGGAGACGCCGCAAGGTAGCTTTTAAGAATAGGGGGCGGCTCTCAAATTATACCGCTTGCTTAAAATAGCGTAGAACTAGGTGGGGACGCTGGCGATATTATTGGCAGACGCCCACATAAGTGCAACTCTGACGGCATCAATCTTCGCTAGCATGCTCGATAGTATTTCCTCCGACGAACACGCCCCAGTACTCGATAGAGAGTTCGCTAAAAACAGGTTAGGACGTCTCTTGAGTCTCTTGACCATTGCGGAGTGGGGCCAGGGGCATCTAGTGGCATATGCCATCCGCATGCCAGATATTATGAGAAGCATCAGCGGTGAACCTTCGCGACAGAAATACGGGAAATGATCAAGCGTGTTCGACACCAGCAGCCAGGTGTGCGACTGGTGAAGCTCTTATGGTCTTGGGGGAGGAACAGAAAGGAACTCCGTGGACGATGCACATGCCAGTGGGCAGGGCTCGCGTTTACCAGAGATGAAACAACCATCGAAGAGCGTTAATACCGCGTCAACAGGAGCAGACAGGGTATAAACACGTTATTGGGGGAAAGCACGAGCTACGAGCAGTCAGCAGGACAGGTCGACGAGGGTAAACGGGAGTGGGCATATACTCGCTCTGGCGAGGAGGCATGGGGATCTCTGTGTCCGGTGCGTTATCTCGAGGAGATGATCCAAGATGATCCATCTTTTCCCTCTGGATAAGCGAGCGTCGCCGCCTTAAAGCTTCAATCACCTCGGACCAAGTTGGAAGGAGGTGATCGGCGGATATTGCTACCCCGGGCTGCGATCAAGATCGAAGGTACTGAGGAAGCTGCGTTGCAGGTGACATCGAATTATTTGGACAAGTGGAGCGTCGATAACGGGATACATCGCGAATAAAACGTTGTGATCTGTTTACGACAGTTGACGAGGGAGCCGCAGCCGCAGCTGCATGCGCGCTAGAATTAGGAGACTATTCTGGAAGAATGTTGATGGGTACAGGTTTGAGACGCGTCGGAGAATCAACTGGAGTCGGACAGGACGTCGGACCGTTGTCCATGCGACAGACGACATTTTCATCGCTTAGGCACGGGGCGCACGGACCAAGCTGTGCACAAGGGCGTCAACGCCAATGTTCTTCCGAATATTTCAAGTATAAGGGGGTTGAGAGAGGGGTTTTGGAGATTTCGTTTACCTTTGACAACAGTAAGAAATAGTATGTGCTTCATGGGGGTAGATCGAACGTCCGTGGCTCTAAGATGGGCGTCTGATAGTGAGCTCGAGACCGGAGAAGGCCTTGGAGGTGGATCTTGTCTCGTAGGCTCGGAGTCAGACTGTCAAAAGACCTACTGTACTTAGATGTTCTCGTCAGAAGAGATGGGCACCGGCTGACACGGGCCACGTTTCAAGGTTGGATGCGGATGAGAGCCGTTGGGGCGCACCATCAGACGACATATATCAGGTTGCCAGATTGACCGCGCTACAGGAAGGGCACGCTGGAGGGTGAGATGGCCATCGCTAATGGAAACTGAACCGACCTTTAGCAGAAAGAGCGCATAAACACGCCTGTCCCATCAGCCACATGCCTTGTTTGTTGATATTTGATGTCGCCTCCGAACCCGCTCCTGTGGCATCTCCGTGCCAGTGGGGAGCCAAAGTTAAAGGAGTCGAGTCGCCCGTGTCCTGCTCCCGCTCTCCCCACTTGATATAAACCCTCCTCTTCATGGTCGTTTGCCTCATCCTCGCACTATTCCCGATGTTCGCCTCATCACAGTAACGAACGCTGCAACGTCGCGGGCGGTGTACTATACACCACTAGTCCGGGGCGTCAATCTTTTCGTTACATATTTCCCTTCACAAACTTTGCACTTCCTCAACGTCAGCCATGGCACGTGTCCCACTGCCTCTCTTTGTCATTCTCTTCTCACCATGTCCGACGTACTTCAGGTTACCGTCGACGACAAGAAATACGCGTGGTGAGTCCCACTATCCCCTCGAACGCCCTTCGCGCGCCTTATTTCAGTCCCCCAGCGAGACGTGCATCAAAGGCCACCGCTCGTCCGCATGCAAACACACCGATCGACCTCTATTCGAGATAAAGAAGAAGGGCAGGCCGATCACCCAATGCGAACACTGCCGTGAACTTCGCAAAACCAAACAAGTCCACGTCAAGTGCTCTTGTGGAAGCGTTCCCTCGTCCTCAGGAACCGCTCACGAAGGTGATCTTCCCTCGCGTCTAAGACCACCCTCCCCTAACCCTGGCTTTATGTGCGCATGTAGGCAGCTCCAAACTCCCGCATGCCGCTACGTTCCCCAATGGCTTGCCAAAGGAACTTGAAGCGAAGGTCGGGTCGCCGGTCCTGCATTCTGACGGATCCGAATCGGAATTCAGCGGTAGGCCTGAGGTCTTGGAGCCTGTTTCCGAGTGGGACACTGATCTTGCCCAAGGTGACCAATCCTCAGTCAGCGCCTGCAAGTGTGGGCCCAATCAGTGCCATTGCTGCGTCCCGCGCAAGTCGGTGTCGAAACGCCGCATGTCGGGCACATCAAGAGTTGACCATCCACAGGCGGCCGCCGACCTGCTCTCACCCGTGTCCCCGCTCTCGTCACATGTCCAGGCTCGCATTGCTGAACTCAGACCTGTGATGCCCCGTCCTCCGCGCCAGACGTCCGGCCCCCTCCACAATCCCTCGGCTGGAACGCCTCATGGCTACGGTGGTCGCAATCACGCTCATGACTTTAGCCCCTATGGTCGCGCTTACGAACAGTCATTTTCTGAGACGCCCTCGAACCCGGCCCCCTCTTCCGCCCAAGTCCCCTTCCCTCCAAATGTCGACCCTCAGCTTTTCACGAACGCAAGTGACCAGCTTCCCCCGCAGATCGCTTTTCCCTCTGCCTGCACCTGTGGCGACGGCTGTCAATGTCCTGGCTGTACCCAGCATAGCAAATCTCCTGCCCCATCTGGTGCCGCGTTCTCCTCGTGCTGCAACCCGATAACGTGCTCTTTCTGTCTGGACTGCACTATCTTCTCGATGCCGCCTGAAGCGCTACTTGAGCCCTCGCAGACTCGGGAGATCGACACGTGGCTGCAACAATTACCCCTATCTTCTCCTAACTCCTTCTCCCCCACCTCGCAAATCCCCTCGCCGCCTCTCCCGCAAGCTCCTTCCCCCAGTGTGCTGCCGAATATACCAGTCCCTCGCTGTCGCACTGCGGACGGTTCGTGCACCTGTCTCCCCGGTGCATGCTTTTGTCCGATCACGTGCTGTCAAGATTTCTGCCCCAACCGTGCCCTCTCTGCCGCTCAACCTCAAATGGCACATCCGATCCCCAGTAACCAGCATCAAGCACCGAGATCATCTGCGCCTCGGCCATCCATACGCGTACCGGATTATATGTCGATGACAAGCTTGACCAACGTTCAGCAGCCTTCAGCGACCCAGATGTATTCGGCCAGCTCGGGATCTTACTACTCGCCCAATGCTCCTAGTCGGTCCTCATCTCGGTCTTCGGCATCCAGCTTCGCTTCCGGTCCCGCATTACCTGGCGCTGGATCTAGCTCCCGGCAGCCGTCTGGTTTCTCTCCGATATCAATGCCTGGCTCTACCCCTCACAGTGGATCACAGTCAACGGGACAGGGCTTGCAACAACAACAGCCCCAGCATCAGCCATCTCAGCAGCAAAATCAGCCGCCATATCAGGGCTACTACCAAAATGACATGAGCAGACGATATTAAGTACGGCGTCTGCACGAACAAAGATGTTCGGCAAATAAATAGTGTAATTCTTTCTCCGTTTTTCTTTTGTTTTTCTTACGCGTATACTTGTCGAGCGAGCGTAATGATGTACTTCACGTGCGTTTTTCTGGAGATAATTTATGATGTTTATTACTTCGTCGTTGGTTGATCGCGTCGTCGTGAGCATAGTTTTCTCTTAGTATTAATTGCGAATACTAGTTGCGATCTTTGTCCGCTGATATACCCATCGAATTTGAGATACATCGCAAGGTTCAAGCTGCTTGGCTGTATTGCGGAATAGGTTCGTTTCCGCATAATATTACAGCCGTAGGTATGAGTACATGTTAAGTACTAAGTGACGACCGCTATAGAACTGAGACAAATACTGATACAGAGGTAGAGAAAGCAAGGAAATATGTAGGAAGTAAGTTTGCCAGCGTTTCGCAAAGATTAAGTGCGGGTCGACACCCATTCGCCATAATACTTCCAGCTCCCAGCGTCCATCTTGACCAGCGCCGTTAAACGAACCCTGTCGTACGGTAACGAAGGGTTTTCTTGGAGCGCCTTGACGATGTATCCTCTGGGAGTGAGAGAGAAAGTGAACGTGTCAGACACAGTGTCGCGTATATTAGCGATCACGCCAACTCCAGACTTACATAACGGTGCTGGACTTTAGAGGCTCAGGGTGATTCCGATTCTTCTTTAGTAATGTGCACATTTCGCTGAGGGGAGTATGATCACGATGCCACATGTTATACGCCCTCAACGGCTGCGACTGTACGTGGTTTCTAGGAGGACTGTTGTTGAATGTGCCCGTCGATTGTCGTCTCATGTTTGTGTTAGACGTCTGGCGGGACACGTTGTTTGTTGAAGCGGCTTGCCATTCCGCTTGCCGTTCCGCATCGTCCAAGGACTTTGGGTTATTGCTCAATCCGACGTCGAGCCTGAGAGCTGACATGTCGATAGCCTTGTTTGCCTCAACAGCAATGCTGAGCAGACGGTGATAGACGAGGCAGCTGGAGTGCACGTCATTAGCTGCGTCTAGGGGGTCGTTAGTAAACGTAGTTGCTGGGCATTGGGGTCAAACAGGGAAACTAACACTCTTGCTGCTTATCATCAAGTACCGATGTCCAGTCTGACGTGCGCTCCTCGCCTTTCGCCAGGGTTTTGCTGAGGTACATCTCGACCACCTTGTCAAGTGCGACAACGCGCCGGGGGTACTTCCCTGAAAACCTATCGTCTGCTGCTTTGGCCATCATTCCGAGCTCGACGAGGTTGCATGCACGAATGCTAAATTCGCGAGAAAGCTTCTCGCCATCGTCTGAGAACGGTGGTAAGCGTTTCGGGCGATCTGATTGAGGATACAATGAAGCACGTACTCATGATGTGTACTCCCGTCTTAACGATGGAGGGGTTCTTGATTACTTCCTTTCCGGTCATTAGGTACGCCTATGCCACAATATGAAGCACACTTACCGCTACCTTCTGCGGGAATTCTAAATCAAATCGAAATAGTTAGACGAAGACCTTCATAGAAGGACATAGAAACATACGGGACATCGCGCTGACCTGAATTAGTAAGATCGTTCGCTTGTCGCAAAGTTGCACCAGAGCAGTACGTCCCACATATTCCTCGCTGTTAGCCGTAGCCTGACGGTAGGGCCACTCCATGTCGAAGCCCAGAGGCCTGAGAACGATCAGTACATGGAGAACAACAGTTTCACTAAAACGAAGCTGACCCTGCAAGCGTCTGCACAAGTCGGTCCGCCTCCTTCTCGTCGCGTGTGTAGTAAATGGTAGCTTCTGGGTCCTTGTAGTCCCTGAACGAATACGTGGGAAGAATCGCGTTGAGCGAACGAGTCGGAGTCATGGCCGTCGAAGGTTGTCCCGGGGCTCCCGGGACGGCTGCGTCGGTTGACTCATCCACCTTGCGTCTCTTATCCGGCGACGACTCGGATGCACTGATTCTCCTCTTCACGGCGGGGCGGGAGGCAGACGGCTGAGGGGCGGGTGCCAAGGATGAGTTGGCTGTTGCACTATAAGACAACGCGACCGATGAAGTTGAGGCGGTGAACGAGACCGATCCCATCGAGACATTCTTAGAGGTGGATGACGCCGACTCGAACGACCGTACGTGGGCCTGTACTGGTCGTTTCGGCGAGCTTTGTTCGGTAACACAGGCAGATGTTTGTTCCTCGCCATCGTCTTTGGGGTAGTTATCTGGACTGTGGAGGGTTGTTAAGCGAGCTCATCGCGTAGTCGCTCCCACTACTGAGGAGAAGGCAGCTAACATACCTCGACGACGACCTCTCACCAGGACTGGGCGTCGACGCTCTGCTGCGTGAACCCCCCAAACTGGACCCTACCGCTCCTGAAGACGAGTTCATCGAGAGAGAAAGAGAGAAAGATTGAATTACCTCCGTACCCCTCCCAGCGCCTTTTAGGGCTTGCTGTGAGACTCAGCTGATAATGATGGTCGAGCTATGGCATAAATAGTAAAATGAAACAAGAGATGAAATACTGCTTAGATGTCGCCATGTTCGGATTATCCTCTTCAATGATAGCATAAGACCAACATTGGGCTACCTTGTCCGTGTTCGCGAGCCTCTCATCTTGTCCACTCGTACGAGCTCCCACAGATCTTGCGTGATACACACGAACAGAGAGGCGATGTCATGGAGTTCGTAGTAGAGACCATCAAGAGCCGGGTTCCGACAGGACCTACCTATTAGTGCAGGTCACTGCCAATCTTTGAAGCCGTAACAAGAGCAAATCACAAGGCAAGTCATCTGCATTATTTCAGAGACATTCTCAAACACGGATGCATTACCTTCAAGTTGGATGTCGTGATGTGAGCACAGTACCTTGAATCGATAGATGTACCGTCTGTATATGAACGAGTATACTTAGCTCTGGTGGGCGAAAGGAGCGGGACTTATAAAGGTTGGTAGGAAAAGACGCTCCTGAGGGGACCGCGCCGCTGCGAACCGACGCTCTACTGTAAAAGCATGGAAAGGCGTGGAAGCAATAAGTGGATGGCTAAGGTTAAGGTTGTGGCTGTGTCATTTTTTTTTGCGTGTTGGCACAGCGCGCATATACTCAGCGATAGATCGTAAGGTAACTCTACCGAGATAATCAACCATGGCTGCCATTTCCCTCCCTGCCCTCCCTGCCTCTTGGAACCCTCCATCCGACCCTTCGAGCTCGATATCATGTCAGTTTTCTCACCTTCAATGCAAGAAACTCGCTGACAGTCGGCTAAACAGCATTGAACGAGCGCAAACTTATCCCAGCTGGCCGCGCGTACCTCCACCACGTGCAGCGGACTGTCCACGATCTTTCCTTCGACGCTCATGACGCACACGTCGAGGAGGAGCGCAAGCGGCACGCGGAGCTCAATGGCGATGGTTTGAACGGCGAGGACGATCTTGGTGTCGGCGAGGAGGAGGAGCCGTTCGAACTGCTCCAGCAAGACCCCAAAGAGTGGAAGGTTCGCTGCCTAATTATGCGCTTGCTAAGGTCAAGTATACTAAGGGGCGATGGGATTTTCAGAAACAAGACCACTATCAGGTCCTCGGACTGTCGCACCTTCGCTATAAGGCCACGCCAGACCAGATCAAGGTCGCACGTACGTCTTCACCCGCATTGCACGCGTAAATAATACGCTGATTATTCACGTTGCTCATGATTAATATCCTCCCTCGCTCATACCGTCACCTCGACTCCCCTATTACCCTCGATCACCACAATCCGAATGACCAGATCGCAAAAAGGTGCTTAAGCACCACCCCGACAAGAAGGCGGGCCAGTCGCACACCACCAACGACGACGGGTTCTTCAAATGTATCCAGAAGGCACACGAGGTGCTTACCAACGCCGAGCGACGCCGGCAGTTCGATTCGGTCGACCCAGAGCTGCTCGCTGAGGAGGAGGACGACCCGTCGTCATCGCAGTACCAGAAGCTGCTCAAGACCAAGAAGGACGCCGGCGCGGAGCAAACCTTGTTCTTCAAGACGTTTGTGCCCATCTTTGAACGCGAGGCACGTTTCAGCAAGAAGCAGCCGGTGCCGATGCTTGGGCAGTATGAGGACGGAAAGGCGGCTGTCGAAGGGTTCTACAACTTCTGGTACGACTTCGACAGCTGGCGCTCGTTTGAGTACCTCGACAAGGAGGTCAACGAGGGAAGTGACAGGTGAGGTGTTTACGATATGCTCTGGCTGTCTCAAGTGCTGACGGCGTGCATCTAGCCGTGACGACAAACGCTACACCGAGAAGAAGAACAAGTCCGAGCGTGCTCGCCGCAAGAAGGATGATACCGCTCGTCTGCGCAACCTCGTCGATCTCGCCATGAACGTCGATCCCCGCATCAAGCGCATCCGACAGGAGGAGAAGGAGGCGCGCGAGGCCAAGAAGAAGGCTGCGAACCAGAAGGTTGGCGGACCGGCGAAGAAGACTAAGGCGGAGGAGGAGGCGGAAAAGAAGAAGGCGGAGGAGGAGAAGAAGGCGAAAGAAGAGGAGGAGAAGGCTGCTCGCGCGGAGGCTAAGAAGGCAAAAGCTGCCGCTGCGAATGCGGCCAAAAAGGCGAGGAGAGCTCAGCGTGCGGGTGAGGAGGGTGCTGATGCGTCGTGAGCTCATGGATAGGTGTTGCCTACGTTCATTATGGACCTCCCTGTTTTGTTCCTAGTCATCTATATATGTGGATGGGTATCATTAGGTGTACTACCGCGAGCCAATTGCTTCAAGACCCATCCAAAGGACGGTCCCATCGCCTTCAAAAATGCCAGGCTCGCATGAAAACCTCGTCGGCAAACTCCGCGGATGCGGATTACAGGCGTGATTGGGCGTGACCTTGTTCGCACTTCGCTTGAGCGCTTGAGCAAGTGCATACAACCATCTCCTGCCTTCATCAATCTCATTGAGAACTTCAAATGGGCGCCAATTGGAGACATAGTCTTGATTTAGTATAAGGAGGCCTCAGGCATGCTGATATTTCAAGTTATCGCCATGCTGCCAGGCGGCGCTCATCCAGGTTTACGTTTAGCCTCCATCTGAGGCCATGGTTATGTTCTAATACTGACCGTTGTAAACCAGACTGGCCACCCACTTGACATGGATATATGCGCACAGGTCGAGATGAATGTGTCTCGTCAGCCCCGCCCCTTCTAATCCTCTGCCTTCCATCTCGCTTCAAGATCGGCTCGGGAGACCCAGGCCATGTTCGCGTTCCCTCGTACGCTGAAGAAGATGCCGTTTGTGGACGCGATTCCTGGGTTGTGGTCTCAAGAGGCGTGTCTATTTCTTTCCTCTGCGCCAACTTGAATATTGACTGCTTTTGGTATCAGAAGTCGACCGGCTTCGAGGTCATCCGACCGGCGCATGGTGCTGCCTCGTCCAGGCCTGATGAGCGTCAAGACGTTGGTAACACGGGCGAGGTCTCCCGAGCAGTCCCTGCGCCAGTGTTTGGCATCACGGCCTCGGAATCACGCTTTGTGGAGGAGCTCGCGGATGCCATTCACGATTCGTCCCCCGCGCTTTTGCCCGGGATTGTGTCCTCGGAGTCTCGTTTCGCGGAAGAAGTTGCAGATGCCATCCGCGACCTCGGGCCTGACATCTCACAAGCGTCGGCGCATATCACCCAAGATGCCAATACGACGTCGCATGTGCGTACTCCAACTCTCTTTTATTACTGTCGCCAACATGCAGTGGTTTCTCCATGAACCAGGCCACCTTCAACGAGCTATCTGGGCACCTCCCACCTCCCTCGCCTACGACTGTTGTACACTACACCACCTACGCCAGATCCGATTCAGGGACTGCAACCGCTGTGGAGTTCAGCAGCCCAGGCGCTACCTTCTCTATATCCTCTGCATCGCATTCTTCGGCTGTCTCTCTGAGCACCCCGCATTCTCCTGGAGTAAGCCGTGCTGTATCAGTCCACGACTTCATCTTCCGCCGCCAGGTCGGGTATGGAGCGAACGGAAACGTCTTCCGTGTCGAAGACAGCGTTACGAAGCGATGCCTTGCGCTCAAGGTTATCCCGAAGGCGAATACGTTCCACGTCCGACCTGAGCTGATCCGCGGCGAGCAGCAGGGCATGGTGAGAGCCGAGGGGCTGCGGTACGTGTTGCAGCTCGCGGCGAGTTTCCATGATACGCGGAATTACTACATGGCCGTGGTAAGATACCTCCGCGAGCATATTATTGCTGATACCAATGCATGCGTAGAAAATGTGCTCTGGAGGTGATCTGGATACGCAGATTGCGAGGTGGGGAGCTGTGCCGCTAGACATCGCCAAGTTCTACGCCGCAGAGATTGTAAGTCGAACCGGCTACGGAAGAAACCTTTTCGCTCACCCCACTTTCATCCAGTTGGTTGGCATACGCTCTTTGCACACGCGAGGGGTCATCCACCGTGACATCAAACCCGCCAACATCCTCCTCGACGCCAAAGGCCATGTCGTCATTGCGGATTTCGGCCTCGCTAAGGTGTTCACTAAACCCCTGATGAGCTGCATTTCACCCCAAGATCTTATGTCGACGCCTGGAGTAGCTCTCTCGTTCGGGCCGTACTTGGCATCGCGATGCTGTGGAACTCCCGACTATATGGCGCCCGAGATCTGGCGCGGAGGGGGCTATGGCTTCGCGGTGGACTATTGGGCAATGGGTATCCTGCTATATGAGATGCTGATTGGAGCGGTGAGTGTGGTGCGATCTGACCATCCACCAATGGCGCTAACGTCGAGATGATAGGTGCCGTTCAGCTCTTCGCCTTCGTCAGAGATCCAGAACAGGGTCATGCATGAGAGAATGCCTATACCAACTGACATTGATGTTTCCGCTCGGGATTTCTTGAAAAGGGTACGTTCAAGTGCCTGCGGTAGACACAATTCAGACTAAACCATCCGATAGGTGCTTACTCACGGGCTTGAGGATCGGCTATCCTACGAAGAGATGAGAAGACATCCTTTCTTCCGTGACATGTACGTCGTTACCCTCTCTCGATCGAACTAAGACTTAGTTGTGTTAGCGATTGGACGAAAATCGAGAAGGGAACCGCCATTCCGCCGTACACCCCGTCCAGAGAGCTGCCGGTTTCCGTCTCGATGCGGGCCTCCGACTGCATTAACCAAGGTCTACCATTCACCGCAGACATTGATCCCATACCAGCGTTCACGTACACCTCTCCCCTCATGATGGAACCCTCTTGGCGGCGGAAAGCACGCGTCCGCCTCGTCATAGTCTACAAGCGTGTCCGCGCTCACCTCGCTCGCTCCAAACCCTCCTTGTCCCGTACCGATCCTTACTTCCCCGATATGCTCCTGCCCTCTCCATCGCCTTATACTCTTGAACGACCTGGATCCCGACTTTCCTTCATCCATTCCGACGCTTCTAGCAGTGAAGTCATCGCGGATAGCCCACTCGACATAGGGTTGGTCATAGAACCTTCTAGCTCCACGCATTTTTCGAGTTCACTCTCAGTCGGCGCCGGGTCGATGTTTATCGGTCCATCGATGTCTTTGAGTATCACGACGCCTGCTACATCTACCACTTCGCTCGCCGCGGAGACTTCAGCAAAGTTCAAGAGGCTCTCTGCATGGGCGAGCCAGGTCTTCGGGCATATTCCTGCTGCCCGGGACAGTTCATCTCTGGAGAGGGCATTGCCTATCTCAGCCGTTTAATTTGTGTCGTCGTTTCTTTAGTGGAGGGTACCAGTTGCTTTTTATTCTATGTGACTGCTGTATACATCGCATTTAATAGTCACCCTCAGAGGAGGGGTGGATCCAAGTCAAACGTAGTTGCGAGCATCCTTTGATACCATGCAGGCTTCGATAGAGTTATTTTCCTTTGGGTATATTACTAGTACCAATTGTATCCAGTGAAGTATGGTATAGTGCCGTAATGATGTAATGTCATCAACGTCTTGGACGTCCCAATCGCTCACCTAGCTTCAAGCCTTCTTATCCATCTGACCGTACGCATAGCTACATCTGGCAACAACTCAGGTCTGACAGCCCCTCCAATGTCATCTTTCAGACATGTCAACCTGAAGCCACTCGCATACGAGAATACCTCCGCGTAAATCTGTAATCTTCAAGCTGCTCCTCTACGTCCTTCCAGCACCGAACTCCCTCGCCGTTTATTCTGCAATGGACCCTGTACTCGCCTACCGGAAGCTCAAGGTTCCGAAGATTAGGAGCAATGCATGTCAGTGTACGGGCAACGAATTTGACATCGTCCGTGCCGATCACGGAATTGCACACTTCCCATCTTTGAAGCTGGGTCTGGTGTACCTCGCTAACCCACACCGCAGTTTTTGACACGACATCCGGGTTGGCTGCCGCTGTCAAGTTGGCGGCCATGGAGAGCCTTTGAAGCTTGGTACAGTACCGGAGCAATGTCGCGAGCCCTTCGAGCGTGACGTTGGTCGCACTTTCCGCGGGATCGGTTGTTCGTAGAATGCATAGAGTCATAGACAAACTACGAAGATCAGGGAATGCGGATGCAAGCTCTGCAAGCATTGCGTTGTCGAATGAGGGGCAGGGGTAATTGAGGAGCCATAGATGCCTCAGTTTGTGGAGCTTGAACAGCGGACGAAGTGCTCCGAAGGAGAGCAAGCCTGGTAGATAGAACATCTCGAAATAAAGCGCGATGTTTCTGACGGGGGACGTGGCAAGGGCTTTTGCCAACGTGACCATGGCTTGGTGGAATGTCTCGTCCGCCTGAAGCGCTTCGAAAGTAGCAAGCACTCGCGTCAACTGGGGGAGGTCAGGCAAGGCAGCCATGACTTGCATGACTTGACATGGTGAAGCCGTTAGCTCAAGGGTTCTAAGTGATTTCAGCGGGATAGGAGATGTATCGAGGTTGCAGCCGGGGTTTGTGGGCTTGCTTTTGTCTTGATTGTGACATTCTAGACGGATCTTCTCCAGCGATGAGAGAGGTGCAAGAGCCGTAAGAATAGGCAAGATTGGTAACGTCGTCTTCCATTCGACGAGAGAAAGTTTGAGGACCCGGAGTTTTGTTAGCCTACTCGCCGCGTCGTTTAGTGTCTCTAAGATATCTTCTCCGACTTGACCACATATAGATAGATCAAGATCTTCGATGTACGGGCTGGCTAGGCTTGCCGCGCTCAGTACATGCACTGAATCTGACCTTACTTCATGTAGGGTAAGCGTCCTGAGACAGGCGGCAAAGAACAGATGGGGGAAAAGAGCAACGTCGCACAGCAGCAAGCCTCGATGGTTATCTCCTTTGGTCTTGAGCCAGAGATGCCGCAGACTAGGTAGGAGGACCCCAGCGCTATGCACCTGCACTGCACCGAAAGCGTTCGGGTCCACCACAGTCAGGTGATTGTCCACGTCCCAGTTGACATGCACGATTCGTACGCGACACGCATACGTTTGCAGGATGAACCAATCGCGACGAAGCATTGCACGACGAAACAAGAGTAGACGCCCGTGCTAAGGGCGCAAGGAGTTTCTGTATCAATGGAAATTTGCACTCTAGCAACCAGGCAACTAATCCTCACATTCTCAGTAGTCTCGATCGCCCATAGATCTCGTGGCATGCACATGAGCAAGTGTGCGAGAGAGTGGATTTCGTAGTAGAGTTCATCGAGGGCCGGGTCACGGAAGTCTCTGCAGGTCATTGCGAGCGCTAGCAGAGCCGGAGGATCTGCTACGTTGTTGCATATCGCCGCCCGCATCTCAGCAACTTCGAGACAAGCATGCATCGTGCACAGCGTCGTTGCGACGCTCAGGAAGTCTGGGGTGATGGTTGAGTCCGAACCATAGTCGCACTTCAGATTTTCAGATGCTGTGGAGTACTCACAAGCTTTCGACGATCAAATGACCTACGAGGGCGACACGAAACTTAGGTTTTCCAAACAACGGCGAAGACCGGAACAACTGAGTTTCAAACGGCTCGGCCGTATTTTGCACCAGTATTGTTCCCGGTGATAAGTAATAAGGCTAAGATTATATCGCAGGTATGAACACCTCATGCAAGCAATGCACGCTTCAAACAGTCCCTCAGAATCACCGATAAAGAGAGAATAAGGTAATTTAGCTTGATGTTGTGTGTGGGGTAATCACGCCGACTTTCAACGAGCTTCCTGGGTCAATATCCAAGGACCACAGCGCTTCCAGCTATCAGCGTCCATCTTGACTAGCTCTGTCAAGCGACCGATGTCGTACGGTAACGAGGGGTCAGCTTGAAGCGCTTTGACGATGTATCCTCTGAGGGAAGTGAGCGCGTTAGATACAGTAACATCTGCCCGTGACTACGTCAACTCCAAGGACTTACATAACAGTCCCAGATTTTAGAGGCTCGACGCGGCCTCCGCACATCAGCGACGAGCACATCTCGCTAAGCGGGACGTCACGATGATGCCACATGTTATACGCCCTCATCCACTGCGGTCGTGGCGGATCTCCGGGCAGAGGGGTATTGTACGAGCCTTTTGCTGTCCGACTGGCGCTTGTGGTAGACACCTGGCTGGCTGCGCTATCGACAGCGACAGAGCTGGCCGTCGATGTTGAAGTGGTATTCGCGGGTACGAAGCGCGCCTCAGCGCTCGATCTGACGTCAAGCTTCACGGCCGACATGTCGATTTCCTTATTTGCCTCGGCGGCGATGTCAAGCAGGCGGTGATAGACGAGGCAGCCGGAGTGTACGTCGTTGGCGGCGTCTGAAGGATTGTTAATACGTAAACTCACTCAGCGTTGAAGTTCAACAAGTACGACGTACATTCGATCTTCTTACTGTCGAGGACCAGCTCCCAGTTTGACGTGCGCTCCGCACCCTTTGCCAGCGTCTTGCGGAGGTACATCGCGACCATCTTCGCAAGAGCGACGATGCGTCGGGAATACGTCTTCATAAACTCATCGTCTGCTACTTTGGCGAACATGCCCAACTCGACAAGGCCGTGAGCGCGGATGCCAAAGTCGCGGAAAAGTTTCTCGCCGTCGTCTTGGAATTGTAGTTAGCACCACTAGGGGTGTTATAGGGCGTGCGGTGGAACACGTACTCATGATGTTTGCTCCCGTCTTCACGATAGAGGGGTTTTCAATGACTTCCTTTCTATTTATCAGGCTATGTCAATGTCACAATACGAAGCACGCTCACTACCACCTTCCGCGGGAACTCTGAAGCAAATTCAGATAGTCAGATTGAAACATTCATAGAAGAACGTAGCGACGCACGGGGCATGGCGCTGACTTGAATCAGCAAGATCGTCCGCTTATCGCAGAGCTGTACAAGGGCAGTTCGTCCCTGACTATACGGATTCCAGAAAACTCGCCACTCCATGTCGAAGCCAAGAGGACTGAGGGAGATGTTTATAAGGAGGACAACAAATTGATCTAGAACGAAGCTCACCCTTCAAGCGTCTGGACAAGCCGATCTGCCTCCTTCTCATCGCGTATGTAGACGACGGCAGGGTCTGGGTCCTTGTAGTCAGTAAACGAATATACGGGAAGATCTTCGTCAACTAAGGGGGCTGGAGTCGTCGTTTCGGCGCTCGAAGGCTGCTTCGGGACCGTTGAGATGGTTGCGTCTACCGGCTCATCCACCCTACGTCTCTGACCTGGCAACGAGTCGGATGCGCTGGTTTTCCTCTTGATGGCAGGCGGCGGGACTGACAGCTGAGGGTGAGATGTCGAAGATGAGGGGGCCGTTGCACTAAACGAAGATGCAATCGATGAAGTCACGGCGCTGGATGGTAGTGTCCCCATCGAGACGGTCCTGGAGGTGGATGACGGTGACTTGAAAGACCGTGCGCGTGTTCGTAACGGCTGCTTCGGTGACCTTCGCTTGGTAACTGATGTCTGTGCTGGTTCGTGGTCATTGTCCTCAAAGAAGCTATCAGGACTATGGAGATTTCGTTGGATTGGTTGGCTACCGTTGTTGGAGAGAAGACAGCTGGCGTACCTCGACAATGATCTCTTGAACGCGCTCGGCTTCACTCGGCTGCCGTTCGTCCCTAAACCAGATCCAGCCACCTTTGACGACGAGTTCATCTCGAGGGAAGGTTTAAGGACCTTCTTATCCGTACGAGCGCCTTGTATGGTTTGTTGTTGAGCATTGCTGATGGTGTAACTTAGCCGGATATAGTAAAGGGGAAACAAGGGGGGCGTACTGCTTAGATGTCGCCATTCTCGGATTAGGCTCCTCGATGATTTCGACTGAGCTGTCAGATAGATCATCTTCGAGCAATCGCTGAAGGGTCCTCGACATGTGTTCGTACGTTCCTGTTGACGTCGAGGGCAAGACTGAGCTGTTTCGTGAAGGAGGTGCAAGTCCGCTAGCCAAGATGGTCCGCTTGAGCGCCGCCCTCCCTAGCATGAAGACCCCCGTTTCGGGACCTTCACAGAAATACGTGTATGATCGTGCAAGTCCAGCTGATAAAAGGTGGGGATTGGATCGGATGTCGAGCGGTGGAGGACAAGGACAAGACGCGTTGTTGATGTTTGTTGACGTGTTGGGGTGGTCACCTGGGTCACGCTCGTCATCGATCAGGACACCGTCCACATAGTCCCGACGCCATTCACCGACGACTCACGAAAGACGCAAAGTAGTACACTATTTAGGCCCTGGCGATGGATGCGGAGCTACGGTACGCGTGCACAAGCGTGCACTTTCCTGGTGACAGACGGACAGACGTCGAATGTAAATAACTCACTCACCTGTAGGTTGTGGCATGCAATCACTAAGCACATCGTGCTTACCTTGTTCACCCGGAATAGGTCCTTACTCAGCCAGTGCCAGTGTGGCCTTTTATCTGGTTTAGTCACCTGGTACCATTCCTTCTCACCACATATATTCCCTCGGACGGTTGCCATCTACACCAGTCGATCTTAAACCTCACCCGCATCCCCCGTCCCTGAGCATCGTCGCTTCATCATGACATCTCTTCCAATTCCCCATTACGGCAGTGTGCCTACTGTCTTGCTCAACGACGGGAGGACTATCGTTCCTTGGATTGGCTTCGGCACCGGTACCGCCCTTTATAATGGCGATGCCACCAAGCCCGTCGTTGCTGCCCTCGAGGCGGGCTTCCTTCATCTCGATGGGGCGCAGATGTATGGCAATGAGGATACGCTCGGCGCTGGACTTGTGCAGTTCCTCAAGTCGCAGAACCAAGTGACCCGCAAGGACGTGTTCGTCACAACCAAGCTCGCTGGGGTCAAATATGGTGGATCAAAGGCAGAGACCGCTGAGGAGGCCCTCGACAAGTCTCTCAAGAAGCTGGGCCTCGATTACGTCGACTTGTACCTGATTCATTCGCCCGCTTCCCACCTCGAGAAGAACGGCGGCCCGGGGCTTAGGAAGGTGTGGGAGAGTATGGTCAAGACCACGGAGGGGCCGAACCCAAAGGCGAGAGCGATAGGGGTGTCCAACTTCAAGAAGAGCCACCTCGAGGAGCTTATCGGGCCGAAGGGGAGCGAGGTGAAGATTAAGCCCGCTGTCAACCAGGTGAGCCTCTCCATTTGCTCTCATGTAGGCGTTTCAGTGCTGATGGACCGTGAAGATCGAGCTTCACCTCCACTCCTGGGCAGACCCGGAGGTACGAGCCGCGGTTGAGTTTGGAAAGGAGTACGGCATCGTCGCCGCGTCGTACGGCGGGCTTCGTCCACTCTTCGGGAGCCTCCCCAGTGGTGCCACGCGCATCACGGATAAGGTCAAAGCCGTCACCGATCAATACTCTCAGAGGAACGGTTACCAGGTGACGGACAATCAGGTATTGAACCTCTGGCTGAAGCAGAAGGGGATCTTGGTCATTACGTGGGTCCTTCGTCAAGATTCTGGTTAGAACTAGAGTCGGGATTGATGCTCACAACGTGTATAGAACAACTAGCAACTCGGAAAGGGCCAGGGACTTCGTACGCACGGGTGAGCTTAAGCCCCTATCGGACGAGGAGATAAGGCAGCTTGAGGATGCGGGAAGCTCAGATCCCTCGCTCCGTGGATATCATTGGTTTGTGAGTAACAAGATCATCTATTGTTTCTCTCGCACGTTTCATTCGTTGTGGTCGTACCATCCTTCTCATCGCTGACATCTACTTCTCTTTAGGGTGGTATGTGGAAGGATTGATGACGCTGCCTAAGGTACGATGGTAATACGCGTGTATCATCTACAGTCCTATCTCCTTTCATTTTTTGCACCACTCTATTTTATAAGGATGCTTCATCAGGGAAACATCTTTCTGGGTGTGATGTAGGTTGAAACGTATTGTTTTGATTACGTTAACAACGCCCGGCTTATTACAATGGTCTCAACCAGCCTGGAAGCATGTGAGCATATCGCCTACCGTGTTCCAGTTCTCAGGGCTCGTTTGATATGTCTTGGTGCCCAAGGTGCGTGTCTCCTCCATTGGAAACACCGCAATTATGGCGCCACATAGACTGATGTACGTATGATGCATTCAACGTCGTCTTTACGCAGCGCCGAGTTAAGTGCTTGCCACTTGGTTAGCTCGGTGTGACCATGGTCTGCAACGGCCGGTTAATCTACGTACATGCTCGCAGAGGTAGCCATGTTGACGTCAGGGACGAGCTCCTAGAGATGAGGGCAGCGACGAAGCAAATAAATCAGGTCATGTAAGGTAAATCTTACTGCTTTCATCCTCTTTGGCATAGCGCATCTACCCAAAGGCCAAATGGCGTTAATCCCCAAAGTTTTTTTTGACGGATTCGCCAGCATGGCGTCGTCAAATTGAGGTTCACGGAGAAGGTCTAGGACAAGGAACTCTAGGTTTGAGATCTTGAGACTTGAAAGAGTGAACGAATTGCGGAAAATGTTAACATTCTCGGGAATAAATAGTCAGGAATGTGAGCGCGAGGCGCGATATTGGTGAGTGCGAAAGAACTGATGACAGTGAACAAGCTCGTCCCTATATTCCCCAAGAAATGACGCACCAACTTATAGCGCACAAATAGCTTGAGCTGACAGCAGTGTGGCTCGTAACGCGGGAGTTAATTGCGAGCAAGTAGTACTTCGCTTACATATGGACTCTAGCCTCGACGGTGGTTCTCAGTGGTAACGAATCATGAGTCTCCAGGAAATGACATATAATGACGCGCTGATGATACCCCTTCAACGTAGCAATGTAGGAACACTCAGTCCGTGCCAGCACCACAAAAGGCAGCTTATAATACTTAGGTCCTTGAGTTAGCTTAGGTTCTTGTTGAAGAATCTTAATGCTTCGGTGATCATCATCGGGAACATCCAAAGTATACGTATTCAAAACGGCAGCGGATCTCATTCAGAAGCAGCTACTTCAGCCACGTACAGGCGCTGACGGGCAAGTTCCGGTGCGGATCCAAGACTAAGTGCTAACTTAGTGTCCAATTGACTTCGGTTGCATGGTCGGGCTTATAGAGTAGAAATTAATAAGGCTGTTACGGTAGACTTTTCATGCAGGTTCATTTCGTAATTCATGACGCCTTCAGAACTGTCGCTTGGATGGATTTGGGCCACGGAGGCTTTACAAAACTTTACAAGCCGGTAGCAGAGGCTATGACAAGGAGATCATGTTATTTGCATTGTTAACGCGGTATACTGTCCTTATGCTTGTAGCTTACTTGTAGTACACATTACTCTCATCACGATCTGCATACTCCCACAATGTCCGAAACCAGGAACTGGTGCCTATTTCAGTGATATCGCTGTTAGAATACCATCTTGAATAAAGATTTAGGGATCTAAGTAGGTGCTCTCGGGAAATGGAAACTTTGGTGACAGTATCTCTGGGAGGGGTCGTCTGAGGGCGGATATGAACGCTGTAAAGAATCCGCATGTGCATTATATGGGAGCTGTCCAGCAGTCTGGGGTAAGAAAATGCAGTACACATTCAACGGAGTACCAGAGTCAGCGCCGCGTGTTCCAGTTCATCTTAACACAGTCCCCAAATTCCGGTGAAGCGCCATTACATAGTCCACTCATCTCACACAGGTACCCGCTGTCTCAGTTTCCCACAAACTTTTCCACTCCCGTATCTCGTGCGATCCTCGTGTCCACCCTGAGAATTTCGTGCGTCATTTATGGACGAGATGCTCTTCATGCATCTGCACGATTGGATCGAAGAGCGGTCTCTTTCGCAAGAAGGCTTGTCGTTTGGTTTCTCCCTCAAACCTTGCTTTAGGAAATGAAAGGACTAGGTTTGTACCATCACAGTGGAGGCTGGGACGGGCGGCTTGGCATATCGAACCATCCTATAGGGCGTTCAAATCCTTCTTGAGCAGTATCGTCCCAGAATTTCTTCGGGATATCTTAAAGCTTATCACTCTAAACGCCCAATTAAAGCGGCGCAAAGATGAAGACAGCCAGGTTGACATGCGGGCAAACGGTGATCTGGGAGTTATGGATTGTCACTGACGCGGACGGCAGGGAGCTGTTTATAATCGTTAACTAGTTAGGTACTTCAAGCTTTAAGACCTAGCCATATGCAAGGAATCCACGAGGATAGATCAATGAGTTTCGTCATCCTTATTAGTCGAGAGCAATATGAGGTGCGGCGGCAACAGTCCACCGAGGTTGGTGAGTAGCACCTATTATAACTCGCTCCAAACTTGTCTTGTTTCTTGCTATGAGCCGCAGGGCTGGAGCAATTCTCAGTCCAAAAAGTATTATAATCCTTCCGGTCTCTTTACAGTGCGGTTCCTGTCGCTCTTTGTAGACATGGGATGAGCTTCTGATTCGAAAGCTCCAGAGCTCCAGAAATCCCAGCGTCTCATTCGTAGAGCCTGAGTGAAATCAGTAATCTGCTGCAATTCAGCGTTGAACGTTGAAGGAGCATCCACACCGATATTGTGGGACTGAACCTCACAGTGGTGAATATCATGGCTATCCAATTCGTCCCATATGCATGCGAATCTGGCACCACTGGCCATAGTTAGATGGGCGTCAAGTTATTACTAGCGTGAAGGTGCCCCACCAGCTCCGATGATAACGAACTAATACCAGAATCAACGAGGTCGCGGAGCCGCCGAGCCTTTCGGCTATTTCTGAGTAGGGATTTGGTATCTTTACAGTAAAGATATTTCCGTCAGATTGACCCGGCCTGTTGAATTTGCATGCGACAATCTCTCCGAAGCTTGGCCGAAGCAGTAGCAATATCCTGATTCCTGACACGCACAGGTGTCACTAGATGTCAATCTTTCCCCTGTCAAAGTCTGTCAAATGTTGTCAGCGGCACCAGTAAAGATCTGCGGAGGTAAATAATTTCGGCGCAACTGGCAATGTCCACCGCCTATCAATCACACAGTTGCGCTGTCATACATATGCGATTGTAAAAGTCAATGTCATTTCGTCTAATTCCAATGTCTATAGTGATGTGTGTCGACAACAAAAAATGAGGCCAGGTATACATATGATAAATTAAGGGTGGTACATAATGTGTCATCGGTGCGAGTTGAGTAGAAGGGTATATGGATGATACAATAAGTTGGGGTAGTCAGTTGACACAGCGCGGTTCAACTGTTTTAGCATGAGGGTCCGTCCAAGCTGCAAAACGTAAATTCCAAGAAGATCAAGATTCAGGGGCTTTCGAGTCGTAACGTGGGCATGAGATACTGAGATTCGGTAGACAGAGATGGGCGAATGCGTGGACGAGGGTGCGTAACTTGAAGGAAGATGAAGTGATGGGGGAGAATTCGCGTGTCTAAAGCTTGGCAGATGCGGGCTGCATTTTGTTGAGATAAGCGGAAGCTACCACGCTGCCGGTGCTCTTATTGACGACCTAGAACACGGAGCGAAGGTCAGCCTCTGTCGGCGGATCTGAGCGAGGCCAAGCATCGGATGTACCTCACAGCGCGCGCTCATGATGCGTCCTCCCAGGGCAATTGAGGTACTTGTGATCTTGAGACACGATCCACTGCAATGCATGCGTTTAGAGCGGCGATCGTGACCGGACATGATCGTAACTCACGCAGGGGCTGGGGAGTGGAACATGATGTTCATAGCTTGGGTTACGCCGACGCCGTTCACGTTTTGGACGAGGCCAAGCGCAACTAGTGGTGTGCTGCAGCAACTATGGAGTCGCAATGAGCATCGCGTGGCACACCCTAGCTCAGAAGTGCTTACTTGTCGATCAAGAAGGCAACACAGCCGCCATGAAGCATGCCAGCACCATTGAGCATGTCTGCATAACGTCGTCAGATGGTCAATCGAGAGTACTCGTAGAGCGAATGGATTTACTTTTGGCAACGATAACCTCGGCGACAGTGGTTGCTTCCATGCGACCCATTTTCTCGGTGCTCTCGGAGACAGACACTTCGGTGAACTTGACGGCCTTGGCAACGTGGTGGCCAAAGCAGAGCTGGTCACCAGCACCATACGCAATGAAAGTGTTCACGATCAGTTGCTTGATATGCGGGGAAACATTTCCTTGAATCCCAGAAGCGTCGCCACAGTTGGGAAGTGAAGTAGGGTCTATCCAAGCTCTCTTGGTGGAGGAGTTACCGTATGACGAAGGGGAAATGTCATATACGACTTGCGATGACGAACGGGACTGCGAGCGGGGAGTGTATGACTCGTAGGATGGGGAGGCGCTAGCGTAAGCAGTCGATGATCTCGAAGACATGTCGAAGAAATGCAAGGGTCGCCGAATGTGTTACAAGAGAAAGCGAGACAGAAGTGAAATCAGGTTGTCGAGAACTGGGCGACCGAGTGCCCAATATTTATGCGTCTTCCATCTTGCGCTCCGCGAAGGAATCTTGATTCCGCGTGGATATTTTTGGTGATCGTATCGTGGGCCGTTCTCCCATCCAGCGCTAGAGTGGAATCTGGGAGATCGGACTCCGTGCAACTGTCGATGGCGGAGGACCTACCGTGCATGTCGACATGTCGCCTTCTCCGATGCGGCCGTCCCCTCACCCAGCTGACAAGAGGATCTCGCGTCTTGCGCTGCACCTGGCCGGGAAAGAAGGGTCCACGCGGTCTCCGCAGGCACATTATAGTAAAGCAAAGGGCCCCGATAAGTTGCCTTGCCTACAGAGATGAGAATCATCCCGTCATGGCGGCCCGGTACTCATTAACTTGCAAACATGTTCGTGAGTACCCAGTCGCGGTTACGGCGGCTATGTGTCAAGTTCACCAAACGGCAAAAGCACGATCCGCGATCTCGACCAAGGATGGTAGATGTGAACCTACGGCCGGAAGAATACAAGAAGAACCTCATATAACAGGACGATTACCAGTCTGGACGAGAATCGCCATTGAGGAACGACTCCTACAGAAGGTCTGACCTCGTGTCTTGCTACAAATGGAGGAAAGCTGATCTTGTGAATATACCGAAGCGTACTTTTCCCATGATGGCCATCGAAATTTGGACACGTCAGGTCGGGAAAAACACAAGTCTGGCAGCGCTGACCGCGAAGGCGGCTGCCACTCCAGAGTTGAATGTGCGGTTCTCAAACGTGTCCGGTTACGGCAACGTCATGAGAGCGCGCACTCACGGCAAACTCCATAGAAGATATGAGGAGCCAAGGGACATCTGACGAAAAAGCCGTCAGAGTCGTCAAATACAGATTGTTAGGGATCTCGGCGGAGAACCACCGCAACAACGCCTGATGTGAGATCGGCTCATGAAGGTGATAGACGCGCCATAGCAGTTCTTGCCAATGTATGTGGTACCTAGTAATCAGTCTAGCGTAAGATAAGGTGAGTAACATTGTTTGTACTCCGATCAAGAACCGAGAAGCTTGTGAAACATTGTTAAGTTTAGCATGTGGTCAGCTATGAATAAACAGCATACTCCAAGGCCCTCTCGTGTCGTCGTCCGTCGGTGAGAACGACAACTCTTATTCCATAGTGCCAGTGACGTGGCAAGTTGGATTGCGGCTCTCGGCCAAGCATGCACCCGAACCTGGACCACTCTATCAGCAACACTGGGTCGTGAGTATGGGCATACTATGTACGCCTTCTGCGGACGTCCTCGATAAAGGGGTGCACCGCCACCAGACAACTCACATAATGAATGTTGCTGTTGCGATTTCGTTCTCGACGCGCGTAGGTGTAGTGAATACTGGTGCTACCAAGTTCCGGACACGTCATATGCGCAACCTGGATGGGCCAGCAAGGTCCCAAAATATCTGTGTCGCGCGGTTACCCAGTACCGGGACAGCAAGGGCACATATTGATGGTGCGATGTCAATGTGCTCCATTCTAGCACTTTAGCGGCGAGTGTGTTCGTCGTGGCGCCCGTTCGCGTCTTGTGAGTTATATGGATCTTCCCGAGAAAACGTGTTCTGTTCTTCTTAAAGATTAGCCTCGCGACAGCCAATAATAGATTCATGCACTCATGAAATGCGAGCTCACCAAGAATAGTTGAGTTGGTGCTATCGAGATTTGAGAACCGTGGCTAACTCTAGACTTTGGAGATCAACGTCCCTCGGGCTTCAGGGGCCTCGATGCATCGTCTCACAATCATGAGCTCGTTGCTGAGCACTCTTTTCATGTGGGGTCCAAGGGTTTTCCGCGATCGATTTGCTGCATCAACTGTGCATATTTCCGTCCCTGCATGCACGGAACGGAACTGGAGCTTGCCTAACGGCCTACCACCAGCGCATCACTATTGCCGGAATAATCGTTCACCAGGAACAGGGCTTAGATGAACAGTCCATCTGTGAGAGAGACTAATCCAGGGCTGGGCCGACTGCATACCCGAGGAGGCTGTTCGCATGTCATCGCCGTCAAAGACGACGTTACAGAGGTCGGCAGAAACCGTCGGCGGGGGACGTTCCCATCGCGGCTGTTACTGTATCAGTGATTGCCATACAATACTCAGACGACTCATCGACAGCTGTGCTGCGTGCAAATGAACATCTCGATGACCATGGTCGCGGACAGACGGCTAGGTTCTAGGTAACCGGTGTCTGTCGCAAGGGCTAACAGGTTCCCGCGCATGCAGCCCACCCAAGGGGAGCGGCCCGGTGCTGACGATGAAGCAGGGCTTATTGACATTGTAATTTGATGGTCGTGCGTCCGTGAGCGTCCAATCTATCGCGACTACAATGGCACGGCGTACCAAATGGTGTGTAACCCTGGTAATGATGATGCGCGACAGTGTAGTTTAGCTTACTAGAGCTGAGATGACTACGTGTGCGATCGAGGGTGTATCCACCAGCGTCCTTGCTGCTCATGATTTAGGCGAGGTTCAGGTGGAGAGCTTGCTGCGGGGTGGATCGACATCAACTCTTCATGCGTCGGTGGTGAAGGCAAATTCAGCACCGCAGGCTTAATTGAGTTGCATGTATGCTCGGCGGTGCAGAACGAGCATGATGCGCACAAATGTATCAACTTGGCGACACGTCGAAAGGAAAGGTGAAGATGTGGGCGATTGAACAGAGACAAAGAGACAAAGGTTATGTTTTCCCCAATCGAGCGTTGGCTAACTAGATATGGGCTTAACAGCTAATTACGTAATCACTTCTGATAATCTGGAGGCAATTCCTCGACGCGCGTCCTTGGGTGCAGAGTCTACAGACGCGTACGCCTCCACCTCCACCCCTTTCTCAGTTACCTGTCTCGCTCCCTCTTTCTTTTGCATCATCGACCATGGAGACATCATTCGCAATTACGGGCAAGGGCTATGTGATCATCGCGGCCGACACGACCGCCGCACGGTCAATCGTCAAGATGAAGATCGACGAGGACAAGATCAAGACGCTCAGCCCACACCTCCTCATGGCCTACTCTGGCGAACCAGGTGCGCATATAGGGCCCAAGATGCACGAACAAGTGACTAACCCTTTCACTCCACTCCAACTCTCCAAACGCATATAGGTGATACCCTCCAGTTCGCCGAGTATGTCGAGCGCAACATCCGCCTCTACCAGATCCGCAACCTCTACCCACTCCGTCCGGCTGCAGCTGCCTCGTGGATCCGGCGCACGCTAGCAGACTCGCTGCGCTCCCGCAGTCCGTATCAGGTCAACCTGCTCGTCGGCGGCTATGACGAGGCCACGCATTCGCCCAGCCTGCATTGGATCGACTATCTCGGCACCAGCGTTGAGGTACCGTTTGGTGCGCACGGATATGGGAGCTACTTTGCGCTGAGTTTGCTTGATCGGTAAGTGGTACCTTCGCATATACTCTTACTACAAACCATCCCCGTCCAACCAACCTGACGGCCTTGTATAGGTATCACAACCCCGAAGCTTCTCTTGAAGAGGGCCTTGACACGCTCAGACGATGCATTAATGAAGTGTCCAAGCGTCTCGTCGTAAGTCCGGGCAAGTACAAGGTGAAGGTGGTCGACAAGGATGGCACCCGAGAAGTAGAGCTTTGAAAGACGTCACACGATGTACCATTACAACCCTTTCTTCTGTTTAGTTTTTGCATGGCAACACCACCCCATTATCGCAACGATGTCCGTATCGTGCTTGCACTCGCAGACTCCACCTGCATCCGTGCTCCTTGTGATCGTTCTGCGATACCGAGAGATCGTTCGGACATTGATGCCTGGATGTTAGCCCCTGAGCGACATTCTTGTAAGGTCAATTAACTAAGATTCAGGATATGCCGCCCCACCGCAGTCAATGGCTATCAAAACTTTCGTTGGCTCACGCATGCCCAGGTACATCGTACGTGTTATACACTGATGCTTTCCATCACAGAAGAATTACATTTCCCAAACCCTCCACGCGGTCCCCTCCCATAATCCTCTCCGTCATCCTCTCACACGAAACGACCTCCCTTACCTTCTCCAAAACCTCCTCCGACTCCGCCTCTGCCTCAAGCATGATGGGTTGCGAGTCGTCCGTATTAACTTCATCCCTTGCTCTATCTTTCTGTGCACCGACAAGTTTCCGTGCAGCACGCTCTACGTCCGAACGACGAATTCGTGCGCCCCAGATGCTCTCGCTATACGCGTCTACGAGCCGCACACTGCGTAACTTGGGCATCATACCTGCACGCAGGAACATCGCAGCCACGGCAGCCGGCGAGAGGAACGCGGCCTGACCAATGTACACGCTCTCGAGGTTCGGCATGGCTGGGAGGAGAGGTTGCATCGCCGCGTTTCGTTGTACACTGGACTGCGAATGAGAGTGCATGAACGATTGGGAGTGCGAATGTGCGATAATGTGGAAGGCCGTTTGCGCGTGGACGGTGCCAGGGGGAGGGTCGGCGGCGGGGAAGGGGAACGCGATGTTTGTCACTTTGATGTGTCGGATGTGCGTCCATGTGCCAAAGGCGGAGAAGAGGCTCTGGGCGACGGGCGCGACGATCTGAAAGAAGAAACATAGTTTCTTATCAGCATGGGAGTGGCGCTGATAAGGGCGAGCCTACTGCGATGGAGAAATGATGTTCGGGGTCGGGCCCTGTCCAGGAGAATCTCTCGGGACTAAAAGCGTATAGGTTGAGGGAAAGATAAGACGAGCAAAGGCAGCGATAGGACTTACTTAATGAGCGAAAGAGCACCCTCAAGACAGTGCAGGCTCGTGTCGCGAGCATATGAATGCAGCTTAAGCTTCACTTCCTCGAGGTGCAATCGACCTGTTTGCTTATCATACCGACTGTCCTCGCCCTCTTCATTTGACGACTTGCTTGCGGATTCCCAAATCGCCTTCAGCACGTCTCGCAAGCCCTTCCACACTAGCAAGTCGGCGCCTTTTCCCGTAAAGTCGACCTCGAGCGTTCGTGGAGTCTTCTTGCTGCCTAAGAAAGCCCCTATGTCGGAATGCTGAGTGTGGCAATGAGCGAAATGGGTGAGCTGTCCTGGTGCAGTAAAGCGGACGTTCGCGTAGAGCAGCGCATGACCAACGCTCGCGAATCGACGGCACACACAGAGAATGTTTGCGGGTGCATTGTGCGCAGAAGCGATTGTGGGGCCAAGAATGAGCTCGAGTAGCTCGGTGGGCAGATCCAAGATAGTGATCGTCATCCCTCCGCCAGGCTGGGTGCTAGTGCAGCCTGGGAAAGTCCAATGATATGTTTCTGAAGAGAACGTACGTGCGAGTGCCGAGCAGAGCAGCAATTGAAAGTTTGAATCGGTGGATAGGACGTAATGGCCTTCAGGACCAAGGGAGGCTTTGGGGAAAGTTCGGAGAGATCGTTATACAAGCGGGGAAGGTGGGGTGCCCTCGTGGCAGCCATGTGAGCAGCAGGCATGGGAAAAACTTCCCGACGCGACTCACCGCCGAGCACCTGAAAGTGGCACTCCTGAAGTACGGTTCAGTATGTATTGAGCAGGGGCCAACCCAATCTTCATTCCGGTATCGACCTTTCGCTTCTTCGAGTCGTGCTTCATGGAGCCCACTGAGTGAAGCCCTATCTTTAAACCACATTTTCGGTATAGGTCTTCTTTCTTCTATAGGTAGATAGTGGTTTTTGGACTCTGGCGTTCCGAGAAAGTTGATCGGCGACCTTGCAAGGTTTGTCAAGTCTTGAACTACCGACAAACTGCCAGCGATAAATACGTCCGCAGAGTTCAGATCAGGCTCAAAAGACGGGCCGCTGGCTATGCCCATTAAGTCTGGAACCTTTTGAATTATAGACTGTTCCTCGTCTTTCGTCCGATCTGATGAAAGGATTATCATTGAAGTCAGTATTCAACATGATGCCATCAGAGCGGCGATCTCACGACTAACCTTGAGACCATGGGATATCTACAGTATTCCCGAAGACGGGACCAACGACCGGTTCTGATGAACCTAACGGGTGTCAGTCGCTCCCGATGTCGTCAGTGCTAGCTGACGAGCCCACTCATGGTACATATGCACAGATCGATGTGGTACGTTCCACAGCTGATTGTTAGGAACTGAACAAGCCTTACAACAGATGCTGGAGTGGTGCTTTCTTTAGCTGCCTCCATCTACTGTTTGCTACTGCGCATTCTGTTTCAGTCCTTGGACTTTCCGTTTATACGCAGCACGCTCGCATGTATCCCTAAATAGTTCCCCCGCAATAGTAGTGACAGGCGTAAAAAAGAGTGGTGCTTTCTGCAATTTGGAGAATAGTTAGCCGAGTGTGTCAAGTACCAGTAAGTGACAAAAAGAAACGCATCGTGTATGATACCGTCATGTTGTACGTACGTATACGGCACACACCACACGACTTATCACAGGGTACCACCATAGAAATGCCGCCGGGTTGCTTGATGCGCTTGGACGCCACAACGCCGGTCCTCTATCCCGAAGGAGTTCTCAGTTCTCGAGAATAAGCTACTTACTCGAGCGTCAACTGAGGTCGTGCCGGGGATCCTCGAAAAAGCTCTGGTTACTCGACCATGGTGTCATCACAGCACCCAGACAACTGGCGCAAGTCCAGGAAACCAACGCGCGGGTGCTCGGTGCCGTAGCATCGTCGAACAAACGGTAAATGAGCATATGCTCGTTGCCAGTAGGGATTTTCCGAGAAAGAAAAGCTTATTTCGCGTCTTTTTGCGGAGGCACAGGGAAGCACCCGACTCCCGGTACCCGCCCGGTTCAAGGTCACCGCGTCGGCTGCGGCGCACCGGTGCCCGACGTGCCACTTGCGAGGCACCGATTACTTACTTATATGAAGGCCCACAGGGGCGCCCCACGTTGGGCGCTGGCCATATGTTCGCGATCGACCAAGCTTGCCGAGCGTGTGCTCAGCGTCATGTCGGTCGATATCACAAAAAGTTTTGAGGCCATGGGCTAACTATGACCCGTTATTAGTACCATACCAGCAAAGCACGTACATGCGCATCCATACAACACTCGTATTTATCCCGACTCCCGACTCCAAAGGAACCGCACCGGGGTTTCCTTAATCGCTATCAAGCTCAACCTGCAAACCAAAAACACAGAATTAGTACACTCGGTAAACCGGCCCGAAGATCCGAACGTGAAGTGACGAGGAAACTTAGAAAGCAAGGAAATGTAGAATCGCTTGTAATTCGAGATTTGCACTCACCACCTTAGCATTTTTTGCCCTCGCTCTGCTCGCCGCCGCCCGCCCCGTCGCGCGCCCCGCAGGCGCAAACGAGAGCGTCGCCTGCGACTGTCCGCCCCTCGACGTGGCCGCCTTCGGCGCGGGCGTTTTGCGCGCAGGCGCTTTCTTGGCTGCTGATTGACTCTGGCTGATGTATTCAACCCACAGCGAGCAGCATCGCCCATTAAAAAAGTGGTGGCCACCAAGGTATGTGAGATAGAAGTTCCAAAGCGGGAGAGCGAAGGATCAGATAGCGATCAGCGCAGGGTGGATTCGGTCAGCGCGATAACCCAGCGAAGAAGGCGGACGCGGGAGCGCGAAGGGCGAGCGACGAACCTTAGCACGGACGATCGGTTCGTGCGCTTGGCAGGTGTGGGTTTCGGCATCGATTCTTCCTCCTCATCGTCATCAATTTCGTCCAGTTCGATGTACTCGCCCTCGGACTCGCTCTGGGAAGATCGGAGAAAGTCAGATACAACGCGACTTCACAGAATTTGACTTCGAGGACGTTTGATAACAGTTCATCCCCGTCACCGTGTCGCTGTGAAAGAGAGGGCTAACGTCCTCGGGGTACAACCGCGCACACGGGAAACGGGGATCAAACCCAAGAAAAGAGGTGAGAATGAGACAGTTTATCCTCACAGAGCCCCTGAGAGCGCGAGGCCTCGCCGGACTCGGTGAAGACCGCCCTCACAACATACGGCGAGCAACACCCGAGAGAAGACGAAAATAAAACCGGGATGGACAACTCGACTTCGACTTCGAAGACGTTTGATAACAGTTTACCCCGCCCACATTATAGGGAACACAAGACAAAGGCCCCGAACAGCAAGGTTCCGCACGAGCAGCTCGCAGAAGAAACGCCCCGCGAAAGTTGGAAAGCAAACGAGTGAAAAAGGGCAGCAAGGAAGAAAACACTCACGGCCACCGCCTTCTTCCCCTTCCCACCCGCGGCCTTCTTCGCCGGGGCCTTCGCTGCCGCTTTCTTAGCTGGGGCGGCCGCCTTTTTCCTCGTCGGCGGCGCAGGCTCGTCGGACTCCTCGCCAAAGTCAGAGTTGTTGTTGGCACCAGCGTCGACGTCCATCATCATGCTGTCGACGGACGCGTCCGAGTCGTCGCCTTTGGCTTTTTGCTTGCCCTAAGCGAGCGAGAGTCAAGACCGCCAGTGAGGAGTGATGTGTAGGTGGGGACTTACCTTGGCCTTTGCGGACTTGCCGTCCTTGGTTTTGTCTGTGTAGGCTTTATCGTGTTGTTCGCGGACTTTTTCGAGCTACAAATAGGCAAGAGGGCAAGATGTCATTAAACCGACGAGAAACAGGGACAAAACAACAAAAGGAATAAAGAAACATACCACATCCTCGAGCTCTCCCTCGTCCACCTCCCCGTTCGCCTGCACACCCTTCATGAGCGACTTAAGCGCCGCATTAACGTGTCTACACATCCGCATTCATCAACAACCACACTCGACGACTTCACGCACAAAGATTTCAAACACTCACAGCTGAATCGCATGCGGATCGTCCTTCTCCACAAACATCCGAATCGCATCACTCATCCCCTGCTCGCCCAGCAGCTGCAAATTCTGCGCCGCCAAATACTCATGCACCAGCGTCGCCACCCTGACCCTACTCAGCTTCTCCGCCGCGCTCAAGCTCGGATCGTCGATGCTCAGCTCCAGCGGATCGTCCGCCCTGCCGCCCGACTTACCGCCCGCGGCGGCCTTGGCCTTGGCGCGGTGGAAGACGAGCACGTCGCGCGGGTTCGCGATGCGCCCCGTGAACTCGAGCCCGAACCGGATCGGGTTCGACATCTCCGAGACGCCGGTGGTGTCGACTTTGAGGCGGACGAGGGGCAGCATGCGCGGGAGCTCGGGGTCGCCTTCGTCGAGCGCGCGGGCGTTGCGGTCGTCCCATTGCTCGTTGGCGCGGTCAATGAGGGCGTTGACCTGTAGGCGACATCGTGTGTCCGTCGGTTAGCTAGCGTGTCTTTCGATGGAGGAAAGGTGGGTGTATGGGACAGGTGTAGAGGAGAAAGAAACGTACCCTCCCGCGTAGGAACTTGGTGATAGCCATCTGGTCGCCAAGATCGACGTTCTCCTCGTCTGCGATCTCGGAGAGGATGATCTCCTCGAGCACGAACGGGCGCACGGTGCGCAACGCGAGTGGCTTGAGCTGAAATTCCTTGTGCTGGATCTCGAGGAGTGCTACGTGTCTGAAAGACGAATAGGATGTATGCAAACGCGGAGACATGAGCGAATTTTCGAGGATAATTCGAAAGATAACAGTGGTAACGCACTTCTCGATAGCCTCGCCGTCCGCGAGCGAGGTGGCGACCGACGAGCCTGGCTGGGTGATGAAATACGGTTTACCAGCGACCGGCTCGGGCACAATCCGGCAGTCGTGCTCGTGCCCCCAGACGACGAGGTCGACACTGTCGTCGAACATGCCTTCGGGGACATACTCCTGGGGGCCGTGCCGTACTCTTTCATCCGGATCGTCCTTCAGCATACGCCGAGAGAAAGGGCAGAGAGTTAAGAAACACACCGGTTCTGATGAATCAACAGCACATTGAACCAGTCGTCCTTGTCCCTCGGCATATACATCTTCATGCGATTGCTCCTCAACTCAAAGTGCATCCGCTGATCCTTGACGTTGCCCACGCCGTACAGGCCCAGACGCGTGCGTCCCTTGCGCAGTAGCACGGGGCGGATCCCGATGCCACCTGCACTGGGGTCTGGGTTGGAATTGGAGGGGTCGCCGGAGGAGGAGACGGGGAGGTCGAATTTGCCCATGTAATTGAGCAGGCCGGAAACGGAGAGGACATCGAGTGCACAGAGGGCACCTTGCTGTGTGGGGGTTGGGTATATGCGTGTGAGCAAAGGATGATGAAAGGTTACTGTGTCATATATGAAGGATGCCTCGATAATTCGGGTGTGAGATGGAGGAAAACGTAACTTACAGTGCCGGCGCCCTGTGGGTCGTCGTGGTTGCCGTGTATCGAGAATACGGGTATGCCAACGTTCAAATTTGGGTCTTCGTAGTTTACCGCAGGAAAGCTGTCGTGTTGTTCCTGTTAATCTGACATATATCGCTAACATTTACGTGGATTGGAACGCACTTGTACCCTTCCGCCTGTCCTTCGTTGGGATCACTCAACAATTCAACCGGAACAGGCCTGTCGCCAAGCGTGTACTCGCGCAGTAGGGCGATGACCTGGTAGAGGCAGTCGCGTGAGGGCCTGTTCTCATGGAAGAGGTCTCCTGCGAGGAGGATGAAGTCGACCTATGATTGATGCTGTGTCAGTGCATAGGGACGATGAGCATAAGAGGGAAGGTGGTGGAGGGAAAGGGGTAGAGACGAACGTCATGCTTGACTGCGAGTTGAAGAATTTCTCTGAAGGTGTTGATAGAGTCTTGACCGCGGATGGGGTCGCGTTCAAGGTAGCCAATGTGGTTGTCTGTGGCGAGGAGGATGCGGACGGTGTCGTCGACCACTGTAGTGTCGCGTCAGCTGCTGGTGAGTGAAAGGCAGATCAGCGCTCACGAGAATTGCGGATGGTAGGCGGGGGAGGGAGAGACGCGTCTCTGTCACTTGACATGGTCCTCAGTCGCTAGTGAGAATATGAGTCTAGGTATGGGGAAGGGGAGAGGATAGGAGCAGAGGCGTAATTTGGCGACGCGTCGCGTGTTGTGTGGCAGGATGATGTGATGGTGAGAAAGTGGACCAAGGTGGCTGCTGCGGCGACAGCGAATACAGATCGACGCCTGAGAATTTTACCTCATTGCCCTCTCCCCTCACCGCCCTCAGCGTTGCACAAAGCACGCTCTCCGCCCCCAAAATATCCTCCCTCACTATCGCTCCTTAATCCTAATACACTACCACCTACAACACCGTAGATAAGATGGCCCAGCAGAATGCAAAGCCGCACGACCGTATGCTCGTGGTACGTCTCTGTCCCATGTCGTGCCGTGCCTCGGCATGCCGAAGACACTTGGGCTCATCCCGGATTATGCATGACAGCTCGGCACCGTGTGTTTCTACCTCGTCGCTGCCCTAGCGGTATGTTCTCTCTCTCTCCTCCTTGAAGACATGCACTGACACGTCTCTGCCAGATGGTCATGGCGTGCGCTTTCTCCCATACGCCCACTCACCATCGTTTGCTGATATGATCCTCGTTCCGCGTCGCTGACCGCACCTATCTTCTACACAACTTTCTACTCGTTGGTGCATGCAGCAACAAATGGGTGCTCAAGGAGACGTCTGCACCACTATTCTTCCTCTTCACACAGCTCGTCATTGCCGTGTGGCTCTTCCTCGCGGCCCACGCAGCACGCTTCCTCGTCCTCCCACTCCGCATCGATGCGGCACTCATGAAGGGTCTCTTCCCCATGGTCGGACTCAACGTCGTCGGTCTCAGGTACAGTGACCCTCTTATCCTTATCTCTCTATCTCACCCGCACAAACCTGAAACTGACGCCCCCGTGTCTCGCACCAATCAACAGCTTCAGCAACTTCACCCTGAAATACGTCGACGCCTCCTTCTACCAGGTCGCGCGCGGGCTTGTCCTCCCGTTCACCGTGCTCACCTCCTTCACGCTCCTCGCCGCCCGCCCATCCCTGCGCATCCTGGTCTCGTGCGGCATCATCACCCTCGGCTTCTTCGTTGGCGTCTTCCTCGACTCCGTCCCCGTCTCCATGATCGGCATCTTCTTCGGTGTCACGAGCTCCGCCATCACCGCCGTGCACTCGGTCGTCATCAAGAAGTCGCTCGATGTCGTCGGCGGCAGCGCGCTCAACCTCAGCTGGTACACCAACCTCCTCAGCGCCGTCCTCATGATCCCCGTCATCTTCCTGGCCGGTGAGGTCCCCGCGGTCCTCGAGCTGTTCGAGGGCGCGACGCCGGCTGTGGGCTATGCTACGAGCTATGCGGAGTCCGGTGAGATGAGCGTGCTGCAGAAGTTCGTGTGGGGGTCGATCATCACCGTGCGTTTCGTTTTTCCCTCCCCTCCCCTCCTGCTCTCTCTTCACGGGCTGACGGTGATGCAACGCTGCAACAGGGAACCCTCGGCTTCTTGATGAGCATCGCCTCCCTGCTCTCCATCAAGATCACCTCGCCCATCACACACATGGTCTCCTCCGCCGTGCGCGGCGTCGCCGCCTCCCTCCTTGGCATGTGGCTCTTCGCCGAAGTCATCTCCTTGTGCGTCCTCATCCCTCCTCCCTTTGTTCGCTCCCTACCGCTCTTGTCCTTGTTCGCTAACGTTGAGATTACTCTTGCACACGTTACAGTGGACGTGCCGGCTCGATCGCGGTCATCCTCGGCGGCTCGATATACTACACCTGGGTCAAGCACCTCGAGTCGCAGAGCGCGCCCAAGCCCGACGCGAGCAAGTACGAGCGCGTCCCGCTCGAGGACGTCGAGTCTGGCAAGGGCAAGCCCGAATAGGCGGCTTGTTTACGCCTTTGCCGCTCGTTGGTGATATCGAGAGCGGCTCCATGCTGCTTGGGGAGGGTGGGCGGTGTTAGATTTCGATGGATAGGATGCTGGAGGGGTGGTGGGCGATGATACGTGTACTCATTGGATGAGTATGGTTGGATAGTTGCAGGTTGCATACATACACTGATACCGGTACCTGCTTGACTCACGAGAATATAGACTTTGCACTCTTGCTGTGCACGCCCAATATTTGATGTTTGGCCGAGTCTTGAGAACTGCAGCCCAAGTATTGTCTGGGTGGGAGTACTATCTCATTGGACTATTGAGGCGGTAGATGTCCCAGGAGGTCGACGGCGTGTACTCCAGTGGTTATTCCATCTGGCTCCATGTCGAGTCGTATGTGTCGGACCACAAACGTCACCAGGCCAAACGGAGCCGCGCTTAGATCTTGGCTCGTGCATGTGTCACTCTCGGAGCTTCGTTGTATCCACTGATTTCATCGCGTGCAGGCCTTTCATTCTCCTCGCCTTCAATCGGAGTTCAACGTCAACCTGAAGGCCTGTCGGGATGAATTTCGCTTCCCCGGGCTACACAAGCTTTACTTAGTACTCCACGCAGTATCTGTACGGAATGCCTGTACAATAACTTACTTCAAATCTACTAGTCCCAACAGTTTCTCCTAAACCTCAAACTATCACTGTGAGCTAAACATAAAACGGCTAGTTGGATGCGGGAGCGTGGCGACGGCGTGTCTTGTATAAATGTGAATTCTCTCTCTCTCTCTCTAAAATATCCCTGCCGATGATGCCGGGAGGCGCGTGGCTGATGCGCCTGTTAAACAGGTTGGCGTCGGCTTTGGTTGGCATAGATTACGGGTTTTTAGGAACATGGAGACCCCTTTTTATGACCGCCCGCTGCTAATAAACTGGGTTCACTGTGGTGTGAGTGAAGCACGCCATAACAATAGGGGCGAGTCACAAAAACGGTAACCATAAAGGTCCCGAAGTTGGCGTGCCTTTTGCCTCCGCTCGTTCCCTCCAAGAGCCTCCAAGTCGCTCCGTTGCCCACTACATTGGGGTTCGACAAGCATTAGCTCTTCCATAAAATCCTGAACACACACAGGCCTACATTCGACACGTCAAATCACCAAGAAAGCGCGTTTTTGACTCTGTCTGCGCTGTGAATAGGTGCGTTTGTCCGCTAGCGTCTGTCGTGTCGTAACGTCTCATGGTTTCTCAGCACGACATATCAACGAGTTCACTCCGCCATGCATGATTGCATAAGGATACCGGAGCTGCTTACGCAAGTTTGTTACCATGCAAACGATCCAGACTCGAACAACGCATCCGACCTTGTCGCGCTCGCGATGACGTGTAAAGCCTTCAAAGATCCAGCCCTCGACGTGCTCTACTACGAGCTTCACTATACTGCTCATCTGTTCATGTGCCTTCCTCGGGACTTGTGGACGCTCAGGAAGGATGAGGTAAGATACATCATCTGCGCTGTTCCTCTTGAGGCTTGATTGTGACCGTGTGGATGTATTAGGGCCCGAATGCTGCTGCTGCTTCGACTCTCTTTTTCAGTCGCGCGATGGTTCACGCTGACTGGCTCATCCTACAAACCTATAGGCAGCGGGTGCGGATCGTTCACCTCAATACAGCCTCAAAGTTCATCTCCGTCGACTCGGAGGCCCTTAGCGCAGTGCGCTCCTTCAGTGGCGACAACCTTCTTCCGAACTTGCGAGATTACCGTGTCTTCAATTCGAAGTGGAGGTTCGTCGACCGCGTTCCTTTATTGCGCGGCATAATGCATTTCCCGGAGCTTTTCTTCGGGCCGACTCTCACGACTCTCAGCCTTGACTGGCTGGAGTCAACATCACTCCACACACTAAATGCTTTGAGTCGCACCAGCCCACTTATTGAGAAGCTGTCTTTTACCCTTTACAAATCGGTCGGGGACCAGCTGCTGGAGAAGAAGCTGTTAGAAGCCCTAGAGAATGTTACACGGAGCCTGAAGAAGATCCGGATTTTCCAAGCCAACTTCGTACACTTTGAGTCTCCTGTACCATTCATTCCCGTCCTCGCTATGCTTGCAACCCTTCCTTCTCTACAGTATCTCAACATACGATGTCGTAACCTCTCCCTTTCCTTTCCCTCAGCTTCCGTCGACCGCGGTACAAATCTGTTTCCGCAGCTCACACGTCTCCGGCTAGCGGGAAACGCATGCCAGATTGCACACCTCATGTCCTCGTTGCATGCTCCCAGCCTAGAAGTGGTCGTCTTGTGCTTTGAGCAATGCGAAGGAGACAATGCTATACCCCAGACCATTGCCTACATGGCTAATTGGATCTCCAATTCTGCGTTTCCGATTCGGGGTGTTAAGCTGCAGTTTCCGGAGCAATATCCCCCGAACTTGGCTGCTTTCAAACATCTTCGCCCGTTGTTCAGGTTTCCGACCATTCAGCACTTTCGTTTGGTATGCTTCCCACACCCTGCATTCGATGATGATCAGATCGACGAGCTCTCAGGAGCGTTCTCCGATTTAAGGACTCTGTCGCTCCTCTGGAGTAGCAACAAGTATCACAGTGGCCTCGACACCAGAGTCACGCTTATGGGGCTCGTCTCGCTACTCCGTAATTGTCCCAAACTCGCGGAGCTTGGCTTGACAGTTGACGTAACCGAAGAAGACACTCCTCATAGCCGATCCGATATCGGGACGTCTGCCGCTAATGTTTGTCAGACCTCGCTCACCAAATGGGAAGTCTTCGACTCGTTCATTATGGAAAACGATATTCAGTATGTTTCTCGTGTCTTGGCGTGCACAGCCCCGCACCTTTCAGAGGTTGTATACACAGCAGCTGAAGCAAGCACATGGCCCCATAGTGTGGTTGAGGAAGACGCCGAGATTTGGAGACAAGTTAACGAGCGGCTCGAGTGCTGTATGGAGGCACGCAAACATTATGTTCGGCATGTCTACGGTGCCTGAGCTTCAGTAAACAAGGGTTTTTGATTTCGAAATTCGAATGCAATGCAACACTGCAGGGAGGCATCTTTGTCTGTTCGGATTTGGTCGGATTTGCTGAAGGATGTACGGATTCAGTCATGCAGCTAAAGCCAAGGACACCTGTACGCATTACTTGGAAATATTATGATTGAGCTGACCACATATTTTGCCTCGAAGTAAAGCGCTAAATGGTGGGTTGTTTTATGCTACAAATGTCTCGCTAAAGCTGGCAAATACTTATATACCTTGGAAATATAGTCGGGTTACAGGCACATTTGAGCCTTGAGGGTGTAACATCGAGAATTGTCGCGGATAGAATACGGGCCGTTACGCGTTAGCACGTCGGCGCGAAAGCCCGTGGGTAATTTGTTCAAGTACCGAAACTTTCCCGCGCGCTGCTTTCGCGTGTTCTGTCCCGCTCGAATCTACCATTGTCGACGTACATTTCTAACATCTTCCTCACACATCACATCTCCGCGGGCTAGCGGTCGAACCGCTACTACCATTCATTCAAACATCGGAGCAAGGGATAGAGTATACGGTACGTCCGCTCAGTTGTCACATATACAGCGTTGCTCAACTGCAGACAAGAGTGTTCAGCTGCGGTGCAATTGCTACTCTTCACCGAATATGCATCACTGTTTAAGAGTCACCGAGCTTCTCTCCGAGATATGTGAGCAAGCGCACGAACCAAATGATCCATCAGACCTCCTCGCACTTGCCCTGACATGCAAGGCCTTCCGGGACCCTGCTCTTGATGCGCTCTACTATGAGATACGCTCTCTGGCGGATCTGTTCATGTGTCTACCGAGGGATCTATGGGACCTTAGACTTGTAGAGGTAAAGTAACACTCTTCTGTCGAAGATAAAGGTTATGAACTGAACACTTGACGATCATCCCACCCACCCATAATAACGGCTACCTTACAAAGACACACGATACTAACTCGGAGTCTGGAGACGAAGACTCCCTCCCCACCTCCTATACAATCTTCTTCAATCGTGCCATGATACGTGCAGATTGGCTTGTACTGCAGAAATAAGTATATCCCTCGCGTACGAGTCGTACGCTTCAATCCCGCGTCAAATATTATCTTTGTGGATCCACATGCACTCAGCGAGGTGTATTCATACTGTGACGATAGCCTTTTGCCAAACCTGCAAGAACTGGAGATCTGGGACGGAGACTGGACGTCCGATATCATCGGGGACGCTCTGCTGAGCGACATCATACATTTTCCGCAGTTGATCTTCGGACCTTCCCTCACATCGGTTGTGCTGGCCTTCCTGAAATCAAACTCGCTTCACATACTAGGCATAGCGAGCAGAGCAAGTCCACTGCTCAAGTACGTCGCCTTGCGTGTAGAAGAGCAGCTGGAGAACGGACCAGCCACTGATAAGCTTCTAGAAGTTCTGAGAGACGCTACGGGAAGGCTTCACAAACTCACATCTTTCAGCATCACGTTGGAACACACCCTCGCTATTCCAGTTGCTCGGCTGCTTGAGCCAATCGCTCTCTTTCCTGCGCTTGATCAGCTCCACCTCGGCATCCAAAAGCTCTCTCCCCTCATTGGCTCATCCGAATTATATCCCCGCGTCACCTCGGTGTCCTTTCCACGCCTCACGGCCATATCCGCATGGATAAATCTGACTCCACTGGCGCACCTCATGCCCAGTGGAAACGTGCTGTGCTCAGATGGGTGGGAATCCGGGCGGATTGGTGAATCGAAGCATAGTAGGGTACATCTTTGATTTTTCATCAATAAAATACGGGCATATTGGTGAAAGCCAGTGCATGTGACCTTGACGCGACTAGAATACCAAAAAGTTCGACGCATATGGCACTCAGGGAACTAGATACGGGCCCGAGCTTCCCGCTGTTGCTTCATCAATCGTCTTTTTCATGAATGGAATATTCCCAGCAGCGGTCCTGGTGAAAAGAAGTATTGCCGTGTTTGCTTCGTGAAATGCCAAGTCTTTATAAGTCCTGAAACCGACACAAATCGTCTGTAAGCCCGCCGGCTTACGACACACCCGAGGATCTAGATATACCTCCGTCTCGATCATCCGAACTTCGATCTTCTTCCGCGTCGATCACGTCAACTCCTATTCGTCGATCACGTTCTTCGAACTGCGGACTATGCTTCATTGATATCCTCCTTCTCGATACTTTCCCTTTGGATCTCTTATTCCTCGATACGTTGCCCTAGGCATCCTTTCTCGATTCTTCTATTTAAGCACGTACGATACTCGTCTCTTCCTTAGCTTAAGCTCTCCTACCACTCCTGCTCTCCCTGTACCTCTCTCTACGAATCACATCGTCGTCCTATTCACCTGTCGTCCGATCTTAGTGTTTCTCGCCCTGGCGGGTTTCCACTTTTTTTTGAATATCCACGGCCTGTCATTTCGTCTCTCTCATCCTCATCGCTGACGAATTATTCGTCTATATAGCACGTCTTCTGACGTTGCTCTCTACCTGAGCGTCTCGTACGCGAACCTGTCCACCTGAGCGTCTTGTACGCACACCTGTCTACCTACTCCTACTCGACCCCGTCCACCTTGCCCAATCTGTCTACCGAACGCGTCACTCGACAGCGTACTCGCGAACTCGGTATTGTACTTCCTCCGCTGTTCAACAACGATCCCAGCACCGGTGCACATCCCGGCTCTGGCAACAACGATCTTCAACCATCGTCTCCGTTGACACCAATTGCCTCTGACGACGACGACATCGGGTTGGCTATCAACTCCGACTCTGACTCTGACGACGATCTCCCTCGCTTCGAGTATCGACGCCGCCCTTCCTCCTTTGATATGGTACGTAAGGCTACGGTGTCTCAGGACGCTCCGGGGAAGCAGCCTGCGCTCACCGAGGGCGACTTGACCCCCGAGATGGCTTCTCGGTATCAAGAAGCTTGCGAGAACTACTTTATGGTCAAGAATGTCGACGCGAAGAACCACCCGAACTATGTCTTTGCTGGTTTCCTCGACCATCGCTTCCGCACCTGGTACAAGAACAACAAGGCCACTCTCTCCATCCTCAGTCTAGACGACTTCTTTGTCCAATTTCGTTCTCGCTGGCTCGCGAAGGGCTGGTCTCGCAATCTCAAACGCGACATCACTCGCCTTTCTCAAGGTGACAAGTCTTTTGATGTTTGGGCTAATGAGATTCGTCGTATGAACTCTTTTCTCATCGGTGAGCCCGAGCACATGGACGACAAGCACCTCCTCTCCGAACTCTCTGCTCGGATGGAGAAACACCTTCAGGACTCGGTCGACACCGCAAAACTTGCTGCAGACATCGACATCGACGACTGGATTCGCGCTGTCGCTCTCGAAGAGACCAAACTCAAGGGCTTCATCGAAGCCGCTCGTTCCGCGTTAAGTCTTCACTCTTCTTCCTCGAAGCCTCGTACAACTCGTTCATCCGATGACAGTACTGGCTCCAGCAACGAGAAGAAGAAGACCAAACGTCAGTACTCCGAGGATCAACTCGAGGCGCTTGATGGTTACGAACGCGAAAACCTTACGGAAGAAGACGGTTGTTTCAAATGTCGTATGCCTCAAGCCGGCCACTTCGCTAAGGAGTGCAAACTCCCTGCTCCGGACGCGAAAGGCTACAAGAAACGCACGAAAGACGTCGTACGCGAGCTCCTTGCCCAAGCGAACAAAACGCCGAAGAACAGAGCTCCCATTTCTTCGAATGCCGTCGCCGCCGTCATGCCCTCCGTCGTCTTCGAAGAAGAGGACTCTGACCAGTGCGTAGCTCCAGTATCCGTTCCCCACCTTTTTTGGAGCTGTCTTCTTGACGGCCCAAGCTCCCCATCTTCGATTGAGGTTCACGCCCTCATTGACCATGGTTCACACTTAGTTCTGATTAACTCGGACTTGGTCGTTCGACTCGGACTCCGTGTTCGACAACTCGATAAACCCATAGAGGCCTCGAATGTTCTTTCTAATTCATCATCCTCTCTTTCTTGTTTCGTTTATCTTTCTCCCTTGTCTATGGATAATCAGTGGCGCTCAAGGCGCCTCAGAGCAATACTTGTTGATAACCTTGCAGTCCCCCTCCTTTTGGGAGGACCTTTTCTTTCTCACAATCGCATCATTTTAGACCATGAGTCCCGTTCGTGTATTGCGAAGGATTCTAGCTACGACCTTCTTTCTCCGAACAAAGTTTCCACCCTCGATCCCGTCCCTTCTCCAAGCCCTTGTACAAATTATGACACGGTCGAATTGCACGCAAATGTTCTTTCTGAGCTCTACGCTTGTTCGAAGGATCGACGCGCAAGTCTTGAACAACATACAACCTCGGAATTAAGTCCGAGTAACGTCATCTCATCTGTTCTTAACAAAATCCAATTTCTCGCTGCTGCTGATCATAACAAGGATCATTTGCAACGTCTTGACGAGGAAATGCGCAAGAAATACCAGGATAGATTTCCAGCTGAGTTGCCACCCGTTCATGCACTTCCTTCTGACGTTCACCATCGTATTCGTCTCAAAGATGCAAACAAAACGATCCAGTCGCGCGCGTACTCTTGTCCTCGCAAATATCGAGACGTCTGGAATCAGCTCCTACAAGAACATCTAGAAGCTGGACGTCTGCGTCCATCAGATAGTCCCTTTGTTTCTCCATGTTTTCTTATCCCCAAGAAAGATCCTACCGCCAAACCGCGCTGGGTAAACGACTACCGAAAGCTAAATGACAACACGGTCCCTGACAATCACCCCCTTCCGCGTGTTGATGACATTCTACGCGATTGCGCGAGAGGTAAAATCTTCGGAAAGATTGACATGACTAATTCATTCTTTCAGACGAGAGTGCATCCCGACGATATCAAATATACCGCCATCGCCACTCCTCTCGGCCTGTACGAATGGACTGTCATGCCGCAAGGCGGTCGTAACGCCCCTGCCACGCATCAACGACGCATGTTTTCTGCCCTCAGGCACCTCATCGGGAAGATATGTCATGTTTACCTCGATGATATTATCATATGGTCCGATACCGTGGCTGAACACGTCAAAAACGTCCAACTTGTACTTGATGCTCTTCGAAAGGCGAGTCTTTTCTGCTCACCAAAGAAGACCCAGTCATTCGCTACCGAAGTCGAATTTTTAGGGCATCATATATCCGCACTCGGCATCCGTGCGGACCCTTCCAAAATTGCAAAAATCCTCCACTGGCCAACTCCTCGAAATGCGAACGATGTTCGTTCCTTTCTCGGAATTGTCCGTTACTTGGACAAGTTTTTACCGCAGTTGAGTACACATACCCGTGTCTTGACACCGTTGACGACAAAGGAAACAGAAAAGGATTGGCCCCATTGGGATCAATCTCATCAACATGCCTTTGACTCTATCAAATGTCTCGTCACTAGCACTGACTGTCTAACGGTCATTGACTACGACGATCTTGCAACAAACAACATCTTCGTCTCCTGTGATGCAAGCGATAAAACTACTGGCGCTTACCTTTCTTTTGGACCATCGTTTGAGGATTCCCGACCGGTCGCTTACTATTCGTATCAACTCAAAGGCGCGGAATTGAACTATCCCGTGCACGAGAAAGAATTATTGGCTATCGTTAAAGCTCTCAAGAAATTCCGATGTGATCTCTTAGGTGTGCCATTCACTGTGTATACGGATCATAAAACTTTAGAGTTTTTCTTCACCCAGCCCGATCTGTCGCGCCGACAAGCTCGCTGGCAAGAATTTCTCGCACAATACGATTTTTCTATCAAATACATTCAAGGGAAAGACAACACCGTAGCGGATGCGCTCTCGCGTCTTCCACCTACGGACTCTCATGCTGAGTACCTACATAACGCTTCTTCACTCCCTTCCCCATTCCTTGCTTCGAACTCTTGCATTGCCTCTGTTTTGTCTATCACCTCCGACCACACCCTGGTCACTGACATTAAAGCCGGTTATGACTCTGACCCTTGGTGTAAAAAGCTCAGTTCCCTCTCTGACTCCTTGCCTGATCTTCGACATCAAGACGGGCTCTGGTACATTGGTGACAGACTTGTTGTTCCCCGTCTCACCAACATTCGCGAATATTTATTCCGCCTGGCCCACGACACACTTGGGCATTTCGGATTCGATAAAACCTACTCGGCTCTCCGTCAATCGTTCTATTGGCCAAACATGCGGCGCGACCTCGAGGACAGCTACCTCCCCTCGTGTTCTGAATGCGCTCGCAATAAATCCGTCACTACTAAACCCGCTGGCCCGCTTCATTCCCTACCCATACCTGATAAACGTGGTTCGTCCATTGCCATGGATTTTGTCGGTCCCTTGCCACCCGATAATGGGTTCAACGGTATTTTGACAATCACCGACCGTCTTGGCGCTGATATTCGTCTTGTTCCATGTAAAATGGATCTCACTGCCGCCGACTGTGCAGGCTTGTTCTTCAACCACTGGTTTTGTGAGAACGGCTTACCGGAAGACATTGTGTCCGATCGCGACAAATTATTCATGAGTGCATTTTGGAAATGTCTCTCTCGTTTGACGGGTACTAAACTTAAAATGTCCTCGAGCTACCATCCGCAGACCGATGGCTCCAGTGAACGCACAAACAAAACTTTAAACCAATCCCTCCGTTTCTTCGTCGAACGTCGTCAGTCGGGCTGGATCAATGTCTTACCCCGGGTGAGGTTCAATTATATGTGTACTGTGAACGCTTCCACAGGGTTCTCCCCTTTCCAGCTTCACATTGGACGTACTCCTCGCCTTATTCCTCCCTTACTCCCTCACACTTTCTCCGACACATCTCAAGACCTTCTGAACGCTCTATCCGCTGTTCGTCGACTTGAAGACGACGTCGCAGATGCGCACGACGCATTGATTTTGGCAAAATCGTCTCAAGCTTCTGCAGCAAACGCACATCGTGATCCCGACCCTCACTTTAAACTTGATGATCTCATCTATCTTTCTACCGCGAACAGACGTCGAGAATACTTACAGAAAGGACAGAAACGCGTTGCAAAATTCATGCCACGCTACGACGGTCCCTACCGTATTATTTCTGCCCACCCTGAGTCTTCTTCATATACTCTCGATTTACCTGATGCTACTCATGTCCATAACACTTTCCATGCTAGCCACCTCAAGCGACATGTCCCAAACGACGACTCTCTGTTCCCGGGTCGTTCAAGATCTCCTCCTGCTCCCATCGTCACTGATGAAGGCCAACAAGAGTGGGAAATTGAACAAATCCTCGACAGACGCCCTCGAGGACGAGGTTGGCAATACTTGGTTAGATGGCGTCACGAGGGCCCTGCCGGTGACCTCTGGTTGCCTGGTCGTGAAGTGGCTGATTGCGAAGCCTTGGACACCTTCCTCCATAACATTGGGGATTCTTCCGAGGGGGGAGGAGTGTAAGCCCGCCGGCTTACGACACACCCGAGGATCTAGATATACCTCCGTCTCGATCATCCGAACTTCGATCTTCTTCCGCGTCGATCACGTCAACTCCTATTCGTCGATCACGTTCTTCGAACTGCGGACTATGCTTCATTGATATCCTCCTTCTCGATACTTTCCCTTTGGATCTCTTATTCCTCGATACGTTGCCCTAGGCATCCTTTCTCGATTCTTCTATTTAAGCACGTACGATACTCGTCTCTTCCTTAGCTTAAGCTCTCCTACCACTCCTGCTCTCCCTGTACCTCTCTCTACGAATCACATCGTCGTCCTATTCACCTGTCGTCCGATCTTAGTGTTTCTCGCCCTGGCGGGTTTCCATCGTCATGCAGAGGTCCTGATTGGCTCGGACAGTGAATTTAAATGTGATATCCTTGCAGTAGTTATGTGTTTGTCCGCTAAATAGGCAATTGCAATGCCCCCGTAAAACCACATTTCAGTAGGTCTGTAATATTCAAGTTAGCTGTTGCTTGGCTCTGCTTGCTGTGACTTCTCTGAAAACAGTCAGGAAACTCCGCAGTTTTGATCCCCGCGTGTTACAGCCTTGTTCGTGAGCGCGTACGTAGCTCTCCCTTCCTTCCTCCCACCACCACCACCGTCCTCTTCACCACCCCGAACACCGTCCGTACACACTTGGGTACGTCTACTACGACATTCTCCTGGTTTCCGCGACATGACTCTTCCACATTCGCCACTCCGGCCAACCTCTTTAACTTGCATCACTCGAAATTACTTCTGATTGTCGAGTTCACGAGTAGGAAGTGATCGAACATTCAGGTGAGTCGATTCCCGCAATCCGGTTTACCTTGCCTTTGCTCAGCGACTGCACAAAGTGTGTCCTCTGTGTGGTACGTACTCGCTACCTCTGCCATCACATATCGTGATTCATTCCATCGACGGGCTCGCGGTCGGGCGCATCCGGCTAATGCCATTGCTCATTATTTGTAAAGATAGCCAGCATGTATATTTAGTAGCTTTTAATAGATAATCTCAAGCTGCTTTGGAATTTTCGCTATGGATGGAATAAACCAAATTGAGTCGTATGCTACTATATCAATTAGATATTTAAATTGAGTTCACGTACTCGTGAATGCGTGCACCGATACGAACCGATGTGCCCGGATCCGAGCCAATGGGCGTCATGAATTGACACCAAAAAATCGGTGAACAGTCCAGCCATCGGTTCGCATTGGTGTGTATCGGTGCATCAAAGAAGCACCACGAGATATGCTTCGATTCACCAATCCGCCCGGATTCCCACCCATCTGAGCACAGCACGTTTCCACTGGGCCTCATGCATTCATTGTGTGACCTCTCCAGCCTCGGAAGCATTCGAATCGACGTTAAAGATATTGAGGAAGACACAGCTGCTCCTGAAGCCATTTCCGCTATCGCCACCTCTGTCTCCCTCTCAGACTCGCAGATCTGGGATTTCGAGTTTGACTTTGAGGACCCCTGCCACCCAGGCATCCTTCCATTTGAAGCCATTCGCCCTCTTTTTGGTTTCCAATACTTGCAAATCCTCGCTTTGGCCAACTTACCACCACCATCGTTTGACGATGCAATGCTGTCTGAACTCGCACAGTCGTTTTCCGACCTCCGCAAGTTGAAGTTACATTGGATCACTCGCCCGCAGGACGATGCAACCCACATCAATATAACTTTCTGGGGGTTTACATCCCTACTCCGTCACTGTATTGAGCTCTGTGAGCTCGAGATGGCGGTAGACGCAATTGTGCCTGCAGGTCCGGTCACTTTCCCCCAGCTTGATATACTAGTCAACGAGGCGCGTCACACTCATTTACGTTCGTGGACAGTTTTCGACTCTCGGCTCTGCGAGGGCGACGTTGAGGACGTCTTTCACGTACTGTCCCGCTTGACTCCAAATCTCCGGGATATCATCCTAGCCGACCATAAAGACGGCTCCATGGGAACTGAAGCTGTTCACGATAGCGCTGCAAATTGGAAGAAAGTAGATGAGTTGCTTGAGCAATGCAGGATGGGGAGCCAGCTGAACTAACACAAACCTTCAAGTAAACACATGTATGCCATGACGACCTGGGGTCCGCCCATTCGCTCCCGCTCCTTGTCCTAGGTGGACTGAACCCACAGCGAGTGGAAATAGAATTTCAAATGAGTCCATCGGTGAAGTGAAATAAACCTTAGGTTCCCAGGGGACAAAGGTCTGTGTAGCTGGAGAGAGCAGCGATGGTGATGCACACAGTCGCTACCACTCGTATGTTCATTCCTTTACTTACAGCTGTATGAGTGCTAGTATGATACTCAAAGCTTGGCTCTTTCAGATGTTCAACTACACTCTCATAGGGAACGCGCGAGCACATTGCACTAATTCGTAGACCCTCTGACATGATGTTCTGAAACGTACAAATTGTTGGTCAATCTACGCTGTTCTCCGAAAGTTCGAACGATTATCCCCCGTGTGCTGCAGGACCAACTAGCGGATTTTCCAATTCCAACACGCATTTGGTTAATCCTTTGATGGCCAATTGCTCTCCTGTAGGTTACGGAACATCAGTACTATAGGTCACGGAAAGAGAAGTGGCGGGAAATAGTGAAAAGAAAATGAAGAGAAGGATGTAACTGAAAAATACTCACAAAATAGCGCTTGGGGTACGCTTTCCCTGCGTCGTCTATCTTCTTGATCTGTTCGGCCGAGAGGGCTGGGAGGTTGGCCGTGTCGACGTACTTCGTGGCGCGCTCATAGTCGCCAGTCGTCCTGTAGACACCCAGACCGTCAGCGCTTCAGCACCCTGCCGCAACCGAAGAGCTAATGATAGGGGAGAGCACTCACGTTACAACCAAAATACCCTTCTGCTTCGACCAGAGGGTAAGCACCTGGCTGAGGTGCGTTTCCGTCTCGCGGTCGTCCTTGCTCGGATCGAAGCCGGGCACGACGTCCTTGGCGATATTGCGAAGGACGGCTTTGAGGTGGTCGCGAGCGGGCACTTGGCCCGGCTCCTTGTACAGCGGGTTAAGGCCGCCATACGAGGAGGTGACGATGCCATGTTTCTCATGGAATTCGAGGAGCTGAGTCATAGGACCGCCTGGGCCCTCTAGCAGGTGTACGTGATACTCGATCTAGTGACCGCGTCAGCAGAGAGGAAGAGAGAGGGTAGCGAGTGTCGAGAGTATACGGCGCGAGGAACTCACCTGGTTCACGACAGGAAGAAGCACTTTGTCGTTGCTCTTCTGGAGATCGACAATCGTCTGCAAATGCCGCTGCTGAAAGTTCGACACCCCTATCGCTTTTGCCTTTCCCTGTTCCACCGTTTTGATCATATCCTTCCATACGACGTCGACGCCGGGGGTGTTGGCATACGCTTTCGGCATATGAATGAGGTACAGATCGACGTAGTCGAGCTGCAGCCGTGCGAGAGACTTGTCAAGCGCGGTGACGGCGTTCTCGGTGGTCTTGCCAGTGGTATCGTAGTTCTGGATGTTGGTGAGCTTGGTCGTGACGAATACGTCCTTCCTTTCCACAGAGCCATTCTCCTTGAGGAAACGCGCGAGACCCTCGCCAAGCGCTGCCTCGTTGTTGTACATCTGAGCGCCATCGAGGTGGCGGAACCCAGCCTTGAGCGCGTTGTGGACGGAGGCGATGGTCTTCTCGTTGTCCTTGTTGTAGAACGCCGTGCCTGTGCCAAACCCAATCCAGGGAACCGACGTCGGAGGATCGCTGTTCAGCTTGAGAGTGGGGATGCTGCCGTAGTTCGGCTTTGAGCTTGCCATGGTAGAGTAGGGTGATGAAGGTGACGACTTAGACAAGAAGCGAGCGCGATAAGTGGGGGTGGCAGTCAGAGGATCGAGTATATATGACGAGCGTCGAGTGACTAAGCCGGATGATGAGGAGAACCTCTTCCAGATGACGAGTGCAGACTTCGCTGATTGCGATGGCATTCGTCAGCCTGTGCCCTGGACCACCGGCTGTTGACTAGCACTCGAGGTTCTTTCAAGTGAAGCCAAAGGATATGCGTACCGGAACTCCGCATCATGAATCTATTCTTGCCTTGTTCAGCTGATCAATCCTTTCCATCCTGGTGGGTAAGACAGGGTCAAGCTGGGTCAAGAAAGGCGTGGATGACGAGAGCGCGCTCCGTAAGAATTCCACGGTGGAGAAACTTGCCAGAGATGTTTGCGTCATCGGCCGAGCGACACGTGTGACAGACGCATCAACTCATACAAACATCGCGTCCTTAGCGGATGTGATGAATGCAAGTTGTTCAATCGACTTAGACTATCATCCAACTAGCTAATAACTTAGTAGCTCCGTCTGTCTAGGAGAAACTAGATAAATGGCGCCTATCAAGTTGGCGCATATCGAGCTACAGCGCACAGCATTACGGATAGTCTACTACTACCTCCCAGGAATTGCAGTAAAACACATGCAAACCTTGCGTCTCAGGCTCAATGAGATGCTTTGTGAGAGACGTCACTATTCGAGTTCGACATTTGAACATCCTGTCGCGAACTTAGGCTTTAGATTTCGGCCGACCTTGGCTACTCATACCTTTTCTCACCAAGGCCGCGCTTCCCCTTCGAATTTGCAACATATGCTGACTGTAACTGCAGACATTTCTAACAGTGTTGGCTATGGATGCCCATTAGGCCCCTTGCTGACTGCTGCTGGCTAATAAGCAAGGTGTGCAGGCCAGTAGCCAGACGGTTGTAGAGTTTGCTCGTCAGATGCTCAGGTCATATGTTTTATACGTCAGCTCTTCATGCCGTTCAAGCTGACGAGCAAATGTATTTGCTGTGGAATAGGATCCACCAACCACTGGATTTCCACACCCAAAACACTGTACAAGTCACCAAAAACAAACCCTAAACAATATCAACAACATTAAGGACCCACTCCTTCCGAATAACCAACCCTGTCCCCATCGCCGGCACCCCGCTCACCGCGAACATCCTCCCGCTCGTCGCATCGAACCCGAGCACCTTCTCAAACGAAGGCAAGATCTCGTAGCTCGCCCTCTCCCCCTTCTCAACGACCCTCACGCCTGTCCCACCATCGACATCGAGCGTGTACCCTTCCAGAACCTGCGTCGGCCACGGCCGTGCGCTCCGCGGGACTAGGCATGACGCATGCTTCGAGCCGAACACGAGCATGCGCGGGCGACCGAGCATCGTCGGGTTGAACATGACGCGGTAGCTCGAGTCCGATGGCAGAGTCGGGAACCCGTCGACCTTGTCAGCCGCGAACGAGATGGAGCCGAGATCGCTTCCGTCGCTGATAGCGGCGGAGGCGGCGGCGGTACCACAGGCCTTAGAGCTGAGAGTAAACCGCAGCATGCGTAACTGGCGGGATAACATCGCGGGGAACGCGATCGTCGTCTCCCGTGTACGGGCATCCGTGTATTCGATTGACCAGTCCATCGTATCGATACTGGGGTAGTGGTACGATGCCCAGGTGTTCAGACGGCCAGTATGAGACGGCCGAAGGAATTGAACTGCTGACGGATTGCTATCATCGACTCTGGGCAATGGGAACGCCTCGAAGGTGTCCGCGTTGTCAATAATGTGACCTGAGCGCATACGAGGGTAACGTATAACGAGGAGGTATGATGAGCTGGTAATGACACGGAGCGAGGAATATCGTGTGTCAAACTACGCGGACTGATGAGACGTAGATGCAAAGGTAGATAAGAGTGATACTCACATCGCCTTCCGATAACGAGGGCTTAAACACCCGACGCATACGCAGATTGATGACCCAAACGGCATCCACCAGTTGCTGGCCTGTAGCAGCGCCGTCGTGCTTGCGAATTAGAAGGTGGTCTCCTTTGAGCGTCACTTCGCTAAAACCCTGTAGAGCATGTTCGTCTCTCAGCTCAAGGATAGACTCGAAGACGATAGGGAATGCTGCTGGTGACTTGGAAGGTCGTATCCTAAACACCTTACTAAAGGTAGCAGCAGACCAGGTTAACATGGCAAGTCGCATGAATCGATGGAAGTCAAGGACGCACATATTTGTAGCAGCATTCAACCCTGGCCACTGACCACCAAACCAATCTTGATCGCCATCCAGCACCTCCTCGCACACGGCGTACGCGACCTGCTCGCCTCCTTCCGCCTTCGCGTCAAAGCACTTGAAGAACCGGATCTGGCATCCCGGTGGAGGCACGTAAACGGGCCCTCTCCCTCCTCCGGCGGGCTTCATCTCATGATCGTAACAGTTAATCCTGTCTCTGTCGGCGACGAGCATCCAACGGCCAGAGATAACCCCGCAGAAGACGTTTTTCGAGTTGATCGGTACCGATCGTACCCTTGGATTCTGTCGAGCAGGAGCGGGCGGCCAGCTCCTTTCGACTCTGGCACTTGTGCATAGGGTAGAGCGGAAGTCGTGGAGCGACTGTCCGATGCACGGGCCGGGTGGACGGGCGAGTGTCGTGTGAGTGTATGCGGCCTTCCAGACGGTGCGGTACTGGAGGGCGGCGGAGAAGTAATGAGAGACCTGAGGTGTTGGTGAGTATACATCCCCTCCGAGTAGATCAGAACGACGGACCTGAGAAGCGCGCACTAAGTCCTGAACCTCCAGATGCTCCAGCACGCTGAAGAGAACGTCGAAAGGCAAACGATCAAGCATAGTGGATGTGTGAAGGATGCGATGGTCGAGCGCAATCGGAGGTTGAGTCCAAAACCCCTGTTCGGAAGCGAAATCTCGAGTGTGATATTCGATGAACTTGGAGAGGGCTGGGGGCAGGTTCGGCGCGATTCGGTCCCAAAGATTCGCACTGCGGCTTTATATACTATCCCACCGGGGACAGTGCGTTATCATGCTGGCAAAGTTTCAACGGTGGGAAATGGAATAGAACGGTGCGGACGCTCGCATGACTGTGGGCCTTCCTCCTTGCGCTGAGTGCAGGTTTCGTGCAGGTGTCCTCGGAGGAAATCTAATTTCGTGCCCCACGCGGAGTCGGATAATACATTTCCCACGCTGCGACACGATGCTCTGCAAGCTCTTTGTCTGCACTTTGCATCATCCGCACCGAGCGCCGTAAGGTGACGTGGAAAGGCCCTTGAAGTCCTAGTCAAAAGCTCTGACAAATACCAAACAGGCAGGTGAAACATATGGCTTATCTACCGACGCGGGTCAGCTACGAGTCTCGTTTCAAGCCACAAATGGTGGCGGCAACTTGAAGGCTGCTTGAAGGTGATAGCTACCTGCTGCCCTTCATGTTGGATTCGGGTATCACCGTACATCCCTCGGTGAGTCGGTGAAAACGTATCACGAGTTAAGAATTGCTGCTCTGACCATGGGATGAAAGAAGCTTGGCCATGGCAGAAAGAGAGGACTATCAGTATTTGGCCGCAGTTGGCTCGTCGTGCGACTGCGCCGGAACGCCCCTGCTTGGTTCTTCCCGCAACACCTCTGGTAACTCTTTGCCCTGATTGGCTTCCAGGTTTGGCTTTCCATTGCACATCATTCTTAGAAGTTCTTCTACACATCCCAGAAGCACTAACTCCCTCGACATCGCATAAATATAGACCATCGCCTCGTCTCTGGTAATCAATGCACCGTCTGCTGTCCATGACGAAACTACGCTTCCTAGCTTCAGTGTCGTCAGGTTATCCCTGTTTAATCCTAGCACTCACAATACTGAAGTGTTTGAGCTTATGAACATATAATGGGTTAGGCCGTATTTTTAGTACTGACAATCAAGTCTCAAGTGCACTCAGCAAGGCAGTGGAAACGGTACGTAAAAGAGAACTGGTTATCACCGTACAGCAGTATATCTGAAGAAAACAGCAGATCATCTCCGCGCCCAGCGGCAATCATAGCCGAGTGCGCTCATGAAGCTCTCATGGTACGGTGACCTTATAGATTCGCCAAGCCAACCCTCTAGACAATAGGTGGTGGAAACAGAATGGCTGGTCTTGGTACGTCCTTACCTTTAGCCAACGGAGATTAACAACAGTGCCTTCCTCATATTGTCGATGCCAACATGCAGCAATCTTCCAAGGTCGTAGACCCTTATCCTGACGAACGGAAATGTCATTTTACTGGAAGTGTTACAATCGTTCCGATAGAGAAACTACGGTAAAGTGCGTTCTCATACCAACTTGAGGGTAATTTGTCTGATCGGAAGTACGAATATAAGTGCAAAGCTGGCAACTCAATAAACCCGCGAACCTACTCCGCAGTCATGACGCGCTACTTTGGATGGCTTGCTGGTGGCGCCAAAAGGCGCCCCTGAAAAAGGCAAGCAAGCTTTCCACCTTCTTCCACGCCTGACGATTGTCCCAATCCCTAATTTCGGTCAGATACGGCATCATGGCAGATAGTTGCAGTGCAGCAAATTCGGGGTCGTCTATCAACGAGCCTCTGACGTTCCACGAGATGAGTGTCATACTGCAGACATTCACGGGCAAGATATCGATCGATACGTTGTTGGCGACTTTGAGATCCACAGCGAGGTCTATATGCTTCAACTTGGTACAGCTTTGTAGTAAGAGCCCGATGCCTCGAAGGGTAACTCTAGGATCCTGAGGAAATAAGCGGAAACCGAGGCGAAGGAGGTGGGGAACAGCCATAGCCAACAAGCGCAGATCATCGTTGGCGAGAACAAAAGTTGTGTTCTTGAGATTGACATCAAGAATAGTCAAGTCACGGAATTTGACAAGCATTTGCAAGGCAGCGATATCCAACTTCGTACAGCCCGATAGGCTTATGCGAATATCCCGAGTTGATCCAGGAAACCTATTTCCCAATGTCGTGAAAACCAGGTTCCCATTACCGTCTGGAGGGTCATATGCTGTTACAGAGAATGATTGGATGGTTTTTATGTCAAAACAGTTCATCAATAATGCCCAGTTTCGCGCCCTTAGACCAATGTGGGATAGATTGGGAAGCGAAATGGCGGAAGATACTGTAAAGTCATGGGGCTGAGTGATACCTCGGGCAGGAGAGAGCAGGTCGAGACTTCGGAGGGATTTGAACTGTCCGATAGTGTACAAAAGTTCCGCTCTCGTGGAGACACCGACATGGGGCAGGGAGAAGGTGAGTGCCTTGAGATTCTTCATGTTTTCCGCTACTTGCAGTAGAAATACCGGCAGCATGATATTATCCACGAAGACCTCAATCATAGAAAGGGATTGAAGTTTCTGATTGGTCTCATAAAGTACTTTGAGGACATGTAGGGAATTTTGGTTTAGATTATGAATCTCCAGGTTGCCGAGACGTGGTTCAAGTAGCAGCCTCGGAAATGAGGAAAAGGCCCGATCAATTTGACCATGCTGGTCACCATAAAACCAGAGCTTTCTGAGCTGTGGAAATAGAGTTGGTCCACAGTAGACGGATATGGCACCAAGAAATTCAGGTGCCACGGCGTCTGCGAGACGAGTGCCAGAGCTCGAAGAAACCATATATATATAGACTTCGTACACGATTGGTGTACTCTTCCAGGATGTGCCAGTCACTAGGCATGATCGAACGCTGGAGACAAAGCGTCTTTTGAGACTGGTTTCCTGCTTTTCTTCGAGGCTGTTCATGCATATGGACTATAAACCGCATCGCTGCACAATGTAGTTGCTAGCTTACCGTTTGCCTCTGTTCTGTCGTCCACGCATCTCGAGGGAGGCACATAACAGCTTCGACAAGGTTCACTTCATAATATATCGCATCCAGCGCTGGTTCTTTCAGGTCCTTGCATGTTCTGGCGAGTGATGACAGGGTTTTCTTAGACTTTGAGCCGGCCAGGAACGAACAAATGATCGATGAGATTTCGAGAGAGGGATGCATGTCTTATTACTGCGAGATGAAGAGGTTCAGCTTAAGATCATCGAATCAATTGGAATGGCCAATACGACTTACCAACCAGTCCTGTCCTGCGGAGACTGGATAGTGGTAGTGAAGGAATGAGTCCGCTGAGGGCAAGGGCAAAGGGTCGCGTTTAAGTTAGCGCCCACACTGCCACGTTGAGCAGAAGCAGGTACACGAGTTCACCATCAAGAAGGCAACGCTTCTCTAAACCGATGTGTCGAGCTTGGCTCGTCTCCTCTTCGCATTCCGTGGATCGTCAGTTGGCAACATACTAACATTCGTGGTATTTAGGTATAATGTAATTTGTCGCATTTTTCCGCATGCTGTACGAAACGGACAAGTACTAGAGAAGGGCAGGTAATGGGCCGAGAATGCACACCCAAATTGGATAAAATAAGCGAGTAAAAACAAAAGACAATGTACATAGGTATAGCAGATATATAATGGTACGCATTTTCATGCAGCCAGATACCCGTTCTCCTAGCGGAGCCGGCAAAGGCTTACTTGATCTCCGTACCAGACCCTACTTTATTCTTTACCCCAAGCTGATATCGAGCCAATGTCCTCTTCCAGAACCCGTACGCAGCGGCAACCCTTTTCACCCAACGCTCGGCCATCGCCTGATCAGCATGATTAAAGTGGATGAAGGACAGGTTGAGCACCATCGCAGCAATATGCCGAGCAGCAAACTCCGGGTCGTCCAGAAGGGATCCTGTAAGATCCAATATGGCGAGGGCGCCGGTACAGATGTCCACAGGAGATGTATCGCATAGAGTGTTGTTGGTGACTCGGAGGTTGAGGGGCATATGTAATTGCTGTAGTCGGGGACAGCCGAGCTGAAGGAGGCCGATACTGCGAAGAGTAGCCTTGGGTGGCTGTCCGTACCACTGACAATGCAACCAGCGAAGATTAGGGAAGGATAATGCACCCAGCTGGTTATCAGTGAGACATGCGGTTTGCGCCCCCAGTGCGAGTTCTGTCAGCCCGTGAAACCTCGAAAACGGCTGCAAAGCGAGCCCTAGGTCCGAGTTAGGGAGACTGGTACCTTCAAAGAAGTGCAGCTCAATACGGCGAAGTGCCTCCGGCAGCCTCACTGCACAAGACGTCAATACTGCCCGAATGTCATGTCTTTCTGTGTCCATCTCTCCGATGTCAGCTTCATCGTCAGAATCTGACACTTTGACTGGACCATAAAATCCTGACCCGAACGTTGTAATGGACGTCAGATCAAAGCAAGACAAGACATCGCCGACGAATCCGGGATACCCAAAAAGGTGAAGACGAGTGAACCCGGAAAGGTACAAAGAAGTACCCGATAACAAGTCTTGGTGGTGATCTTGACTAGTCTGGATGCGCAATGTGAGGTTCTTTAGGGATCGCAGTGTACCCAAGGTCGAAAGGACGGATGTTGTCGATGTGGTATCAGAGTAAGGCAACATGATTTCGAGTGCCTTTAGCTTATGAAACCCTTTGGCTGCTTCTGAGAGAATTTCAGGTAGCTCGTCGCAAGAAAAACCTATGGCCGGTATGAGGGAAAGATGTTCAAGTGTTGGACACGAGCGACTAGCCGACACAATGAAGTGCCAAAACCTAGGTTCGACTGATGTCAGAGTTAGGCACACGACGCGCGGTCCGAAGTACAGCCCAAGAAACAAAGATGACAGCGAATAATCAAGGCGAGACTGGTGAGCAGACAGATGGATATGCTGTACGTTTGGCAGAAGGTTGTTACCGCAGTAAACCGAGATAGCGGCAAGCGTTTCGGCTTCCACGTAAACGTGACCAGAGCCCGCTATCTCTAACTTCCGAACTCGACGAGCATACTGCTCCAAGATTCGCCAGTCACTTGGTGTCATAGCCCGTTGAAAATGCAAGATCTGATAGGTTGCAGCGTTGCCATCGTCCTAAGAGCGAGCGTCAGATTCTAGTTTGTCTCCGTCTCTGAAATATAAAAAGGTGCTTACCGCAACCATTGCTCCTTCGACTTCTCGCTCTACAGTTGTCCAAAGGTCTTCGGGCAAACACATGACCAGGTGAGCAAGTGAGCGAAGGTCATGCCAGAGTGCATCGAGTGCCGGGTCCCTAAGTATCTTACATGTGCTCGCCAGGGCAACCAACGTCGCTGAGTCTTTGGGGCCAGACAGGAACGAGCAGATCATGGAGATAAGCTCTGGAACTTGGAAGCAGGAATGCATGGCTGACGCGCAGTCACCGGTGGGGTGCCTTTGATAGATGTGATTATCGGGAATTGTTGGGGTAGAGATGGTGAAGTTGTACTTCTACGCGAAGGGAGGCTCCACGAAGGGCGTTCTGAGGCAACGGAGCTTCAACGTTCTACGTTGAGTGCACTAGGGTGATGGTCAGCAACAAGAGGCGAAAATTTGCGTTACGCGCAGCTGTCGCGCTTGCCGTCGCTCGCGCTAAAAGCGGCGCTGGAGCGGACGCACGGCACGGACCCAATAACACGAACTGGCCTCAACGCTCATCGTTTCGACATTGACTGCTGCCCGTACACAAAAAACGCAATTGCATATGTAGTTGTATCAACAGATATGCTTAGTTTTTCAACGGTGGAACGGATTAGCACTATATAGTGAAATACCAATGACCAAATCGTACACTTTGTTAACCCTGTCAGTGTATTGGTATGCCTCTTCCTCGCGGTGATGTTGTCAGCGCATCGATACACCCTTCCAACCATCGAGCAAGTCATCGACTTTTGCCCATAGCTTGCGCATCGCCTTGACATCTCCAGTGGTGACGATCTCACGCAGGCGTGGCATCAGGCTCACAACGTGCCGAACAGTGAACTCGGGGTCATCAATCCGAGAGCCTGCAACGTTCCACGAGATGAGGGAGGAGCAGTTGGCATCAAAGGTCAGCGTATTGTGCGGCTCGTTGACGTGAGTCATAGCGTTGATGGCTAAGGTAAGGTATATGAGACGGGGGCAGTTACGTAGTATAAAGCCGACACCGCGAAATGTTATGGGAGGCCCTAAGGACTTGTATTGTGCGAAGAGGTGGAGTTGGCAGAGACAGGGAAAGACCAAAGCGGCCACCTGATCGTCTGTGAAAGAAGTCTTAATAGAGCGGAGAGTAACGTTGGTAAGGTCTCGAAAGCGTGAAAGCGACCCAAGAGAGCTATTGCCCGTATTTTCTAGGAAATCAAAAGTTGTCAATGCTAACTCCCAACTCTGGATCTTCTCTGGGAGCTTGATCGTTATGGATGACACAGCTTTCTCCACGGCAGCCGCCTCTGTGATTCCCTGGAAACCCGCGCTAAAGGCTGTAATACCGGTCAAGTTGAAATTAAGTAGGGTTTCTTCGATATCCGTTGGACAGGCTGTAACACTCATATGCGTGAGCCTCGGTAGGTAAACTATAGGAAGATTCGAAAACGGATCGTGATTACGTTCGCGTGTGATCCCTTTCGCAAGGTACAGCCTGAGTGATTCCAGGGAGCGCATTTTGCTCACCGCCAATGCTACGATGCTTCGGTGCGAGATAGTGAAGTCCCCAAACGTGACTGAAAGGGCCTTGAGGTTTTGGAGCCTTTCTGCTACGTCCGTAAGAAGATCCGGAAGCTGGTTGCACGGCTCAATCACAGTGAACAAGATTCTTAACGATCGAAGCATTGGACAAGCCTGACTAGCCGCCACGATGTCATGACAGACACTACTGTCGACATTCTGTAGCACCACGTCTTCAAGGAGTGGTCCGAAGTACAGCCTAGAGACCAGCGCGCCAGGAAATTTCATGAAATTCCCCGGCGGTGATATAATGAGCTTCCGCAGCTGAGGAAAGAGGAAGGAACCACAGTAGAAGGATACGGAGTTGAGCGCGTCGGGATCGATCGATACGGTTCCAGAAGATTGATTGGTACCCCTGAGTATCAAGGTTCGAACTCGGCTTGCATTGCTCTCTAGAATGCGCCAATCGCTGCGCAGCATGGCTCGCTGAAATATGAGCGTCTCCACTCGGACTTCTTTTCCCCCGTTTCTCTGTTGAATGAGGGTGAAAGTTAAGAAAGTACGTCTCAAATGGGGGTATGTAGTGCTTACTGTGGCTCGCACTTCCGTTTTCCAAAGATCCTGTGGTAGACACATGAAGATGTCGGTGAGAGAACTTAAGTCATGGTAGAGGGCGTCCAAAGCTGGGTCTTTGAAGCTTTTGCAGGTGCGAGCTAGCGCAGATAGAGTAGCTTTTGGTTTCTCAAGCTCGAGTACTCTCGAGCATATCGTAGATACAAGCTCTGGTACGGAGAGACAGTGATGCATGGCCGAAGGAAGCAACGGGGTGAGCGCTTTGGTTGATATTAAGACGCGTAACACAGGATGGCAAAAGCGCGAGGGTGAAGCGAAGTGAGCTGAGTAATCTTCCGCGATGAAACGGATGTGGTGCATACCTGGATGGTTGTCTATGGGCCTACTAGAGGTGATGCAATGCTGGGGCAGTAAAGGGCAGAGACGAGAAATGTTGTAAACAGCGCGTCGGTGACCGGAGTTCCGGAAACGGACGCGCGCGTCCGAAACCGTGTTCGTAACCTCGACCAGCTATAGCACCTTCTGCCTGAACGTTTGAACCACCGAACAGCACCGAACCCGGAGGAGCATGTGGAACGGCCCTCGCTCTCAGTGGTCATGGGTTCGTCCAATGGGTTTATCCTGGTTTATCGACCTCAACTCTCCCCTTCTGTCCCACGCTGGACTCTCCGTTCCAGCACTCGTCGCCAGTTGTCGTCCCCGATAAGGATCGAGCTTGACGTCTCCTGTCATCGTCCACAAGGTAGGAGCCGGTCTCGTCTGTCCGGGCGGGCCGCCGCGGTCGTGCAGTATCTGATAAATGGTCTACGTGCTGCAGACTGCTGCAGATATACCTCCTGCTCGTATTCGTATTCGCATCGCACGCGAGGACAAGCTAGCTACGAACGAAGATGTCGCTCCCAACGCAAACGTTTACCCTTCCCTTCTCGTTCGAGGCTACCTCGCTCGCGAATGCTCAGTCCCTCACGCCTGCCAAAGACGCACTCGTGTCTACGTTCAAGGGTAAACCTCTGTCGTCCCTGCGCACCCCAGCACTCGTCATCGATCGGGCGAGGTTCGCTACGAACTGTGCGAGGGTGACGAAGAATGCGGAGGAGTGGGGTGCCGTGCTGAGGGCGCACTTGAAGACGCACAAGGTTCGTGCATCATATCTGTCCTCTGGTCAATCCATTTACTGAGTGCAGGACTAGACAGCGGAGGGCTCTCGCTATCAGCTTGTCAACGATGGTGGTCGCTCGGACCGTGTCATCGTCTCAACGCTCATGGAGGCCTGGGAAGTAATGAGGAGTGGTCTCGTCGCGGAGGGTGTTGTCAAAGATGTGCGTGTTTGTCACTCCAACGATGAGTTCATACTGATGCATTTATAGCTGCTGTACGGTCTACCGGTTGCAGGTAACAAGATTGCGGACCTCGCGGTTCTGCGGAAGGAGATGGAAGCACACGGTGGCACGTTAAGACTCTTCGTAGATCATTCTGAGCAGGTACACGACTTGAAGTTCTATGTCCATATTATTACTTGACTGACGACTGGCCAGATACGCTTCCTGGAAGCATTCAACAAGGCCGAAGTGGCAGCTGGCAGGGAAGCAAAGAGGTGGTCAGTGTTCGTGAAGATCAATGGTGGCCAAAAGTACGCACCATCAGCTCTATCATAATGCATACGCAGACACTGACATGCTGTTCGATATAGTCGCGCTGGCATCCCTCCCGACCCCATTCCCGCTTTCCGGGAATTCCTCTCAGTGTTGTTCGCATCTCCCGCAGTGAGCCTCTTCGGCTTTTACTCGCACGCTGGCAACTCCTACTTCGCGACAAACCTCCCCGATTGCGAAGCCATCCTGGGTGGCGAAGTCGACGTCGTCCAGCGCGCAGCTCGCATCGCCCTCGACCTTCTCAAGGATCAGCCTTCTCTCGCTTCGTCTGCTGCTACAGGGATTAACGCCAACGGTGCCGGAGGGACAGGCTGGGTTCTCTCAGTGGGCTCGACGCCCGCCGCGCACAGCGCATCCGCGGACTTTAAAGCTCGCGTAGCGCAGGTCCTACTCGGGTCACTAGAGTTGCATGCAGGGAACTACCCTCTCCTGGACGTGCAGCAGCTCTACACCACGCTCGTTGGCGAACAAAACATTGCGCAGCGCGTGCTTGGCACCGTCGTGAGCTATTACCCCGCACGTGGCCCCGATGGCCTCGACGAGGCTATGTGCGATATCGGCGCTCTCGGCGTAAGCAAGGACACCGGGAAGACGCCCGGGTTCGGGGAGGTCGTGGGTGTAGTGGGTGCAAGTCCGGAGAGGCGCGCGGAGGTGAAGGGGCAGTGGCGACTCGGGCGGATTTCGCAGGAGCACGGGGTGCTCACTGAGCTGCCCGCCGCTAACGATGCGGAGAGGGAGAAGGGAAAGCTGAAGATTGGAGATGTCGTCGAGGTTGTGGGTCAGCATGCATGCTTGATCTGCGCTGGGTACCCGTGGTACTATATCGTGGATTCGTCGGAACGTGCACCTGAGGACTTGGAAGAGAAAGTGGTGGACGTTTGGGTGCCCTGGAAAGGCTGGTAAGCAGCTCCAGCTGGGGGTAGGGACCAAATGCTGGAAATGTCGTGTAAACATATACGTGTATCATTAGATATACATCCTGTCGTTTGAACGCATGTGCTGTGTCTTCAAATATTGCGATGTTCTCAAGTCGCCAACATATTCAAGTGACCATCTACACACCGTCATACATACGGACGGTATGACGTCATCCGCCTTGGGCGCGTGAGAAAGCGGCTGACTAAGACTATACAGGACATCGCAGCCACCCCCAATATACCCCGCGCCTGCACTAAGGGCGGTCCCTATCTCTCTCCAGCACGTCACTTGTACAGGTAAGCCTTGTCCCTTCGTCCAACCGCTGGTAGTAATGCTCACGAAACATTCAACCGTTGTCCAGCCATGAGAGAGAAGTGGAAGAAGAAGCGCTCCCGCAGACTCAGACGCAAACGCCGAAAGATGAGAGCCCGTTCCAGTGCGTATCCCCCCTTTCCCATCCGTACCACTTGGGCACACGAGCTAATTACGTCCTCCCTTTACCCTCGCAGAATAAGCCTCTGATTAGGCCTTCCTTGCGTGTCTGCGTGGTCGCGCGCACGTAATCTTGGCAAGATATGATCCCCCTATATGCGGCTGTGAACAGATCCGCCTAACGCCGTGAACCCTCGAAGATAAGATGTAGAGGGGGAAGGAGGGGAGGGAGCCTACTCGAACTTATAAGCAGACGACGAAGAATAAAATGAATTGCTTGTACTTTGCTGAAATGATGCATGCACTCCGCACGAATGCTCTGGTGTTGCGATAAGATATAGGAGCAACAACGATGATCAGAAGATTTTGGTGCATCATAAGCTGCGACCTCCTGATGGTTGCCCTCGCTTCATAGTATTTTATGTTGAGTCAGTACGTCATTCTCGCATTCACAGTTTGAGCTGCCCCAGTACTGCCTCTGTTGAAGCGTACGTTTACGAGCAACACGCAGGGCGATGAATGAAAACCACGATCAAGAGGCAATCCGTTATAGTATCGATTTTACTGCACAAAAATCCTACATCCATCCTCAAAACCGAAACATCGTTAGGTTAAAACTATCCGCCTACGTTAGCAAAGAAGTGCTTTTAGTTCTGGTCCTCGATCGGGTTTGCCGACGCCTGGATGTCGGCCTGGACCATCTCCTTCACGAGCGCATCGAACGTCACGCGGCGCTGCCAGCCAAGCAGGCGAGAGGCCTTAGCCGGGTTACCGTGCAAGAGCCTGAAGAAGTCGTGTTGGTACTAGATAGTGAAATTAGGCATGCGAAAGAAAGACGTACTCGACTTCAGCGGGACGGAAGTACTGCGGGTCGACCTTGACGACAGCCTTGCCAGTCTCTTTGCTGAAGCCCTCCTCATTGACACCCTCTCCGCGCCATCTAAACAGCATTGTAGCGTCAATAACATGGCTTTGCGGGTATGTGTAGTGGAGATGAAACGCTTACTCGACGGTGACGCCGACTTCCTTGAAGGACTTCTCGACGAACTCGCGGACGCTATGGGTTTCGCCAGTGGCGAGGACAAAGTCGTCGGGCTTTTCCTGCTGGAGCATGAGCCACATGCCCTCGACGTAGTCCTTGGCTGTAAACAGCAGCCATCAGTTCTTGGCCCACTGTGCCCGATGCAACGATAATACTCACCATGACCCCAGTCACGCGACGCGTCCAAGTTACCCAGGTAGAGGCAGCTCTGCTTGCCCAGATGGATATCCGCAACCGCACGCGTGATCTTCCTCGTCACGAACGTCCGCCCACGGCGCGGGCTCTCGTGGTTAAACAGCACGCCGTTGCACGAGTACATGTTGTACGCCTCGCGGTAATTGACCGTGATCCAGTACCCGTACAGCTTCGCGACGCCGTACGGCGAGCGCGGGTAGAACGGCGTGCTCTCGTCCTGCACGCGCGACTGGATCAGGCCGTACAGCTCGGACGTCGACGCCTGGTAGAAGCGCGTGTGCGCGGCGAGCCCGACGGTGCGGATCGCGTCGAGCAGGCGGAGCGTGCCGAGCGCGTCGACGTCGGCGGTGTACTCGGCGAGCGAGAAGGAGACCTTGACGTGCGACTGCGCGCCGAGGTTGTACACCTCCGTTGGCTGCACCTGCGCGAGGACGTACACGAGGTTGGTGCTGTCTGTCAGGTCGCCGTAGTGCAGGTGAAACTTGTTGGGGCCTGCGGGTGTGGAGCATCGCGTGAGTATCAGCAGGGAACAAACAGAACAGGGTTGTGGAGCGATCAATAGAAGTACGAAGAGAACATACGCTCGTGTTGATCGGCGTAGAGGTGCGTGAGACGGTTCGTGTTGAAGCTGGACGAGCGACGGATGATGCCGTGCACGGTATAGCCCTTCTCGAGCAACAACTCGGTACTGGTGGAAGGTGCGTTATGATCAGTGCGATGCTCGGACAGGGGTTGAGATGCGACAAAGATAAGCGTAAGCACGAGGCCGCTTTCTCGGCGAACACGCTCAATCAACGCGTGGGGTATGGGAAAGATGAAACAGGGATCTGCGGCTGCACGCTTGTTCGCCGGTGGAGATGATGAAAGAGGGCGTGCACAGGAAGCAAGATGAAGGGGACAAAGTACTCACAGGTAGGATCCATCCTGGCCGGTGATACCTATACGAGTGATGGAGGGTTGCGAGGTAGATCAAGGCATGGGAGGTAGGTGTACGAGCGAAAGCATGGAGCATCCGGCGTATAACGAGAACAAGAAAGCAAGTAAGCTCAGATTCACAGGGACGTAGCAAACACAAGGTGCGGAAAAAGGGAGCACAACACTGCAATCAATGGCGAGCGCATGTACGTGGCATCCAACAAATCACGCAAGCTCGCAAAGTAGAAGACGCGGAAACGTGTTTAAAGTGAGACAGGTCACTCACCAGTGATGAGCGCGACCTTGCGCTTCCTGAACTCCTCAGGTGAGGGGAGGTCGAGTTTGATGAACGGGACGGGAGTTTCGGACATGGTTCAGGGAAGTGTCGTGCTTTGAGTCGTGGCGATGTGCGTATGATAAGGCGACAACCTGGAGCTCTGGGATATGGAATCCTGATCGATCGAGGTGAGTATGGGGAAGGAGGGGAGGGAGAAAATACGCCAGCTATGGACACGACATCAGCTTACCTCTTATAAGTGGGAAGAGGCTATGGTGGGGCCGAGAAGATGGATGGTTGTATGCAACTGCTGCGCTTCGTGTTTAGCGAGCAGCTTTGTTGGAGATGTCGCGATCGCGTGCGCGGCTAATAGTCAAGATGTCCGACGCGCCTGGCCAAGTTGCTGTACTCACTGAACCCATTTGCTGGCAGTCTACCGCAGAGCAGGGCAAAAGTTCGGTGTATGATCTCCAGCATTTCAGGTTTCACCAACATCAACTTACACAGACTCGCACTGGCATGACCCATGGGCATACATACGATGACCGCAGACTGCGCATCCGATCTGCAAGCTCACGACGGCCTCAAAGCCGCGGCAGATCTCTCAGTTGGTGAAAGCATCCGAAGATAAACGTTCTGCAGCAGGGGAAAAAAGAAGGTAGCCAATACCGACGATGGGGGTCGAACCCACAACCTTTGCCTTAGGAAGGCAACGCACTGCCATTGTGCTACGGCGGCGTGAATGAACAGGCACCATATCCTTTTATCAGTTGCAACAAGCGCCGAAATCGTTGTGCGCAGCAGAGCTAGATTCACGCGTGTTTTGTATGGCAGGTAAGTTTATAGGCACGCGCACCGAACATTCAGGAAATGCATGTACTTCTCATTTGAGACTACAGGCAAGTACAAATCGTAGCCAAGCAAGAATGAAATCCTACTTTACGAGACTCAGAGCTCCCCCTCTGTACCACCCTTGTTGCGGCGCACTCGTCCGCGTCAAAGCACCTCGTCGTCAGCAGGTTGAGCGTCGGTTGGTCAGTTGAAGGCACGGAGTAGGATTTGAAGACTTGAGAGATTGAACAGTCAATCAGCACAAATGCAGAAGTCCATGTTGATCACGTCGCCAGAGTGAGACCTCAAGGTTTCGTCCAGTAGATGGCTACTGGGGTTGGAGATGAATCCCATACACCGATCGCGTGCTCCCGGGCTTCTTCTTGCCGCCGCTCTTCTTTTTGGCCTTCTTGTTCGACGACTGAGACGGAGAGGAAGACCCCTCGGATGACTGGGTGTCCTCTGCGTGACGTTCGGCGCGCTCCTTGTTGCGTCGCCGCTGGTTCCTCTGCTGGGTAGCAGTTAGATTCTGGGAAGATGCGTCCGCGTCGATTGGGTGAGAGGTTTGGAGGGCGTCGGCAGCGTTGAGCTCGGTGGCCCGGTCAAGACCCTCTTCAGCCTCGAGCACGGTGAATGGACTGGCTGCGGCAGCGTTGGCTGTCGGCGTGGCTTTCGAGGCCTCCTCGCGTTGACGCTGCCTGAGGTCGGCGCGCTTCTGAGCCTTGGTACGCATCACGACAGGTGAGTTCGGTGCGAAGACGTGGAGGAACGCCTCTGGACCCTCCTCGAGGAGCAGCTCGAGCGTGAGCTCCGGGACATCTTGAGAGATCGGCTCCGGCTTGGCAGCGGAGCAACATGGAATCGTCATCTCCGCATTGTCTGGAAGCGGGAATCGACCACGGACTGAGATCAAGAGCGCGAGGAAACTTGGGTCGTGCGCCGCGAGATCAAGATGGAAGCGTTGGTCGGTGCACGCTTCATCGGAAGAGACGGCTCGAGGGCCGGCGAGTAGGAGCGCATCGATTGAGGGACGACAAAAGTCATCTGATTGCGCAGGGGGCTCCTGTAATCAAGGAACCGTAAGTTTGCGTCACTCAGGAGAAAGGGGAGGTGCGTACCTTGTCATACCGCTCTCGCCAGTACTTCTTCTTGCCCAGAAAAGAGTCAAGTCCGGGCGCGGAAACGTCAACGCCCAAAGAAGCGATGGGAGGTTCGCAATTGCTGACTTGAGGTTCGATGGGGAGGAAGGAGCCAATCTCCGCCAACGATAAAGCAAGGACAGCCACCTGAAAACCAAAAGTCAACAACATGGACAACAAAATATGTTCAAAGTGAAGCACAAATTACCTTCTCCGACTCAGTTGCTTCCCGTACTCGCTTCCTATGCCTCTTCAGCTGATTCTTTCTCTTACAAGCAGTGTTGACCTCATCGTCAGTGGCCGGTGCCAATGGCATGAGCACAGCGTCCTCGAACAACTCGTCTGCGTCTGGAGCGTGGGTCGGGATCTTGATAGCAGGAACAGGATCTTCCTCGTTGTCGACAAGCGGCAGTACTGTGAGCAAATTGTGCTCAGTTCCTTTCTCGAGTCGGATGGGAGGGAGATGGGTTTTTGTTGTGTACCCAATGAGCTCCTCGTCATTGGCTCGTGGCAATGGCACGATTTCGGTGTGTCCGAGTGCTTCATCCACGTCGGGAGTGGGGGTCGGGATATTAATAACAAGAACGAAATCTTCCTCGTTGTCGACAAGCGGCAGTACCGTGAGCAAACTGTGCTCAGTTCCTTTCCCAAGTCGGATGGGAGGGAGATCATTGTTTACTGTGTACCCGACGACCTCCTCGTCGTTTGCTGGTGGCGATGGCTCGAGCTCAGCGAGTTCGAATACTTCGTTCGCATCGGGGGCGGGGAGCGGCGTGGCGATGGCGTGATCGAAAACTTCGTCGTCGTCAACTGGAGGCAGCGGCTCGAGCAAAGCGTGCCCGAGGACTTCATCAGCGTCGACGGGGGGAAGGGGAATGCTTGCTGCATGTTCGACAAGCTCGTCATCGTCGACCGGTGGCAGAGCCACGAGCAAAGCATGCTCGAGTTCTTCTTCAGCGTCCGGAGCAGGGAGAGGGGTGTTGGCAGCGAGAGTCAAATCTTCCTCGTTGTTGACAAGCGGCAGTACTTCGAGCAAATTATACTCAGTTCCTTTCCCGAGTCGGATGAGAGGGAGTTGGATTCTTGTTGTATACCCGATGGGCTCCTCGTTGTTGGCTGGTGGCTGGGCCGTGTGGATGGTGTGCTCGAATTCTTCGCCCGCGTCGGGAGCGGGGACCGGTGCGCTGGCTGCATGTCCAAAATCTTCCTCGCCGTTGTTCAACGGCAGTACCGTGAGCAAAGCATGCTCATTTCCTTTCTTTGAGGGGAGGAGAGGGAGAAGGGTGGATGGAACAGATGGGAGCCAAGTGCTGGACGCGAGTGAGATGTCGAGAACAATGGGGCCGTGCATTTCGGGAGGCGAGAGGTTGACAAGAAGGACGTTGTCGAGAAGATGGTGATCGAGGGAGACGTAGACGTGACGAGGCTTGCGTTCATACAAGCGACCCTAGAAAAGTGATGAACTGACGTCACTCGGAGTGATTCAAGGTGCTTACCCTGAAGTTCCAGAGAATGATGGAGACGACAACAAATTTGAATAGGCGCGGCATTGTGGGGCAATAGACGTAGGGGAGAAGCCGTAAAAGCCATGCCTTGAAATCCTGAGTGTCTGAACGTGCGAATCGAGCCTTAAAGGAGATGTTGGCCAGATCCTGGGGTCTGAAGATGTCGACTGACGTGGGCTGGTCGCCTGCTGTGCACGATTCCGGTGGCTCGAGTCTGAAGGCTTTTAACTCGCAGGTGGGAAGTGGAGTAGCAGAAGGCGTGGATCCGAGAGCTTGCTCGTCCGAAGTGAGCTGGTCGGCCGCCGAGCACACGTCCAACTTAGAGAGTTCGGGGAGCTTGAACTCGCAGGTGAGAAGCAGAGTGACGGAATGCGTGGACTCAAGAGCTTGATCGACCGACGTGGGCTGGTAGTCCACCGAGCACACTTCCGTTAAGGTGAGGAGTTCGATACCTTTGAACCCGCAGACGGGGAGCGGGGCGATGGAAGGCGTGTCGGAGGTGGACCAGGAGGTTTGCAGAGACTCTTCGAACGTCTCGTTAGACGACGTCCAGAGGATGACTGATAGTAGACGTTGGCTACATGCCGTAGGAAGAGACGAACGACGTTACCATTATCGGGCGTCAGACCGGGTATGAGGTCGGGGCTTAACTGATCTTCAGACGCGAGGGCACCGTCTTCATGAGACAGCGTATCGTTGAGGACCGAGGGTAAAGCGATGACGACCGCCGACAGTCGAAGTGAGACGACGTCGGCGATGCTCTTGATCCCTTGGGCGATGTGCTGGCCGAAGACGTGAGGGAGCGTGCGGATGCCGAGCTGAGGACCAAGCTCGGCGAGCGCGTTGGAGAGCAGCGGACCACCGGGGAGCCCGAGTAGTCCGGAGGATGTCAGCGTACCGGACCCAGCCAGCGCATAGAATGCGTGGAGGGCACGGATGGCTGCAGAGACATAGACGATGAAGTTCATTGTTGAATGTTTGTTGCGATGTGATATGTTTACGATGAGGAAGGAAGGCATTCAGCGTGCCATCCTTTATACATCTGGAGTTCAATACTTTGGCACTATTTGGTGAGGCGGGCCGAGGAGGAAGAGGCTGACTTTGGTCCATGTTAGAACTTCTGGGTCGAGACCTGCCGCGGAGAGCTTTAGAATCCAGCTGGAATATGTCTAGATTGGGAACTCACCTAATGTTCGCGCTCGATCGCCGTGGTGAACCATCCCAATTCGCTCAGATTGCATATAGGCAGCCTGATACAAGTCTCAGCCAACTACGCCGCCCTCTTTTCAACACGACGTCTCTTCGTTAGAAGGATGGTCGGGGTGGAAGCGTCGCAATCCCCACCGATCACTGACGCGTCGAGACGTAACTTGGCAACGTAGTAAGCGGAGGCGTGTTTGTCACGCGACGCCAAGTAGAACCATCGTCAGATTAGAGACTGCGACCGTACGCAGCGACATCTGTCATGGCGAGCTTGACGAAAGTCGGCATGACCCCGCGGAGGATGAGGATGACACATTGCTCTATGTTTCAAACTCGACCTAAGATGAGCAATTCGATCTGCAGCTTTGCCTTTTATGAGAATTTCGTCGTCCTCGGAGAAACTGACAATATCTGCGCACGCTGTCAGTGACACGAGACGGGCGGCGGCAAGAACATCAGCCGCGCGAAGCCATATAGAATCACTATCGAGTCCTTGGGCGCAATTGTACACGCAGGTAGCGACGTTTGTACTCATGAAGCTTAACGAAAGCGACATGGTCGAGCAGCAGACGAGGATGACGTATTGGTCTATATTTCGAACTCGACAATCAATAGACAGTTCAGTCTATATTTTTGCCTTTTCTTACAGTTTCTCCGTCCTCGGAGAACTTGAAATTGTTCTACACGGGATACGCGTTAGTGAAGGGTATGTCAAAGTTTGTTCAGAGATGGACTCACAGAATCCAAAGACGGCTTGGCAACGTATTTTGTGTGAGAAAAGGAGCAAAAGGACGCACGTCCGTAGGCGACAAGATCTCCCGTAGGACTCGTGAAGTCGACACGCGTATGTGCAAGGGACTTGCCTTTGGGGACGATTAGTGACTATTTGCATGCGCTTTATCTACGATAACGCACCCGTTGCAGTGACTGTAGCCCTCGCATGTAGAACGTCACCGGCTCTCCCAGCAGGTTTGATGAATGAAGCTCCTATGTCTGTCGAAACATCGGTCACGTACTGAGCTCCCGATGCGACGGCGAGAGATCCCAGGGTGTCCGTTAAGGATATGATAAGACCACCGTGCGCGGTCTGAGAGCATAAATGAGCAACAATGCGATGATGAAGGGAAAGCCGCGCACCCCAACCTTGTTCACTTGACTTTGTTCGTCAAATACAAGCCCGAGCCGTGTACCGAAGATCCAGAGGCTCATGATTGTAGGCTCCATTTTCAAAAACGTCTCGACTGTTCCAGGGAGTGCCCAGCGAATCTCGAGCTGTGGTGCCGTTACTTTGAATAGCGGTGAGGCGCGAAAAGTCAAATACGCACCCTGGGGATGTAAGTTCTATCGTGGCCTATGTCATGCGAGTGTATGTAGTAAGGCGATGTCCTTGGTAGTTCTCATGCTTCCAGAGCTACCCTTGTTGTCAATAAGCGACTTCCAGACCTGGACGGGTTTCGAGGGGGGACGAACTTGAAAGAATGAAAACGCATATCTGCCTTGTGAAGTGCAGGCAAGCTGACATATTGAACCTCGAGAAAATGATGAGAGCGCTTGAGGATACGGTACTGTTAGGGAACTTTGAGAAGTGCCGGGAACAAGACCCAGCGCGTGGCATTTCCTTTGTTCGTTGCAGGTGAAGAGAGGTGAAGCTCTTGCTAAATACCGACGTAGACCGACGCGCCTCCTCCACATCTCCCCCGGCAACATACCACATCGTGGTTCAACTACCACTCCATTATGGACGACATTTCTGTAACATCCCATATAGGTCCCACCGGCAGAACAGCCATGCGCAGCCGAACAATGTCATACAACTCTTCCACAAGTTCGCGATGGACAGGTCCTCGCGCGCGCCGGCCTAGCAGGTCATACACCAATGAACAGTCTACATAGCTTCACGTACGCCAATCGCTCCCTATTCCCAAATCAGCCTTTCGCCAGCATTCTGATACACCTCATACACAGGTCGGACACAGACCATTCGGGAGTCGTCTTACCCACACCCAGGCGTGACCATCTCTAGACTTCTCAAAGCCCGCAAGTACCGGCTCCAGCCCGACCACGATGGTGGTTTCCCGCACAAGTGCAATCTCACCCGTCATTACATCCTCGTCCATAGACTTTGCCATCCGTTCTTCAGGAGCGACCAGTGCAACCAAGAGGTGCAGTTTCAACAGCTTGATGGAGGAGAAGAGATTACATGCCGGTTCCCCAGGTCGCCGATGACGCCCAGCGGTAGTAGAGATGTGGGCCTGGGCACGATTCTGGGGGCGAAGGAGCCAGATACGGGTGCGGCCAGGAGGTATGTGAAGCAGCTGCACAAGAACTCGATGAAAGCGTATGCGGTGCCGAGCGCTATTGCTACCTCGTCATTGGTAAAGTTATGTATTGGCTTGAGGTTGTACTCAGGTGCGTGTTTATATGCTTCTGCCTTGAAAATAGCCGCTGACAGGGACGCGCTTCAGGCCAAGGTGCACCTCCGATGTATGGCGACTACAAGGCCCTGAGGCATTGGATGGAACTCACTATTCACGCTCCTTCTCGATAATGCTATACATACGATCTCTGGTGCTGGAGTCTCGACTACCCTCCATTTCCTGAATCTGCGGCCAAGCGTGAGTCACATTAGCACACCTCCCGTTCCTTGACGGTTCATGGCTGCATTTGATAGCGGGTCCTTGATCAACCCAGTGTGGGTTGCGCTCGTTACTTCAAGGGGGATTAAGAGACCCACATCACATCGCGATGTTCATTCCGTTGCCGCAACCAGCGCTGCCCCCTATCGACAACGGGCACTTCCAGACAACTCTGTCATGCTCGGTACGTACCCTGGTTTAGATGGAATGGCACACTCGCTAAATGACTTGACCACATTTAGGATTGACTTTATCTGCCTATCGTCCTTTGCCAAGGGCCAGGACCTCATTAGGGCCGTCTTCTTGTTCTCAGTCTCGATTTCAAGCATGTAACTTTGTACTACGCCCATGCGATCGGCACATACTTGCTTGGAAAATCCATATATCTCAGTCTTGTCATGGGTGAGTGCAGGTTCAACTCGAGGATTCGGTACCCTTCATGTGACGCCGTCCTTAGCGCACGCCTTTTCGTTCGCCTCGCCACCATCGCCGCTATCACCGTTATCTTCGTCCTGCTCTTTATCCCTTTCCTCCCGCCGTTCGCACCCATATCGAGCATCCTTGATCCTATAAGCCGCATCCTCCCCTGCAATCGCGGTCTCTTCGAGGATAAGGTCGCCAACTGTTGGTGCTTCATCAACGTCGGCATCAAATGGAAACGGCTCTTCGCAGGGCGAAATACACAATTGTGCGCGCGAGTGCGGCGTTCACCGCGCTCGGCTTCGCGCCCGCGTTGCTAGATTCGTGTGGAGCGCGTAACAAGACGTGGATATCGCACATCGTAGTCGAGTCTGCACCTGCGGTGTAGCGGGAGAAGAAGAAGGAAGAAAGGAGAGGTAGCAGTGTTTTAGTGGATAAAAGGACGCAGACGTTGCTGTTGCTGCTGTTGCCGTATGCGCTGCTCACGAGCGCGATCTTTTTATGTTATTTAGCGCATGTAGCACATACCAAACATATCCAGTGACAACGCAGCACGAACTAACGGAACATCCGACCAGCGCGGGCCCTTCGCGTATGGGGCAATGCAAGCTCGAGAGTAAAAGTTCACGAGATGGGTCACAAAGTGCCGCTGAAGTTTCTCTATTCAATGCGGTAAGAATAGGATATGATATGGATCTGGGGTTCACGAGTCTGCATGTCTAGTTTGGATGACGAGCACTTAGTGACCATGACCGTCACCGTGCAGGGCGATGTGGCCAGCCTTGCTGTTCTGCCACGCGTCGCGCTTCTTTGCCCAGGTGTACGTGCCGTAGCCTGAAAGAAACGGATGGTTAGCAACAAGATAGATTCGGAAAAAAGAGGTGAAGGATGGGTGTAGGCGCCAAGGCAAGAAGTGGTACCGTTTAGAACGGGTGGTTTAATTCGATGAAAGAGACGACCATGTGTGATATGAAGGGCACTTACCAATAGCAAAGGGGAGAATCCAGTAGGGCACCTGGCCAGCGAGGCGGCGATAGCCGTTGAAGACCCAGTTCCTGATGAGGTCCTTAGATCCGCGCTGCCGGAAGGGTGAGACGCCTGAACGAGCATTCAACCAGCATGGTCGAAAGATTCATATGGTGGATAAGGAGTCGAAGGACATGCATTATGGAGCGATGTGAGGTGGCAGTACAAAGGGAATGAAGCGGAAGAAAAGATGTTGTGAGTGAACCTGGGGCACATGCAGGAAGACAAGAAGACTAGACGTACTGTAGGTGATAACACCACGCTGGCGGGCCATGCTCGTGTCGCCCCACCAGGGGCTCTGATCCCTCCCGTTAGCATCCCAGCTAAGTTGAGTTCGCGTGCGTGAAAACTAGACTCACGAAGGTCTTAGCTGTAGCGCGCAAATTTGTATGTCAGTCTCCACGTAACAGTCTTGCAGTATGCATTACATACGACCGGGCATATCACTGCGGACAACATTCGAAGGCCTCATCTTGCCTAGGTAGGAGGACTTTAGAGGCGAGAAAGGTGAAAGAGAGAGGATTGAGTGGAGGATGAGTGGGCTGGCGAACGGCGAGGACGGAGAGCACAAACCCGGCGTCCTCCGGGAAAGCAAACATGCATCAACAATTTCCCGAAGTGTATGGCCCACTGCTTCCGAGGGCCACGACATACGCGCGACACTTGGCACTTTCACTCCTCCGAATCTCGTTCGACGCTTGTAACGCGTCCAGGCTCTACTCCGTATGTTCTTGCTTTCAAATTCATCTGATACTAATGGAAAAATGGCGTAGATATCGCTCTTTTGCCCGCCTCGCTAAGCCCAAAATGATCACCCACCAGACACTGTACAACCTCGCTAACTACCTCGGCGCCTTGGCCATGATCACAGTTGTCGCATACCACTTCGTCGCCGTCAACGCTCGCTATCTCGCCAAGAACGGTCAGCATGCATGAGTATCGTCTCTGCACTGTAGAGGTAGCTGGCGTGTATGGAGATGTTGGTCATTGGGGTGCCTGCGTGGGATAGGATGGGGGTAAGGCAGCGAGGTTTCAACAAGACTGGTGAGTGGTTCGTACAGGTTGCCATTGCTACCGACTGAGCAGTTTGTCAGCTTCTTCTCTTCTGTTTCTAGACATTGTGTTCCTATAGCCTTCGCACACGAAAGAACTTGTCCTCGTTGTCTTAGCTTATGGCTGTGGACGCAATCGGTTCGACAATGCGCACAGCTTTCTCTTGAGGCACATTACCGGGTTTTGAATGCGTCGCACCAAATTCTCGAGTCCATGTTCACGGCCCGGGTGTAGATCATCGCCATTGTCCCTTACCCCGGACGTGTGGAGGCAAATCTCAATGACTTCGTCGTAGCTGAACATTTCAAACCTCTGTGGCATGCGTAAGTTCGTCTCGCCGTTCGGTCTTTTACGGGACGTTGGGATCTCAACATAAGCGAGGTCGTGATTCCAAACCCAATTTCCCTCTTCTAACTTTCGCTTCTGTGGTCACTTGAATGTGCATATATGCGTTCGCCAGTGCGCGCACCCGCCGAAATGCATTCCCGAGACGGGTATGAAAGGGGCGAGTAATCGAACGACGTGATGCTGATATTTCGCAAGGGCGTCGTACGTATACCGCATCACGACCTTCAGTGCGAGCAATCACCACCTCCTTTGTCACGCTACCGCTCGCCGCCTTTGCCCATCGCCCCATTCCGTGCTCCCTTCCCGCACCCGCGACGAGCGATGCCACCGCCCTCCTTCCTTTTCATCACTTCCTATCTTTTCCCCGTCTGACTACTATTCACTTGCATTCTGCCTTCGTCGTCGTCGCTCCCTTCACGCCCAGGAGTCCCAATCTCGCTCGCGCCCTCGTACACTCCCACGACCAAGCCCTGTTGAACCAAAAAAAAGCAACTGTAATGAGCTCAACCTCCGCATCGCTCACTTGCACCACGCTCGCGAACGCCTTTGCGCGCGCGTTTCTTACTTCCGGGCTCGGTACTCCGGGCCGGACCGGGTCGAAAGGCATGGCACTTGCCGACGCTGTCGCATGAAGTTGTTAAGTCTCGAATATACCTTTCCTGTGCAATATGGCATGATGAATTATTCGTAGCCGCTTTCATGGTCGAACTTTACAATGCTGTCTCGTGGTGGTCCCGAGTGAAGATCGCCGTCTGTTGAACGCCTCGAGGCGAGCTACCTGTTTTAAGAGTCGAGGCCACCCATTATCCGACACGATCGGAGAACAACTTCTGAAAGAAGTCAGTGTCAGGAGACGTAGGAAACCTGAAGAAAATGCACGGTTTTCAAACCGATTTTCTAAGGTAATCTTTCCACCGAGTCGCTCCGGCGGCGAAGTTTACAACCGAGTTTCTTGACAGGGTACCATAACCTTTCACTCGCTTTCTTTCCGCATCTCACGGATTTTCAGGAGCGGGTATAATCACTTGGCTTCACTTCTTTCTAAAACCTTATTTCCTTTCAGCGTTCGCCTGTCGAAAATAGTTCGATTATTAATGTCTGATTGTAGAGGGCTGGAATATCCTAATCGCTTGCAAGTGTCATCGGGGTATGTAAACCTTCAACACCTGCTTGATGGCGGCGTCGCTTTTCTCGTTATCACCTCCTCATCAATCGATCTGAACAACATTCTATCAGAGCTATACGGTCTTTTTATGCGGTACCCACGATATGCCATAGAGAGAGATCATCCGACACTCTGTGCCGAGTGGTGGGGCAATACGCATGAAGGCGAGTACTTATTTTGGAAGCCGAGTTAGTCTGACATGTGTGTCGATAACCAGACGGACGAGGAGTTTATATGCGCCGTCTTTGTTCCTCGTTGAACGTGATGCAGGTAGAATGAAATCGGCATGGAAAGATCGACGTCGTGTCTTAGTGCACAATCAACCGGAAGCATGTGCTCAGTCATGGGTCCGGGTGAGCATTATCGATGTTCTGTCCCTGTTTCTGGAGATGCGTGTAAGGCCAATAGATTGAAAATATCAAACGCCCGAGTAAACGGCTATCACACGCCTGTCACGGAACTGTGTACAGAACGTGCTGCCCAATCACGAGTGAAAGGTAAAGCTTCTGCTCGGCTGTGCAGCTCGGAGAGTCTTCTTTGTAGACCGATCGTCGTCAACATGCACTCAGCTAGCGAAGAATCCTAACTACCTTTTGGCGACGCGACGCCACCTGCGCTATTTAGTTTGCGTGGGCACGGATTCAGAAAGAGAAAGTCGCGCACTCGCACACTAGCGCTGAGGATCATCGTGGAGGATGGACGCTGTCACTCGCAAGGCGGCCCATTTACTCACTTCCTGATGTGGGCACAGCATCCAGGATTTACAGTCGTCCGGTAGCGGTGGCACGCTAAGATGAGAGGTCAAGCTGACGGACTAATCGTTCCGAAGCCATCGAAAACAGTGTGCACTATATTTGTATTAAATCAGCCTAGAAGCAAATCACGGCATTCGTGATGCGAGAGGTAGCTGGTGTAAATGGTAGTGAAGATAATTTAGCTAGCAGGACGAACTTACGGACTAGGTTACAGCAGACGCTTGGCCACCTTTGAGTATTTTGAGTGTAAGTAATCACACCTTGAATCACACTCAACATTCTTATGCAGAACTCCTGGATTCTGTAACAGCTATGATACTGGGAGCAACAATATAGTGAGCTAAGGAAGCAAATTCGCGGAGCATACTTGTTTCAGTGGCCAAGCGTCGTATAATCACAAGAGGTGGATGTAAATAATCAATTGTGTATAGCATCCGGTGGCGGAGAAGATCTGACCATCGAGGTGAAAACAGCGGGCTGCCGAAAGCAATTAGGAATAGCGTAGGGCTCACAAGGCATAATAGAAAGAAGAGTCGCCACGAATGTACGGAGCAACCAAAACCGAGACACATCTTCACGTACTGTCAGAACGGAGAGAAGTTTATGATTCCCTGAGGACAAATGCGAAGCGTGTTGCTAGCAATATTCATGGATTGCATTTTGGTGGCCTGCCCGATCACGAGGTGGAGGTAGCAAAACAGATACAGAGGTGCTATAACAGTAATGGGATGGTGCGGTACTACGACTACGACGTGACGGACGTCTTGAATGATTAATGATGAGAGAGCCGCGTGTAAATCTGATCACCAGACTTGCGACCCTCTCAGCCACGATCGGCTTCCTTGCACTGAAAGCTTCCACGCACGTCACTTAAGATTCCTTGACTTCGACTCCGCGTTCTAAATTGCTCCGGCCGCTTCTCAAGTTCTCGTATACTGTAGGTTTCACGCATATTCGAGGGCCTCTTGTTTCTCAAACAGTATTCTTTCCCTTTTTGATATAGATATGTCGCTTCCATCTCACTCTCATCGTTGTTTTAGATCTTAGCCCGGTGATATGAACCTCCGGGTCTGCGTTGCTCGATACGATTCTTATATATGCGCTTCTCTGAATCCCTTAGGACCCTACTACCTCTCGGCGGTCTAGCGTCTCCCCGTATCAGTTCGTCTTTTTCCAAACTTTCCGAGTGCTCGTAATCGTCGTTATACCGCCCAGTCGAATTCAGACGTCAGAGAAATCAGTGATAACGCCGTCATTACCCAGTAGTTATACATTGAAGGTACGTTCCGCTACGCTTACTTCTGGTTCAAAAACTCACCATTCCTTCGCCCTATAGATCACAGTTGGATCACAGCAGAGATGGTAAGTGAAGGTTAGAGCTCGTTATCAAGTATATGCGCTCATCTATAATGCCAAAAAACCTCTAGGCCAACCGCCCAGAAGTTGTAGTCCGTCATGGCCTCTCTGGCTTCGGACCCAGGAACGCGATGCTCTTCAAGGGCGTGGTTCTCACTGTCCTGGCAGAGCGCGAAAACCTCAACGCGCTCGGCTCACGCTTGAAGCTAGAGTTTGTCGTCTTCGAGAAGCAGCCCGAAGCCAACGCGGGGTCGGGCAACGCATTCCAGGTGGACTGTGCCGCCACCATCAACACCCCTATGCCCGGGCCTATTCCGTGTGCCGCGTGGGACAAGGCTCCCGCCGAGTATCGGCCCATCATCACTCCTGGCCGTGACTTATCCAGCGTCGCTCGTCAGTTCCTGGGGGACAATCTAGACAAGCACCGGGAGAAGCTTCGCAAGGACAACCCCGCTGGGTATAAGCTCTTCGTACAGTCCCTCAAATCAGATCAGCTCGACCTTTCCGGTCCCTCCACAACTCGTGGCACCGTTGGCCAGATACAGCAGCTCTCCATCAAAGAGGTCCTCGCGTTCGTGGAAAAGCAGGTCCCAGAGATCTCAGTCGAGTTCCACTATAACCACACCGTCAAAAACGTCGACTTCTCTTCCCCTACCAAGCCTAAGCTGTTTGTCTGCGACGATGGTGACAACGCGGACAAGGTCTGGGAGTTCGACTTCGTGCACCTTGCCAACGGCACCACATGGACGCTCCCCATCTCTGACCATGCGGTTAACCGCAAGTCGTTCTCCGAGACTCAGAACGTAGACTCTGTTGGCGAGTTTCTCTCCGAGCAAGGACTTCTCGACAAGGTGAAGCTTATCAAGAAGGGTACTAAGCTGGGCGTCACCGGTATTTCCTTATCCGCCTACGACCCCATCCCCATCATTCTCCAGTACACTCAGATAATCGAGATCACCGAGGACGGCTATCAGATTAACGAGGATGTGGCCAAGCAGTATCAGGGCCTGTTCACGTTCATCAGCCGTTCGAATAAGGTCGCTCCCCCTCGCCACCACTTTACTCGTGCATGGCCCGGCAAGAAGCTGCCTGGCGATAAATCGTTCATTAACATGGACCAGGCGCACGCTATGTTCTTGCAGAGGGACTTTGATTGGGTCTCCTTCGCTCGCGACATCCTATACCAGAGCGTCTCGTACGAGATCGGCACCACCCCTTCTCATGTTCACCGCAAAATGTCGGCTGAGGAGCGCATGAGTGACTACCACCAGCAGACACTCCAGTATACGGCGGGCAAGACGACGGAAAACGGTCTGATCCGTGCCGGCTACCATGCTCTCCTTGAAGGCTTCGGCTTCGAGAGAGATCCCGAGGAGGCGAACAAGCGTCTCCTCGCCAAGGCTCCTCTCACTCGCTTGGGCCGCGAGGGGGCACCGATGCGCCGCTCTGCTGCTTATGATATCACCCGCTTCGACGCCGTGAAGTCCAAGTCCAACAGCCGCTTCTTGGAGAACTGGAAGGAGCTGCAACAAACCTTTTCATCCTCGCCAGTTGCCGTGCACGACATCATCGCGCAGCTATTTGTGCTCGGCGTCGCAACCCATTCCGAGGGCAACTTCCGCGATATTACCTACGACAGGGACAGCCACAAGGTCGTCTTCAAAGATTTCAGCTTCGATGCGATGTTTACGCCAAAGGTCCTCACCAACGGCGCCGACGAGGTCCTCCGGGCTCTTCACGGCAAGGTGAAAACAGTTTACCCCGGCGGCGTGCCCGAGTACACCAAAGGCCGGTTCCTTCAGACCCCTGTAGGCGATACCTTCATTCACGCCACGGACGCCGGCTCGGGTGGCAACGGCGTCACCAGAGAGATAACGCACAATAATGGCACTACCTCCCGTTCGAGGGTAGGCTTACAGTGGACCGACACGAACGATCTCGCCTCTAGCTCCACCTGGTCTGCCAGCGCCTCCCGCCTGCTCGTCCTCCTCAGTGTATTGCAGGTCAACGGCAGCAAGGCCCCCATCAAGGACCTCATGGCCATCTACAACGAATCGCTCCCAGGTGCCGACGCGTTCAGGGCCGAGATCGACTCTTTCAAGGGCGCCTGGTCCGAGCTCGTTGAGAAGAAGTGCTTCCTTGATACGTGCCAGTTCTTCGCCAAGGACGCGGAAGAATACCAGAAGTACGCCAGCGACGCCTTCGACCCCAACTCCCGACAGAAACGTCTCTCCGAGCTCTCTAAGCTGAGCGCTGATGGCGTCGAAACACACTACACCAAGCGCCTCGAAGAGTTTGGGCCGTTTGATCCTGTCGACAGGGACGAATATCTCAGGCGCTTCGTGGACTTTACGTCCGATGAGCTTGACAAGTGTTGGGGCGCAGTCTTCAAGTTTGCGCACCTGTGGGAGACGCCCCCTCACCACCACTGACAGTGGTGACAGGTATTGGTTGGTAGGCGGGGCGCTTCAACCGCCCTTGTGTACGTTATAGCAGAAAGTTGTCGTCAATGTTCTTTTAGTTCCCCTTTGTTTTCGAAGATGTATTAGTAGCACACTGCAATCCACGACGGCGCGCTCGAGTCTAGTTTCGCTCTGGTTCTGAAGATAATTCGCTGTGATAGAGTTTGTTACTTCACATGTATTATATGCGTACGCTGTAATTTTGCTCCCTAAAATGAACGGCATTACTGTACCTGATCTACCGTCCCCGTTTTCAAATCAAACACAAAACCAACGACCTGTAGCCCATTTCCGAACCATGGACTCTCCTTCAAATACCTTACATCGCTCTCCACGCTTGCTCGCACGTCCCTGTCGTGGATAACGTCGAAGTCGATCGCGTCGATCTCGGCGACTTGCTCTGTGGTGGCTGCGCGGTCTCTAAACGTCGCCTTGAACTCAGCGCTGGAGGCGTGCGAGACGCCATAGTCGGTGTGGTGCACGACGACGATCGCGCCCAGGCCGAGATGGTGTTCGAGCGTGAGGAGAGAGCGCAGCGCGTTCTTGGCGCGGCCGCCTACGACGCGGATTACGGGGTGTTCTGCGGGGAAGATACGACGAGTTAGCGTGATATTACGAGTAAGCGAGAATTGGGCATAGGTAATACGGTTATCCTCTGGGACGACTCGGGGGTCAACGTAGGAGACAATGACGACGACTTGGTTCCTTGGAAAGCTTCTGAGCGTGGCTGAGTCCGGCGGGACCATGTAGTTATCTGCCGCATAGGCTCTTTAGCACGAGTGAACGTGAAGAAAACCGGTTAGATATGAATATATTGGTGAACCATGTTCACATCGGATCACGCACTGGCTCTTGGTGATAAGGGTCTGAATGGCGTCAGACATGACTTGAAGATGGATTCAGCTCGGAGACAGTTCGATGTAGGATGTAAGTTTTGTTACAGATGTTCGAGAAGTGATGAGCCGACGTATATACCTCGGTGCGGAGCTTACCTCCAGGATATGTGGGCCACCGCGGGGGTTACTCGACGAGTCAGATTCAACACGCTGACTGAGGCACATCGCATCCTATCAGCGCGATCGACATGCTTAGGAGAATATCAAGCCCATGAGAATCCAGTTTCATCATCACCGCCTGAGTCAGATATGTCAAGCGATCACGGCTTTAAAATGAGCCTTGCGATATAGTGGTGATGTTCAACCGTCATTTATACGCAGTCTATGTAGTTCATTATCAAGCAAATCAAATATAGGGTGACGTGCCTACGACCTCTGTAAGCTGATTTTTACTTTTGGAAGGGCGTCATCAAAGAGTTGGTATCGTGCGAGCTTTTCTGGGCCGACGTCGGACAGACTGAGGCCACAACGCAGATCAACGTTATTAACGCGTCATGTGCAGAGGAAAAATGGACGCAACCTACGTGGATGCCCACGAACAGACATTTGTGACAACTATAGTTGTCAGATCAAGGATGTTGTGGAAGAAGACCTGGAACAGTAAAGCCTGTCGAGCGCCGGTAGTCACTGCTGGCTGGCAAGAGAACTTTCGGATGCCAGATGGAGAGGAAAGCGCGCGACATCTCGAACCAGCCCTAAACTCACCCGGACTCGTCCGACTCGGAAGTCCCCGATGCTCGCCTCGACACCCTACTATGGCAATGCTTTCCAGTCATATCGGCCAATTGACATCGATTTATCTGTTTCATTCTTCCACAGAATGATACATGTCTTCAAGAAGTTGATCCACGGCACATAAGTCAACGTCGTGAGCTCAATTCTCGCCCAAATACACCGTCCTGTCCTATGCCGGTCTCGACTGCCATCGTCAGTTTGCTCTCCACATAGTTGCAGGTTATTTACCTTCATTACCTTCCAACAGTCAGGAGACTCTTAGGTCCCTACGTACGTCGCAAGGATGCCTCTTGAATTACGTATGCCTCATCAATGATGACAAAGGACGATCGCGAGTATAGCTGAGAAGTCTATAAGAGCGCGAACTCACCGGGCAGTTAGTGTTGAAGGTTGAGTTAGTAGCTTGGTAGCTGGTAGGCTGACGATGGTAGTCGTTCGGTGGAGAGAGAAGACTTAGATGATATTCATGGTAGCGACTGTATATATATGACAGGAGCGTGTGAAGTCACTACCGTATTCGTAACTACTGTGCAGTCCAAGTCCCACGGTAATGCAGGACGGCTACGTAAGCAGAACGTGGCCCTATGCGATGAACGCGGAGCCACACGAGTGCGTAAGCGCTTATGGTACCGCTAGGATACTAAGCGCCTTGAATAGACGTATGAAGGCGGTGTTTACTTGTAGACCTCTAGGAGGAACATCGCCGTACAGGAGGCTTCTGGATGAACCAATAAAGCCATAAA